GGACGGCTTGGCTAAATTAGGGTGGGCACAGGTAGTGTCTATAGAAACACCATCAATCAACTCCCGTCAAATTCTGATAAGATCTGCCCTCTTAGAAACACGCTGATACTGTATATTACAATTCCGACAAACAATCCTAGCTTTGGGTATTTCAGCGTGTGTGTGTAGATCTTGCCGTTCCCACATTCTTATTTAAATCACATTTCTTTTCGGCTAGGACCATAATACATTGTTGGTGTGGTTCGATCCAACAAGAACGCCAAGCGGCTACCTCCGAACAAAGCACGCACAATTTGCAGCTTGTACGAGATTTCAGATTTTTTAACACTATGGTTGCCTTCGTCAGGAGGGGGTTGGGGGGGGGGGGTTCCGTGAGCTAGAATATGTCGAGTTAAGTAATCGTAGATCACTGGTTATTGTAGGACTCTGATTAGCGAGTAAGTACCCCACCTTTACTCAGCTCTAAATGCAACTAGTCAAAAACATCAAGTATGCGGAGACACACTCAGAGATTACTTCTGTCAAATACGCTGAGACACCAAGATCTTCCGAAGCAAGGAAATAGGCAATTCTGGATATGGAGATCGATCCATCGCTGTGGATCGATAACCCTGATAATTCATGAGCTATCTTTTTTTTACAACCATGTAAAGGATCCATAGGGGTTGGTTGAAGTGGGGATGGAGAAGAGATTTGCGTGCAAGGTGGCGCGCTTGAGGTGGAGGACATGACCCTTACTGAGCTTTTGATTGGCCTTAGGCCATGCCACGCCACTTCGTTGACTAGATCAGGTTTCTGGATCAGATTGCGACGATTAGCTATGCAAGGTCAACAGATAGTGGCTTTGTGTGATATTCCACCCGTCCTCCCTAAGAGATAACTACCCCTTAAGGGCTGCTCGCGATTTGTTAAGATCTACACTGTCCGGTCAGCACCGAGAAGACAATAGCGTCCGGATCTAAATTTACTGCCCTGTATTGATATTCCCAGCCCTGATCATAATATGGTTGGTTCTACATTCTTATTAGTCAATATTTAGTTTTCGACGTAGAGAAGTGGATAGTTAACGTAATTCCCGCCCGACCGGGTCACCCTCCCGACCGGGTCACCCAACCCCATTATAAAAGTTCAAAATCGATTATCGCAGCCAACACCCATTAATTCAACTAGATATAGCGATTTTTACATTTATTAATCTTGTGGCCAATCTCCCTACACCCACTACACCTAGGCGGAGCCCTAGTTGCCGCCTATCTGCGTGACTAGGCAGTTCGCCCTGCGCATGCGAATCTGCTACAGCTTCTTCTGCTAGCAAATCTAGCTGCGTAAGTAGCTGTAGGCCCTCTTCAACAGTTAATCCCTCTTCGCAGGGTATCTGCCTAGTTGACCGATTGCGTTTTTTAACTATCTTCTCGTTCGTCATACGTAGATTTGCGTTCTCCTGCGCAAGCAATGCAGTATTGTGTAGCGCTTCGCAGTGGCCCTTGATAATCCGATCAAATATAGTTTTTGATGGGCTCGGAGGGCTATTTGACCGCCGGTGTAATAGATCCTTAAGCATTGAAACTTGCTTTTGTAGCTGAACGACAGTTCTAGGCGTTTTTGGCGTAGATTGGCTTGATCTGCTGCTTGGCCGGCTGTTTAGTGGTGACGGAGTTCGTAGAGAGATATTGAGCTTTGAAAGTACTCTTTCTGCATCGACCGGTACTAGACCACTAGCTGCGAAGCTATTCTGAATAATAGCTGGCTTTTGGAAAGCCTCTAGCCGTGCGTGTTGGTAGTTCTCTAAGAAATCGTACTTGTCGATATGGTTGTATCCCCTACGTGCAAGATCGCTGACAAAACGGCTGTATGCTCTCTTAATAACTGCAAAGCAGCCAACATCTAGTGGTTGTAGTAGATGTGATGCATGCGAAGGCATACAAAGAGGTATAATATCGTTTGCTGCACAAATTTGGTTGAATTGGGGCGAAAGATGGCTACCATGGCCGTCAAGAATCAGTAGGCGAAATCGGCCGCGTACACGCGAATTCGTTGATGGGATAAAAAGCTTTTGTAGCCAACGTAGGCCAATTGCGTCGGTAGTCCAACCGTTATCAGAGACCTCAAATCGCCAGTTTTGTGGTAGGTTTTTAAACCAATCTGCCATAGCCACTTTACCCTTAAAAATTATACACGGCGGTAGCGAATAACCATCGGCACAGATTGCTTCGATAGCAGTAACCCATTCACGATTTCCTGGCTGTAGAAGACGTCTCCGACCGTAGTATTCTGCTCGAGTTACTACCTTCTGCGAGGATATAAGGCCCATTGCAAAGCCTGTCTCATCAAAGTTATAGATATCCTCTGCTTGTATCCCGTTCTCGTCAATCACACTTTGTACAGTCGTAAACCAGGCTCGTAGGGCTTTTGGGTCTTCGTTTAATGCGCGTTGGTAATCGTATCGTACTGAGTAGCGTGTACGAAGCTCATCGCGACGTTGAACGAATTTTGATGGCCAATTCTTGCCAACAGTAGGCGGAGGTTGGTTACCACGCGCAGCCAGTAGGATATTAGCCATCTCTCTTACAGTAGCAGGCCTAGGCGCTGCTCCACGTGCATCCATAGAGAGTATCCATTCAGTAAGCGAATCCTCTTCTAATTGGGTCAGTTTATGACCAGTTGGGCGTTTATCAACGCGTGAGGTTCGACCATCGGCACGCGCTTGCAGTGTAGAGAAGGGTATTTCGTATAGCTTGGCTGCCGCGCGTAGAGATTTGATACGGCCATTTTGAATATCGTCAAGGGCTAATAAGATCTTGCCCTCTTTATGAGCCGACTTCTGCGAGGATTCAGTGCGTTTTGGTGGCATGGTAGGTGGTTGAATTAGGTAGATTGGTAGGAAGACGCGATTTTAGATGGGGTGACCCGGTCGGGAGGGTGACCCGGTCGGGCGGGAATTACGTTATGATCTTAGTATTATGTAATCAAATTTACATTTACACGGAGAGCGGTGTGGGCCTTATCTTTATGCGACGAATGGTAGAGAAGGAAAGTCTCAATTGCAAAACTAGCTGGTACCATACAAATTTAAGGAATAACAGATCGGTACAACATTACAAAATTCCTCAAACGCTTGGCAAACATTAAACATTACGCGTCACGTAATCAAATCCCGATCCACCCACTCCTACACCACCGACACATTTTGTCGGAACAGAAATGTACGTCCAATCAGGTCCATGGATTGTTGTCTGATTCTTGTTATGTTCGCTCACATACTAGTTTGTATGCGACCGACCATGACTAAGACTCTTGGCTAAGTTACAATGATACATTCTGACCATGCCTTACAATACCAATTCCCCACTGATACCGACACATTTAATGTTTGTAAATACACTAGTGCCGCACTAACGCACCCTTGGCGCGTCTCCTCAGTGCTGGCCAGACAGTGTATTGCTCCCACCAAAACAAGTGTTCAACACTTTGGCGCCACATCCTTAAAGGGTCGATAATATGTACAAACTATTCTGGGCCATTATGCTATCTATATATATAAAACATGGACCCGCCTCTTGACCTGACCGAGAAATTCTTAAGAATGTGATAGGGCCAAAGACGATCACTGAAACAATTTTCCTAATTAACATCCGGACTTGATTAAGGGGAGAACGAGGGTTTTGTATTACGCGATCCTATCTAATCAGAGTCGGTCTTTATAACTACTACATAGATATGCCACTAAGAGCCAAGAAGGAGGGTGCATTAATTCGATTCTTCAGGGTGCCTACCATATTAGACTAGGTGACATCATTAAGTAGAGCCTTGTTAATCTTCCTACTTTCTAGAATAGGGCGTGATCATCACTGATTATCATTGAGGGCAAGGGAAGAGGTCAATGGCACGGGATTCAGAGTATGCCCAAGACTCCTATACGAATCCGATCTATAGCCAAATCACCTAAGTCGCTTGCGTATGCAGGTCTGCCCTAGCCCTAGCAATATTAGAACGCACGACGATAGCCATGATTCTTGTTCTTCAAGAATCAGTCTGTGTATCGACAGTCCAATCTGATCTCTACTATCCGATATCTTTGCCTAGTCACAGGTTTCTAGCCTGAAAACTTAGTAACCATTACAGTCAATCTTAGGAAGAATTATCCACCGCGGCTGAACTAACATAAAGTTCGGAGGGGTGCACTTTTCTTGCATCAATAGTGGCACTATTAGTCAATAGTTCATGGTAACTAACTATAGTTAGTTAGTATTTGTGTGGTAATTCGGACCGAAAGGAACAAATATAAAGCGAGTGGCAAAAAGCGAAGAATTGATAGGAGAGAGGTAAGTATTTGTCGACGATTATGCACGACGGACGGTGCGATCGTCTCCTGAGGCGAATATAACCATACTCCAGCGGAAGGCCATCCCACGAGTTAGAATGGGCGGTGCAGTCTGGCGCAGCCCTCGAGGCGGAAAAGACATTGTTCATCCACTTCACGAGGGACTAGCCAGTATTCGCATGTGATCACCCACCATACTGCTAATTGACCGGCATGTGGCTCAAGTATAGCTCAGAGGATGGGAAAGCCTGCCTCTGAACACCCTATAGTCGTATTTACTTTCTTAAAACAATTCATACATTGCAGATGTATAGGTAAGAGGACGCTAGTTATGCTGTATCCTACATAATGGTGCTTAGTTTGGATCATTTAAATATTGAATCTAGCGAATGCACGTGAAGACACAAATCAGACGGGGTTGACGGTAATCGGTATTAATTTCTCACGTGCACCCGAAAGTAAAGTCTAGAATAGGTGAGCCCAGCAACAGTGCATTTAACTAATTGGTAATTGATAGTGCTAGTTCTGGTACTAGTAGTTACGCCAATTGCATCATATAATAACCCGAAATACCCATTTAAAGTAAGGTAAATATAAATGGGAGTAATGGAGAAGGTAATTAAGCCTAATGTATGATGACTGCAGGGCATGAAAATGAGATTTAAGCCGCGAGGCTGTCTCAATCTTTCGTGGTACAGTATTTGTTGAGGTCTTGATAAGCGTCCGTGAACTGTTGAACCTTTCTCTTTAGGGGAATGTAGGTCTGTTGGAAAAAGATTCTTGACGGGTCTTCGTCCTGGCAGTTGGCCACGAACGCTGTGTCGTATTCCTAAAGTGAATAATATTAGCACCTTCAGGCTAATATTTGGATGGACATCATAAAGGTCTAAACACACATCCCAGTCGTTGTTCGGACGTCGGATATTTTCGTGCCATTTAGAAAATGGTCTTTCAATCAAATCTTTTGTCTCTTTCGCACATGCAACTTTTGGGTCAAGGAGATAGTCCATAGCTTCAATTCCCGTTGCAGCAAGCTGCACATTACAAGTTAATCAGCAGCTGAACAGTCAGAGGCCACTATATAGGGAAACTCACTTTAGGGAAGTAGTCAGAAATAGCTGAGCATGCACTGCCATGCTATAAAAATGCAAACTTAGTGACAATTCGTATTTATGTGGAGGCAGAATGTACCATCTCAGCGCCCTTGCCACTAGGAGGGGCTGGTCTTGCTGCAATCCTTTGGCGATTTGCTGCGTTACTCAACTTCAAACTGTATTCGTAGAACCGATACCACACAACTCGTGAGTTGCCTTGGGGGGAAGAGGGAATTTGTGTGAGCCATTTGGTGACCTTTTCCAAGTCTCCTACCCACTCTTCATTTGTGGTACCCTTAACAATTCCCATGAAGGAAACGAAGACCAATAGGATATCAAGTTTCATTTTGACCGTGAGCCAAGTGAACGAGGCAAAATTGACTTGAGAGTATGAAGGAAAGTTCTGTGCTGTGTAATAGGCGACGATAGCATAGTTTTTATATATATTCAAGGTGACAAATTCTCAAATAACAAAAAGCAAAGAGTCAAATAATTCCTTTGAACCTTGGAAAGGAACATTTAACAGCATGCCTTGTTGTTGGCTACACAAAAACTAGATTAAGAAAGTAGGGCGAACACAGAGTTTCGGTGCACTCAGTATGCAATGTGGTGTCATAGATCTGCACTTGTGTCCCATGTATTTGTACAACATTCTCCCGCTGTGGGACCACGAAGCGCTTAGGAGAAATTCATCTGTAGCTAATACGATGATCGGTCGAACTAACGACTGCATAATATTTCTTTCTGGCTTATATTCTTCCATTCCTCCCTTTCTTTGTTTGTCTGGTACATATATGTCTCATTGCTAACTATTCCATATGATCATCGAGATGAGTTTGTGAATTGGCAGGCCTGGATGGGTGGGCTTTAGTTCCTCCGGCAGCCATTGAACGAAGTAACTAACTAATTAATGTAGTGAGGGATTCATCCTTCATCAGATGATGTAGGCCTCAGATCATGGATAACGGATCTACTCAAGAGTCAAAACCTTGATACAGCATTGAGAAATGTCTAGGAGGCAAACACTAAGGTGAACCACAGTGGACCGAGGATGTAGGTTCAAGTTTTCCGGTCTAGCCCGACGGCTCGGAATGGGTCTGACTTAGCTGTTTCACGGAGGGTAAAATAATTTTGTACAAAACAGGTGGGAGATTGGATATTCGCTGTCATCCTGCTCCTAGTTGTAAAATATCCACCTCTCCGATCGACACTTGCTTAGGTAAGGTCTGAACAGGCAATAGATTTTAGCGAATTATGAGCATCCCTTAAGGGGGAGTTATCTCTTACGAAGGATGGATGGAATGTTACACAAGAGCCACCATCTATTGACCTTGCATAGCTGATCGCCACGATCTGATCCAGAAATCTCCATATGCATAGTTTAGCAACTCCAGATCATAATTTTCACGTAGTTTTATGGGTCTTTATTACTCATCGGGCCAGAGGGGAAGATTATTTGCGTTATATACTATTGATCGACCGATTGACCGATTGGCATCATGCGCCATAACCAAAATATTTGCGTTTTGCTTTTACCGAAGGGAGACTATCTGCGGCTGAGGTCAGACATGGCGCAGCTCAGATCAAAAAATGGGATCGACCAGAAGATATTTTCTCTGAGGGGGGAAGGCGCCTTATAATAGGAAGTGATCGTCGACCATGGTAAACAGTTCGCCGTCCGGAAAAGCTCGGCCCCCTTCGCTAGCGTTCCGCAGGTATTGATTGACCTTCCCCCCCCCCCACTTCCCCCAAGTTTTCCGCCCGATAATCGAGGCTTCTGGACACTTGAGGTGAACTCGTACGAATTTTTATGTTCGATATTTAATTCGAGTCGAATCGAACTTCTGCTGTTGAGTATCACGGTGGTCAAAGCATGTAGTGGGGATCATCAAGAGACAGATAAATAGATGAGAAGCCCCACCTCCACCAAGATAGTCAACTTAACCAATAAAAAAAAATACCTATCTCAACATCTGCCATATTCGATTCGATTCGATTCGATTCGATTCGATTCGATTCGTGCAGAGGGGTCATCTCATGCTGGTACCAGATAGTCCCCAAATACACCAAAATTCGGCTATATGACCCGGCGCGTGAAAAAGGAAGACAGCAATCATAGCCAAGACGACTGATGAATTATTGAGGCTGATGTGGTCTTGTGTATTCTATTACCCTGTTCGTCACAACGCCAAACCCATCACGGCGGACTGTTGTGATATGAGGCTGGTGCAGATCAGGAACCAAGCCGAATCATCGGAATTATTCCCGAGGTATCTATACGAAGAACCAAGTTGATTTCTTCTCGTTGTATATATATAGCCTAATGTTTCCCTCTAAAACAATAACAATTCATACCTCTGAACTACAGTCCGTCTCCGGCCTATTCGAGCTGGGGTTGCTTGGACACCTCCGAATTGCCACAAATTCTGCAAATATTGACGATCGTAACCTTGCTGCATTCAGCTTTCTCGGCCATTTGAGATGTTGGAATAAGTTATTTGGACAACTGTTTTGTCACATGTTATACTTAGTAACGTGATTGTATCGTTCGGTTTATAGTTTGTCCGAGTTGCCATACAAAACAGTGTGGTAAGGGAGACACTTCGAAATTAGACTAGCTTGCTATCTCATTCGTGCATGCAACTAAGAACCCACATCGTGTTCCGCTTGACACATAGTCGCATCTAGTCCATGGGTAGCCGGTCCATTCGCACCTAGGTGGTCGTGCCCATTGACTAATCGCATGTCAAGTTCCACTAGACCACAAATGATATTTGTGCTGGGGGCGTGATATTACTTAACTATAAGCACCGTTTTCCCAGAACATCATACCAACCGTTATTCTGAGCACTTGAAGTACCCAGCCCGATTGGCGTTTTGAGCTCCGGAAATGGTTTTCATTTGATCATGCCAACAGAATATGGTACTCGAGAGATGATCAAAAGAATGGGCTTTTTATCGCTGATATTCTGATGGTTGCTTTCCTAGTTTACCGCTAATAATGTATATAACAGCGCGGGTCTGGGGATATATATTTGCATATATCGATTCGACATATGGCGACATCACCTTATGGCTGTGTATCCTGCTAACAGACACAGAATATAGCCAAATAGCACGCGACAAAGCTCGAGCCAAGATTATGTCGCACGGAAAAGTGACCGGAGTACAGAGAAGGATACACTTTACAATAGACTTTAAACCTAGTTTTTTTAATTGGCAACCTAAGTTGATTGCACCATCACGCAACCCCTAGCTCATATTGGTTATCGGATACCTTTGCTGTCCATGTAAAAGCAAAAGCGCGGGAAATCATGACCTGGAGAGGCATAGTTCGCCTTCAGGCAGGAAAGTTTCGGTTTTGATGGAAGCAGCTGTTCAGGCCGAGCTGCTCAAAAATTCCAATCCCCACACCATGTCCATTCATAAATACGGCGTACACTGTGGTGAATCTGAAGGTCGGAAGAAGTTTCCCATTTATAATTTCGGATTTCAGTTTCATCTGGCCTTCCAGGACAAAGGAGCCTGCAGGGCAACGGGCCCAGGGCTGCCCTTAGCTACATACACTATCTCTCCCAGCTACTACTACACGTAAACTTCTGAACGGAAGGACATTCTAACGTCATCCTTTTTCACTAGCACGACGCCGACAGACGAGAGACTAGCTGAGAGAGAATAACAGTGGGCCGTGGCGGGAGCAGCAGAAGAGAGACTGGCAAGTGTTACCTCTGTAGCCTCTAAATTTCAGGTTCCCGGTGACCCAAAATCTCCCACGAGTGTATGATACAGCTATGTGTGGCCGGATTTCTACTTGGGGTTTCGTGAAAAACGTCGTTTACCACATCGAGAGTAGCTTCGTATCGAGCATTATCGCCCACCAAGATATTTTGAACACTAGACAAGAGCTTCCTGATTTTCAGGTGCTTATTGCGGATAGAATATGCAAACTAAGTACGAGGAAGGATCGCTTGTTTGGCGACATTCTATCTCGAAGCCCGTAACCTGTGACTCTGCATTGCGCGTCATTTTGGCTGCTTTAACATCAGCAAGTGAGACTAGTGATCATAAGTATTCGCAACAAAAAGTCCATCAGTGATTGAGCTTACTGCGAATTAGAACTGCTTAGGCCAATGGATGGCAGCTTGTAGAATCAGGTGGATATTCGTCTTCCAAGCAGGCAAATCCAGTACAGCATTCTTCCCCATTTGGATTCAACTGATCGCATTTGCTGCCGCCCGTTTTACACCCAGCTGCAATCCCAAGCAAGGCAAGAAAGACCCAGAAGACGTGCATGGCGAAGTTCAGTCCGAGGAAGTGATAGCAGTGACCAAAGGCGAAACTCGATAGAATGAAAGCCGAAGACACAAGAATCAGTTTTGGCTCAATGCCAATTGAGAGATAAGTCGGGGATTTCCACGCACAATAAACTTATCTTTAGCTTTGTTAGGGAATAAGAGGGCTATTTAAAAGTTCTCGTTCGTTGAAAACCAATGACGCCATACTGCATTTTGCGAACTTCTTGCTTCGATACAAGGTCCTGCAGCATTAGGCAAATAAGAAACGGTCCTGGCAAGATTGCTTGTTTCTCCCAAAATAGCGGTCAAAAAGCAAGGGGTCGATACGAGATGGATGATAAGTGAATGTCCAGGGCCAATCGAGAAGCGGTGTGGGTGCGCTGAAGGTCACAGAAACGGACTGTCGATCCGTTTGAGATGTCCGCCGAAGTATGCTCTGATTGCCGACAAAATTACTTGCATATATCTGCGTGGTAGTGTGTGTGGCGTTTCATTATTCGATAGTTCATAGATCGCCGATCGATGTACGGACGCTGATCTCCACACTAATCACAAGGTACCGCAGCTGCAATAAATGACGCAGCGCTCTGTGAACTCTTACTAGTCCCTATCTCTTTTTCGATTTCTTTTGCCGCGCTGTCTCCAACTTGCCAAAGTGTGACTATCTGATTCTGGCCACATTCTTTGAGCAATCCAATCTCTGTACAATTATTCAACGGGTGGATGGGAGTAGGGATCGAAGTGACAATGAGGGAACCAAACTTGATCTCGAAATGCCTATTAGCCTCAAGCACTGCGAAGCACTCGGGTGGTCATTCGAATCATTTGTCAGAAAAGGATTGTTGTGAAAACAGACAGACAGAGAGATTCCATGCAACTGTTGAATAAGTCAACTTGGTAGATCCAGCCCAGTCATCAGTAGCATATTCCGTAAGGGATTGAAGCATGCAAGCTAGTAGGCTACCCACCTACGACCGCGTTATGGTCAGCAAGACCCCTAGCAAAACAATCGTAGTAGCTACTATAGAAAGTCCCAAGCAACGGAACATTCCCAAATCATCTCCTATACACGCAAACTAAGGGCCTATATACAGTATTAATACCCTGTGGTGCTGTCTCTCGTTATGACAATCGTCCGAGTCACGGGTGTAGCAGCAGGGCCTATGGATGCATCCTCAGGCGATCACACGGTGAATCGATTGGGAGGCTAATCTTTATTCAGAGAAATCAACATGGCCCTGTGGCTAACCGACAAACAACAACGGGACCTTTTCCTCGTCTGTTTTCAGGTAAATTATAGAACTCAAACCTAGCGGCTTTATAGGGAAAAAACTCCTCGAGCATGCTCCACCCTAGACCCCGATAGTGAGGACGATACGAGTCTTGACTCATATAATTCGGACAATAGAGTCTTCGAGTAGCAGTCTGTGTTCCGATCGTATAAAACTAATCGCTGGCCTTCCCGTGGGAGGCCAGATGTAGCAATTTAAATACAATGTGCGCTTAGTACGCCAGTAAGCGAATGTTATATCTCACAAGCCTCACAGTGTGACTTGAGGCCCTTACACTATGAGTCCTGGGGCAACAGTGTGAGCCTGAGATTATTCTCCCAATCTCAAGGTCCGTGAAAGGCAGGATTGTTGCACCAGCAAGGGAGACGGACGCATGGAAGGTTATCATGGTTGGGGTGTTGAAGATGACATATTTTCCATGCGCCTGCGTGAAAAAGCCTTTAGTGAATGATAATAAAAGAAAAGATTAATCGCCCACACATTCCACTAGTGATTATAATTCTCCACGGGTGAAAGTAGCATTATACGTAAAATTCTAGTGTTCAGATCATCGCAGAGCGATGCAAGCTAGTTATGTGGGTCGGGTCATACATAGGATCTCAAGCCATCCAATCCGCCAAGCCAATAATTGTCATAGCCTAAGTAGGGGAAAAGGGAATATGGATGTGGAGGGTACTTGTTGATTTTGATGGAATAGGTCGAGATGAGGCAGGCCAAAATTTGATCAAAGGGTGTTTCTTTTTCGTTCGCTTTCTTTTTTGTTTTCCCTCACTGCCTTCTCAGCAGGCTGGTGTCCTATGACTTCAGTAATCTGGAGAGCATGCCTCGCGTTGATAAAGTAGCGTTCAGAAACTTCTCACATTCTCGTGGCATCAATAAACCATAAATTACATTCTGAGATTATCCATATAAGTGCATGATCTTCATTCCGTGATCGGATCCGCAGAAATATTGAACTTTACTAGTATGTGGGTTGAATATGGGAGCCCCACCCTCAGCTACCCACGCCCCAAGATTGACCGAGAATTTTATTAGTGTGGATCCGACTCAAGGACTTGGTGACTTTGCGGAATTCATTCTGCAGAAGGTTGAATATTAGTGAACCCCTGTTCGTGTAAATATTGTTGTGATATAAGGCTGGTGCAGATCAGGAACCTAACCGCAACCTCAGAATTAATCCCGAGGTGTCTATACGAAGAACAAGTTGATTGGAATTCTTCTCATTGTATACATAGCGTCTTTTGCTCCCTATAAAACAAGAACTCAATCAATCTTCCTTTTGAATTACATCAGGTTATGAGCCCGGGAGCAAACTCTCGGGTGCCGTCTCTACTCATCTGAGAATCATCTTAACCATCTTGCGACTATATATTTACCCCGCATTCGCAATTCACCATGTCGGCCCTGGTCCACGACTCGCCCGACCGGCCATTGAGCCTCTGACAAGAAGCGACAACTTCGCGACCTGGAAACGTCTCATGACCTCCTACCTCAAAGCCAGGTAGGTCTGGGATGTGGTGCGGGCGACCGCCAGCGTCCCGACTGTCTGTTCAAGTATGCCAAACCCATTTCGGCGGACATCCATCCCTTGGTGGAACCGCACCTTGGCGGGACTGTGAAGCAGCGAGCCATTGAGGCACTCAATCATAATCATTCCTTCACTGATTAATTCCCGAGCGTATCAGGACCTGGCCTGACTGACATGATCTGCACTTCTTGGTGGGTATGTCTTAAACTAAAATCTCGGCTCTCTTCGGTATGGGCCTACTGCAGTTTTGGAATTTTTCGACTTATTCCCCGAGCGAAAATGTACTAGCAATTACATCCGCATTTAAGCACTAATATTGGCGTAGCCACGACCATTAGTAAGTTAGTTAGTTATTTTCTGACAGCTGACAAACACTCTTTGTTAAATAATGCGGGATACATGGGTACCCATTTGGGCACAGGTCGGGTTCTCAAAAAGGAGACCCACCTGAGGGTATATTGACTAAGACCCAACCCGGGAGGCGGGTTTTGGTGGATGGGTTTCGGCGAAGTCAAGGACTCCCTCCCTACGTAGCTGGTCTTTTTCCTTCCTCAGCGCATCCATTTCGACTATAGTCTACATCCCTTCAATCTTAAGCTCCTGCGTAGTATCTGACATTTTCCGAGCATCTAGTAAGGAGCTAGGTCAACTACCCACGGATTGGGTAGAGACAGATATCTGTTTAGTTGATGAGCCTAGGTATCGTCGCATCGGCAAGTCTTCAATTGGTGTCATAGTATCCACCCGGTGTGTATTCGATTTTGCGACGAAGTTCATGATCACCTCCTTGGCACTGGCAGACTAAAATTGAGAGATCTGCAGCCCCTTAACTCGAAAACCTAACCGATTACGTAGATCATATTTCGAATCGGCTAGCTTAGAATTCTCATTGAACTTTATTTCTTATATTATAAACCGATGCTCAGGGGTTGACCCATTTTCTTCAACAAGTCCTTCCCTTAATATCGACAGAGCCTCTTCCTTTTTACTCCTCCACGATCCCACGATTTATATAAAACGTCAGCAACACGATGAAATTCATTATGGCTTCAATGATTTCCTCCCTTGTCGTGGCGGCTAGCAGTGAGTTCAATGCTTCTCATCTATTGGCGTATAAATCACTCAGAATTGGAAGAAACTCATGAATCAATCGATGATAATCTAGCTACCATCAACCCAAATGATATTCTACTACGACGAGACCTGGAATGCGACGTCTGCAAAAGTGTGGCGTCGTCTGTCAATAAGGAACTCCAGGGTGAACGCAATGAGGAGGCTATCATAGCGGCCGTGGATAATGTTTGCTCATCATTACCGAAAAGGGACCATGGGAAGTGCAATACCTTTCTAGAGCAGAATGCAAATGGGCTTATTCGTGTTTTGGTTGAAGAAAAGGATCCCAATCTAGTATGTGCCCAGCTAGGGGTTTGTTAAATCTTCAAGATATTCAAAACCATGCTGGTTCTCATGTCTTGCCCGTACTCGCGGCCTTTCTAATTTTTGTATTCCAACAAATTTTTAATGCCAGTGAGCGACGCAGACAAAACTACAGCAAGTTAGCATACGGTTATTCCCTAGCAGGCTTGGTCGATGGAGCCGCTGACGAGATGTCAGACGGTGCCATTGATTCATAATTGGTAGTATTCAGTCCTAAATCTGTATCACTGGAGAAACTTGACGCGGTCAATACATACATGTAGTCAAATCATTATGTTCGAGCGGAACTAGAATTTTACGTCACAAGCTTGCGAGCTCAGGCGGAAAAGTGCACAGAACGTAGATGGTGCTATGGCGAACCGAAAGGTAAATGGAAAGCCGCCTTGCTCGAAATAGATCAAACACTTGGCCATCCCCGGAAGCACTCACTAGTCGCCCTTCTATTGGATAATGGGACCGGATGAGTCTTCTCTGCCATAAATATTTTCTAGGCAGCTGGTTGCCTTCAATATCGATTTCCACTCTTCACGATAGAGCATATACATTGGCGGGTCATCGTCGACCGCCCATCCCTTTCTCTCTGGACAGCTTAAACATGCTAACAAGACGAGGACCATATTATAATACCCATGGGCTTCATAACATTCTCCAGTACATTAGGCGCGACGGGTAAATTGTAGACACCACGGTATAGGGGCTGCCATCGTAACCAGCGAATAATCCTAGTTGTGGTCCATGGTTTGATTCTCCGCAGATCCAGATATAGAACCGAGGTGATACGGCTAGTCCCCTAGAACCAACCACGACCGCTGGGAAGCCCACGTTGTTGTAGTTCGGAGGAATTTTTTCATCTATTTCTCTAGAGGGAATACCAGAAGCTATCTATACAGCGAAAAGACGAGTTGATTGGAAATTAGCTTAGTTCTTCGCATAGGCACTTCGGAAATTATTTCCGATGTTACGCCAACCATACAAAGAGGTATAGGGAATGCGGAAGAGGTGCCTATGCACTACCGGAGCCCCATGTTGATACATCACCTCGCCTACCTGCTTGCATACGCACACAGGCATCCCCTCAAAAGGAGGAGCTGGATCCTCTCAGGAGGACCAGCGATTAGTCTGAATATCATCATACCACTATCAGGCACATCTCACATTCTTCACTCGTATTCTTATCCTATCCAGACGCCCTCAGCAGATTGTCCTAACATCCGATCGCGCGGCTTTCTTCCTGATCCGCTCCGCCTCATATCACAACAACGGTGAATGCAATGTGGCTGGGTGAAGAGGAAAAAAAAGATTAATCAGAGAAATTTTCTATCATGTATGTGAGGGATGATTACCGCCAGGTACTTAGGCTCTTCAAAGTGGCGCCTTTTGGGATCTACAGTGGTGTAACATTAATTTGAATCAACCCCAGAGACCGCCTACCTACCGCCCACGCTAGTAGATACTAGCGCAACACGCTCGCGTACATCAAAATAACGCGTAGTATTGTATGTAGCCTTTTTTGAGTTGAATACTTAATTTGAACGCTCAAATTGAATGCTATTGAACATGCCAGGCTAAGCGCGTGTTAGATCGCTCTCTCCAATTCCTCTTCTACCAGGCCAGCAAGCGCCAATACGTATTATGGCACGGCCGCCACGACGTCGGCAGCTACGGCTCCGCACGAATCGAATCGAATCGAACTTTGGCCAAATTCGATTCGATTCGAATTAATATCGAAAATATCAGTTCGTACGAATTCGATTTGAAGACCGATTCGAATTCGATTCGAAGTTCGCGAACTTTTTGTGCTAAACCCTGATTTGGAAAGCGGTCAATCAGGTCCTACTATAATAGTCACCTGACTCTAGAGGCGGCACACCGCCTAGTACTCAGGTTGACCCATTCCCACCGGGAATGGGTCAACCCGCGGTCAACGGAGTTTGCTCGTCAACGCAACATTTTTGAATATATTGCCTATTACCACCACCACCACCATGTCTAAGCCCTATTCTGACGTTGAAAGACGTATTTCGACTGCTTGCGCATTAGCCAGAACCTCCAAAAAGGTCAATTTTGCAGTGTTGGCGCGTGAATATGACGTTCCTGTTGGCCGACTACGGGCGCGTTTTGCCGGTCGGCCTTCTCGAATTACTCGCGAAATAACCTATTCACGTCTAAACAAGACTCAGATAGCCTTATTGGTTACCTGGATCACACGTTTAGATGACCTATATGTACCTCCGACCGCTGGAATGGTTACTGGTGCAGCAAATATGTTATTGCAAAGATCAAATCCTAATGTGAACGCTAACGTACGTCCTCTTCATAAGGATTGGGCGTATAGTTTTGCTGCAAAACACCTTCTATCTGATCTTTATTGGGTATAGCAGAAGCCTGTAGACCAAAATCGTATTACTGCTGAAGATATTGGTGTATTGACTGTGTGGTATGAGCGTTTAGAGCCTCTACTAAAACGTATTCCGCCCAAACATGTGTACAATTTTGATGAAACTGGGTTTTCTTTAGGCCAGGGCAAGCCACAAAAGGTCTTTTCTCGCAATATATACCGGACTAGAACCTATTTATTTGAATAAGGACAACTTATTAGTGGGATTGAGTGTATTACGGCTGATAGATGGATTATAGAGCTATATTTTGTTGCACCTGGCAAAACTTATCTAGTCCGGTGGTATGATGGCGGAAAGTTATCTGAAGGCTCACGAATTGCTGTTTCTGAAAGTGGATATTTGAATGCTCTTCTTGTAATCGATTAGCTGTACTTTTCCCAAGAAAATACTAGGTATTGCCTTGGAAAAGATGGGAATAAGCCTAGACTTCTGATCTTTGATAGTCATAGTAGTTACCTAACCTACGAATTTCTGGATATCTGTGCTCTATACAATATTATTCTATATATCTGTCCACCTTATACAACCCATCTTATTCAGCCTCTTGATGGGAGTCCATTCCGGGCGCTAAAACAAGCGTATCGGATGAAAAATAATGAGATTACTTAATGGGGTGGTGATGCTCGTGATATAGCAGTATTCTTTACAGAGATCACTGCTATTCGTGTAAATGCTATGAAACCACGTATGATTCGCAAAACCTTTGCTGATCGGGGTATTCTACCCTATAATCCAGCATTGGTTATTGATCGTTTGGTAGCTGAATAGACCCTAGAGCCTGAGTTGCAAATATTTGACAATAATACACCACCACTAGAGCAGGTTTCTAGTATTTCTACTATACCTGTAAATTCTGTATATAACGCGCAACATACCTATAATAAAATGGTCAATTTACTTGATTAATCACCAAATATTGAGGTCAAAATATGTACACAGATGCTATGTGTTGCACAGGCGCAGATTTGCCTTACTGAAGAGATCGGACTATTAAATAACACACTTGAGACTATACTACCAAAGCAACGTTAAATTACACGCAAAAGTCGAAAGCAAATTAGTAAATTTGGTGTTCTTTCTACCAAGGACGCTAATCGCCATATTAAGGACAAAAAGAAGGCAGAAGCTATCAAGGCGGAGCTTGAAGCTTTTCGTAACCGGCTGATTCTAGGCGACAGTGCTACACCTGTCAAATATTATTTGCCATATGGTGAAACTTCACATTCTGACCTAGAAGAAGACTATAGCTGATTACTATTATACTGCGTTGTTGTTGTTATATATCAAAAATAAAATAAAAATGTTGCGTTGACGAGCAAACTCCGTTGACCGCGGGTTGACCCACACCCAGAGGGTGTGGGTCAACCTGTTAGGCGGTGTGCCGCATCTCAGGTGACTATTATCGTACTAAATCTGTTGTTCTACAAGATGGTGACCAATCGACATCACATACAGTAGGTAGTTTAATAGCTAGTGTAATGGGGAATTCCGCTCTCAACATCGGTATCCTAGAGTCATGTGACCAAGGCCTCAGCAACAAGGCCACTATTTTGTTTCGTGAGATTAAGTAGCGTTCGTTCGATACTATCAAAAACAACATGGATGTTCCCCCTTATGAAAATGTTCTACTGAGGCTGCTGAGGTTGCGGTATCGATATACTGCGTATGAAAGGTTCCGTTATTGCTTGTTCGATCATCTCTCTATAGCGTCACGCTTTGCTCATCTCGTTCCTGCACTCTGCGAGTGTGGTGGTTTTGTCTCTTCGCGATCGACCCGTCTGCTTGACAGACTGCCAGCGAGCATTCCCATCTTACACTAGCTAATTAAGAAAATCAGCGATGGCTCCATTTAATCTGACAAAAATTGAGCAATTTGGCTTCGGGTTGAACAAGCTGGAGCGCAGCATCAGCAGATATAAATTTTCGCCTTAACCCTGTCCAAGATATATAGTTCTACTCCCAAGATCGCTCAACAAGTCCGCAATCTTATCTGTGATCAGTTTTATTTCAAACAATACTAGCTCATAGACCGTATTAAGATACGCGTAGTCTATCGATATGGATTCAAGATATCAATAGTTGCACGTTGAATACAATGTAGTGTAAATGGATAGTCTAATCGGGCTAGCGGAGATTGTACAAGAACGCGTCTCCGCGCGGGCGTGCTTTTACCAAGAACAACATCCAAATCTTGGTCAAAAGCTACTTAAAACCATCCTATCTGGTCCTCCAAAGTAAGCGATGGATTATGACACAAGCGTGATATGTATACTAATATCACTTTACAGATGACATCGCCACTTGCAACCACATTCGACTGTCCTAACACCAGGAAGAATAAACGCGATTATGCAGCGCTTCATAAATATGGCCTCCTTGAAGAGGATATCCCACTTCCGCGACCTCGAAAAAAGACGGTGGTCCGGTCTGCTCTTAACTCACCAAATACTCCGGTTTCAACCTCTCCGACCTCTCCGAATGCTCCCAGCAACGTTTCTATCAGTTTATCGAATCTTGACACGGATATAGGCCCTTCACAATCAATATCTCAGGTTGAATGCGAGACTAAGTGTGTCGAAATCAAGCAGAGAGACGGTATTAGGTTGAAAGAGCGTAGCTGGGTGTGGAAATACTACCAAACAACAACTGAATCTGGTACGTGGAGATTAGGAGATAAGGAGCGGCCCGAGCTTAAACATCGGTGTATTGTATCACCATCTACATGTCGATTCTTCCGATTTGCATCGAAACTACGATCTTCAACCACAGCGTTGAAACAGCACCTGCAGCAGACCCACAAGCTCTTCCAGGACGCTCAATCAGAGCGCCAAGGGCCGCTAAGCTCATGGATTGCCAAAGAAAAGAAGCCCCCATTCGAAGAGGCTATCTTAGATTGGATTATATCTACCTGTCAGCCGTTTACATGTGTCGAGCAACCTTCATTCAAGGCTATGCTGAGGTCCATGGACTTTGAGGAGTCTATACCAGGTGCGGACACGGTTTCGCGCCGATTAAATCTTCGGCTTGATGCTCTTGACAGTGAACTCCGAATCTTGATGGCTTCAGCACCCTCAATCGCGCTATCTCTGGATGGCTGGACAAGCCAGAATTCATTACCAATGCTAGCAATCAATGCTCACTGGATGTCACCTACTTTCCAGCAACATCGAGCTTGTATTGAGTTTGTTGAGATCACAGGCAGCCATTCTGGAGAGAACCTTGCTAATATTGTTGCGACGGTTCTTGAGAGATTTCATATATCTGATAAAGTTATTACCATTACAGCTGACAACGCATCTAACAATGATACACTACACCGATGTCTTTTCCAAAGGCTATGTCAGCGGTACGATGAGTACCTGGCCGAAACTGTTATCCGAGAAGGGACGATGAAGTTTACCCAGAACTCCCAAATCCGCTGCTTTGCTCACATTCTCAATCTGGTTATGAAAAAAGTATTGAGGTCGTTACGCGCCAGTTCACATAGGGAAGCTTGTGACTTCCTTGATGATGTCACTAAGAGGAGCTGGAAGACAATGACTGTTCCTACTTCCCCGATTGCAAAGCTTCGGCTACTTGTCCTTTGGATTGCGCGATCTCCGCAGCGAATACAGAAGTGGGATAATCGGCCTGGCTGTACAAAAGCCATTCACTACGATGTTGATACTCGATGGAACTCTACTTTTGTTATGATTGAGAGAGCTGAAGAGTGTCGCCGGCAGCTCGAAGATACAGTCAACGATGAGCCGGATATTGAAGCCCTACGTCTCACACCTAACGATTGGAGACAGCTATCGGATATCAAGAAAATCCTAGCTCCGTTCAACGAATATACCGAGTACGTCTCTCGAGATAGTCCCTCAATTCATATGGCAGCGCGGATGTTTGAAGAGCTCCGTTCTATACTCTTGGCTATTAAGGAACGGCGAGGCGACTGGCTGAGTATCTCCCCGGCTCTAACCGGTCCTATATGTGATGGAATCGTACTTCTGGAGCACTACCACGACTGCGTCAAAGACAACGACATATACTATATCGCAAGTGTTCTGGACCCTCGAATCAAGACCAAGTGGCTCAGAACGCTGCCAGATGGAGAGAGGATTATCAACCGAATCAGAGCGTTCCTCAAAAAAGCATATCCCACTCCGAAACAGCCTATATCGACTGCTCTAAACACCAGCTACAAGAGCCTCGAATATAGGTTTCTGGAAGCCTTTCAGCCCACACAGTATAACGTCGCTGAGTCTGATATCGACCAGTATTTCGATACCCCTACAATCAGCACTGGGTTTGATATAAGCCAGAGCCAGACTGAATTCATACGAAACTGGTGGAACATCAACAGGCTTGAATTTACCTGTATGGCCCAGGTAGCACAAGATCACCTTGCCATACCAGCAGCAGAGGTGGATATCGAGAGATTATTCAATAATGGGAGAGATGTGCTCGGAATTCGACGTTTCTCCATGAAAGGAAAGACTCTTGGGACTATATTGAGGCTGAAAGATGCTGAACGTTGGAAGCCTGAATAGCTACATAGTTATAGTTTTAACGGCGTAGAATAAAAATTATGAACAGTACCTAGAACACCCTTCTATGTGCGAATACAATGGATGCAGTGGCCAGGGTTGTTGAGGTTATGGCTGTCCGCATGAGCAAACCCCTACTTGCATACTAGATATTAGTTCGCGAACCTGTTCGAAATTCGCGAATTTTGACGAATCGAATAGCCCATAGATTCGAAGTCCGAAATCCAAGGTTCGAATTCGATTCGATTCGTTGAAATTCGCGAACTTCGAATAGTTCGAAAGTTCGTGCGGAGCGGTACACAATTCGGAAAAAGTCAAATATGAATAAGCAAAATCGTTATTCGTGTGCAGCCCTATCAAAACTCAAAGAATTCAAATTTCCTTTGATTTACAACACCTCAAAGTGATTACCGCTATATCTACTCAGATCATATTAGGACGGTTTTAGCTGGGTTTGTTCAATAACCATCGTTTCAACGTTGATGGGTGGTTCAACTCACCGCCGGCCTTTTGAGGACTAGCTGCAATTCAATTGACATAGCCCTCAAGCTCACTTTTTGAGTCTGTCCATGGTACGACAGCTACATTTTCAGTCACCGAACCGATGTGCCGTTGCAATTTTCGGCAATAGCCACGACTTTCAGGCCATTGACTACGGTGAACTTGATCAAAGGTGACACGAAACGTAGTCCTGCAATTTTTGGTTCCATCAGTTCGTGACATGGGCATTATTGACCAATGGGTGGGGTGTAGTTGCCCTCAAAGGCAAGTTGCTGTCGCGCAATTAGGTCTAGTAATGGCAAGGAGAAGACGTCAGCATGGCCGGGGATGCTCGTGGTTCCCGCTGTTGTGTTACAGAGACAGGTAGACTATATCCAGTTAGGGCAGAACCGACAACATAGCCTAAGACAGGCGAGTTGCGGCCAAACTTGTCTTTCCCTTTTCCCCTTTTACAACTGCAACCACAGCGTCCCTTTGCGCCCCCAGGGCCGATATGTTCACCACATTTTGTGCTATCCTTGGGCTCCATATCACGAATTTTGAAATCGAAACTATCACTCGGAAGAACACAAATCCATTAGCCTTTACCTTTATTTGCTGTTAGATATCCAGTGCCGGAACAAGATGCCCCATAAAAGTCAGAAAGAAGGAGATTTTAAAAAATCACGGTGTTTACATCCCTTCACAGGAACTCGGCACATTTGCTTGAAAAGGAAAGGATCAGATCCTAGTGTAATCTTACTCTGGCCATGACGTTGAGTATTGCACGGATTCCCACGATACAAACATCATAGGTCTGGTAGTATCCCGCAATCAAGATGGATATTCCTAGGATGGTCACACCAGAAAACTAGTATCATAGGAATGTACCCTAAGTCGACAATTTCAGGGTATAGCATCAAAGTTGCAAAACTTAGAATTGTTTGGGCATATCAATTCGTAATGCGGGGTATTCCGAGCGAGTCGTCTATTGCATCAAAAAGATGCTTTGAGATCAAACTGGTTTCACCACTTCACGCAGAAAGGGAAACCGCACGATTCCACAGCAGCAGGTCAAGTGAGTGGTGCAAAGATGGAAATTGTAGGACTAAAGAGCTAGAATTGCTTTAGTTTCCCGAGAAAGAGCAGTCGCCGGCCCTCAAAGCTCCTATCTCTTGGACCTCAATCCCCAGCCTACTAGTCATCCAAGCCTACCAAGTGATGGAGCTTTTTGAGGCCCCGTTCCACGAGCCCTTTTCCCTGTGCCTCGAGCGAATGTTTATGGTAGTCAACTTGGAAGTCCCCATTCTTGGTGTACCTGACAATCGCAAAATGTTTGTTTCGACCTTCACCAGATTCGAAGTCGACCACACCAGCATTTCTAGAGATAGATGTGAAATCAACTATAAAACTAGCTGGGTATTCGGTCCGACTAATGTAAAACTTCATTTTGGGCTTTATCTGTGTTGTCGTTTGATTGGAAGCAAGCATCTTGAAAGCGCATGGTCTTAGCTAGATGAATAATACAGCTCGCAGATAGATCGTATTTTCTCTTACCGTTGCAACAGGGATTAATCGGCCGTGTCCATCCATCTTTGCCATACCGATGAGGAATCTGTTATTGGGGCTTGGGAGGTCGTTTCCGGTGAATATTTCAAAAGTTGCAGTGGGAGCTCCGTGGGTGTTCTCTGTCAAAGTTGCCGCATCATTAATGGTGGTCTTCATCTGAAAAGAGCCTGTGCGAAATAATTTCATTAACACAGCGCTTGAATTGACAAGGACTTCCTCCTTGCATGGGCTAGGTAAATGTACTTCCTTTGCTTCTCTCCGTGCCAAGGGATGCTAGTCGTCCGACTCCGGTAGGAACCTCCACCCCGGTGCGGGGTTGCGGGGCACCGTTCCTGCCCCTATTCAGGTTAGCTTTCAGCAAAACTTAGTTTTTACTTTGGAAACGAGCACTACAGTGACGTTCCCCGCCTGTATTTGCAGAGCGTACAAGCGAAGCAGTCGACATCAGTTGCCACGCTCAAATTTCCACCGCTTGGAACGAGCATGCTGATCCAGCAACTTGAGAAAATGCCATTTTTGTTGGAGGTTTCAGGAGGATCCATCACGAAGGAAAAGAAGTGGTCAGATGTGTCCTCGTTGACGAGGCGGATATGATATACTGTCATGACGTAGGAACAATATACAATCTCGATTATGCAATCGACTGTTGACATTCGTTGAGAGTTTATCAAGATTCTGTTGATTGTATGGTGGATGCCAGACCTAGAAGAGGAATCTGGTCTATATGTGTTGACAGCCACAAAGTCTGGCCGGTATTACCAAGCGCTGAGGGGCATTCGATCGATGACAAGACTAGTGGTGGTCTGGAGTTTGGGTGACATACAGTGGCGTGGCAAAAGTCTGGACCAGCACTATTGACCGCCCCCCCCCCCCACCCCCGCTTTCCTAATTAGCTTGCTATGATAGTTAACTTGTTAGGACAATCCCCAGAGGGCGTCCTGATACGATAAGGATACGAGTGAAGAATGTGAGATATGCCTGATATGGGTATGATGATATTCAGACTAATCGCTGGTCTTCCTAAGAAGATCCAGCTCCTCCTTTTTAGGGGATCCTCTGTGCGTATGCAAGCAGGTAAGCGAGGTGATGTATCAACAGGCGGCCCCGGTGGTGGATAGGCACCTCCTCCGCATTTCCTATACCTCACTGTACGGTTGGCGTAACATAACTTGTTATTTGTTGTTTGGTATTCCGCGTGTTTTCTGGGTTGCCAAGTGTAGCATGTGACAGTTTCATGACGTCAACGGTAATATGGATGGTTAAGATGAAGAGTTAGGCTCTCCTATATCGAGTTTTCAATGTGTCCGTATTTCAAAGTATCACCGTACCCCCAATATCAGCTTAATGCTAATTCACCATTCGTGTTCACAGCGTCGAGTCCCTGGCCAAAGCTTGCGCTTACGAAACCACGGCAACCGTGTTGGAAAATGTCGTTACAATGGGACAAGCTATCTTCTTGGCAACGCGACAACCAACAAATCCTTTTAGGTTATCGAACTTCCTCCAATTCCTTCAGCAAATCATTCACAAGCCTCATATATATTCATAATGAATCCGTTAACATCTATTCCCACCTCATCCCTGCGGTTATCATTTCACTCTTCAGCATCTCATTCTATACAGCACTCGCACGCAGATATGCAAGCGTCTCAGCGGCAGATGCCCTAGTTTTTGGCTGTTTTTTCTTGGGGGCTGTCTTATGCCTGGCCATATCGGCAATATTTCACACCGTCCAGAATCATTCCTCGCGTGTTGCACGCATCGCAAACCAAGTGGACTACATTGGTATCATATTGCTGATTGTCGGGAGTTTTATTCCTAGTATTTTCTACGGGTTTTACTACCATCCCAACTTGCAGAGAGTCTATTTAACCATGGTCTGTCCTCATTTGCTTCTTGGCCGTTTGATTAATCAAAGACAGCCCCTTACATAGATTTTCTAAGATCACATCCCTTGGCCTGCTTTGTGCCGCGATTTCAGCAAATCCTCAATTTCGGCACCCCACTTGGCGACCCTTTAGGGCGGGAATGTTCATCTCCCTTGGACTATCAGCACTCTTCCCTGTCGTTCATGGAGCTATGAAGTTTGGCCTCAAACAGATAAACAGGCAGATCGGTCTTTTCTGGGTTGCTCTGCAGGGTTCGCTCTATATTTTGTGAGCCTGCATATATGCTGTGAGTAAAGAAACGTATCATACGATCCAGAGTCTGATATACAAATCTTCAGCTCCGAATACCAGAGCGCATATCTCCTGGCCTCTTCGATATCTGGATAAGCTCTCACCAAATCTTTCACATTATGGTGGTCTTGGCTATAATATCTCACCTTCGAGGATTGGTCAATGCCTTTGATTACAATCATAGTGTTATGGCCTTACATTGCTGACAAGAGATACAGTCAATGGCTACCCTTTCTGTACTGTACCTAATAGGTTAACTCGGTTCGATATACATTCATATGCTTGCATGGCTTCCGACGAGTATAGGCATTTTAGGCTACATTGAGTAGGGGGGGCGCTAATGCAGTCTGATCGGTACAGACGGGTCGATATGGAGAGTAATGACGACCTAGTCGCACTGCCCACCTCAGAATTACAGTCTAAATCATCAACTATAAGGTCAAGGGACATATCTGCGCTTGAAACCATAGAAATAATCGAGAGACTAGCATGTTTTTCCTGTAATGATAGAGGACTACTTATACTACAAGATGAAGGGTGCTTGCCTGCACATCTGTCCGTGGGTCAATCTTTACATAGTCTAGCAGGATCAGTTGCACTTTGCACCATGTAATGGCAGACCAATCCATATAATCTCCATATGATCTAGGAACCACCTGTCCAGCATTAAACAATTTCCACTACAATATTTAGCTACGAGAAAACCAAATCTGGATCAATTGGCACTAAGCAAGCTGCTGCGAATCCATTTTGAATAGAACGTCGGTGTATTTCATTCCGCAATATCCTGTTGGGAAGAGAATGCGAGAAGCTGTCTCTGATTCATTGTGGAAGCCAGGGTAACGTTGGATGTTCCAGAACGTTTTGAATCCGGTAAATCATGAAACCGCTACTACTCCAATTTGATTTTGTATCACATTGTTATATATTTTCTATACCCTATCGAGCTCGCCCATTTTTAATTAAGACCGTATTGTAGCATGTGTGAGATTGTTATATTCTCTGGGTGCTGTGTGGGTCACAACCTGGCATGATATATCCAGGCGTAACTGTACATGAGTAGTGCGAGTCAGGATGACAGAACAATACCATCAAGACAGGAGCTCCAAGAGACCGTTAAGGGCATGGGATGTGTAGCCAAGCCATGTATGCAGCCAACATGAAATAGGGAGCCTAGGCATGTGATCGGCCAAAATACACCGCCACTGGGCATCAAAAATATGGTTTACCTCAATTCGTTATCCGGCTGATTGCTAGTATTGATGTAATGGGGTTGAAGGCATGGAATGATAGGTCATTCGCTCGAAGAAATATCTTTGAGCTGGGCTCTTAGGCCTGTTTAGCCCTAATAAAAAGGGAGACAGAAAAATATTAGATAGCGGACAAATCCAAAATTCCCAAGTCCCGTCAGCATCAAAGATACTGCTTTTCAATCGTGGTAGGTATATAGTAGAACACACATTGATCTACTTATAGCATTACCCCTGACTAGCATTAAAGGATCGCCAGATCATAGGAAGAAAAATCTGCACGGGGGAAATATAAAGGAAGTATGCAACTTGTTATTCATATGCTCTTTGTAAACGTTTAGGTTGCCACCACAACGCCACGGCATCCAAAACGGGACAGAGGTGAGACCCGCAGAAAATGGTCTGTCACCATTGGTGACTGACCAATTTATTATAAAACGACCAAGCATTCAGCCGGCCAATAAGGGCTGCTGGACTTATCAGTTCACATAATACTGAGACGATTGGTAGAATTAGACTGGCAACATTCGTCACAATGTAAGCAGAGCTACGGTCATACCCAATAATAAAGGTCCTGCCCTCAATGGCTTTTTTGGTATTATTGTTAACTGTAGAATCAAGATTATTTTTCCCTCTCATGCTCCGTGTCTCCTGAAATTCAGTCTCCCATCTCTCTAGTCATCTGCCATTTTCCTACTAAGTATCGGTTTCATGCTTTCGTTAGACAGTCGATGAACCTTTTACCCCAAGCCGCGCTGTTTTCTGAATTAGCACATTTCCCAGACTCAGAGAGATATGTCTTACCTTGTATTTCTTATAACATGTTCTTCTAGCTTGTGAAAGTTTGCTGCTCTTTCTTTCTCCTCCATAGTTAGTGCAGTACGGAGAGCATCAACAGATTCCTCAACATCCCATGGATTAAAGACGATACTCCCATCCAAGACCTCTGCGGCACCAGTGAATTCAGATAACACTAGGCTTCCATGCTTCAGACGCTGGGATGCAGTATACTCCAATGACACTAAATTCATACCGTCTCGAGTAGAAGAGACTAGGCAGACATCTGAGACAGCATAGAGAGCTACAATCTCCTCAAAATCAAGTGCTCTGTATAGGAAACTGACTGGCGAAAATTCAATCGATCCTTGAGACATGTCAGCCCACCTCATATTCTCTCAGTGGGCAAGGGTTGACTGACCGTATTTTCCGTTTATCCTACCTACTAGTTCATTGACTTCCGCCCGGAGGCTCTGATACTCTTCCACGTCTTGTCTCGTTGGCACGGCGACTTGCATCAAAACCACTTTCCCAACCCATTCAGGGTAGCGAGCCAAGAATACTTCCAGCGCGTGCAATTTCTGGGGCAAGCCTTTGATATAGTCCAAACGGTCGACACTGACAATCAATTTCGCGCCTTGATACCTCTGCAAGAGCATCCGAATTCGTTCTTGGACATCATTTCCATGGACAGCATCTGCAAAACGCTCAGGTTGGATACCGATTGGGAAGGCACCAACGGCCACACTGGAACCATGGAATTGTACATGGTCCGAGCTTGTAGGTAGCTTCCTGATGAGATGGGTAAATGTCAGAAAGGAAAGTGGCATTTAGGTATGCTGAGAAAACCCACAGAACCTCAGAGCAACTACTCAGAAAATGTCTTGCGTAGCTCGCTGTGTGGAATCCAATGAGATCGCAGTGCAACACACCGGTAAGGATCTTTTTCCTCATTGGTAAAATCCTATAAACTTCACTGCTTGGGAAAGGGGTATGTAGAAAAAACCCGATCTTGACTTTCAAACCGGACTGTTGCGTAATTTCGCGGAGGAACTGCGGAAGGAGCATCAAGTGGTAATCATGAATCCAGATAGTATCACCGTCATGCAGCTGCGAGGTGATCACTTTGGCGAAGAGGAGATTAACTTCATAATAAGCTTCCCATGCAGCCTTATCAATGCGGCCCATTTCATGTAGCTGGTAATGAAAAAGTGGCCACAAAGTGGAATCTATGTATAAATAATCAATATAAGCGTTTTTGTGCTTCTGTAGTAGTACGAAGTTCCAAGCGGATTAGCTTGTCAATAGGTTGGTAAAAAATGCAGAAACTGACTTTAGAATCCGCTGTAGTACTTGTGAGCTAGATCACTATCTAGAAATATCGGCAGCACATTATGTTCGGCTACCTTTTGGCTCACAAGCTCTTCATCCTCCTGAGGTATCTCAAGGCCTGGCCATCCAAACCACCGGAAGGGCATCGATTTCCCTAGGCCGCTGAGAGCGCCGGCTAGGCCGCCAGTTGATTGAGAACACTCATAACTTCCATTTACTAGCTTGATTGTGACTGGCAAACGGTTGGAGATAATGATAAGTCTTGGATCTGCAGGCATTATGCATGAGGCTTTTGAAAAACGCTGTGCTGCTCAGGAGGTGTATGGACCAACCGAAATAGGTAATTGCATGAAACGGATATTTTTACCATGGGTTTTGTAAGAAGTCCCATTTATAGCCGACGGGAATTTTACTTTCCGACAAAATGGCCCTTTTCCTACATCATCGGAATCAACATGCTGGTCAGTTAACTAACCTAGCCCACCTAGAATATTACGTCATCGCTGATGTTCCAACTTAGGTGCAGTAGTGAACTATGAACTGGTTATACGTGACGAGTTTCCTAACGACTATTAACAATAATCTTGCTTTTAGATCAGCTGGGATTTACTCATAGGTCGGTTACATCCAGACCTTTTTTAGATAAAAAAGTGTGATGTTATGACGCCGAATGGGTAGACATGTTGAGAATGCATCAATCAGTCATCGGCCCTAAATTCCCCGGTCACCAGGGACTTTTGATTTACAACCTGGCTGTAAACTGGAGCAAAATACAGAAGAGAACAAGAAGAGAGAATCTCTGCGTGTACATGTTTGTTCTCGGCTACTCCACTAATCGTTGAGCAACATGCAAGCGACTACAATTACGTATCCTTATCAGTAATTTACTGTAGAGCTTACCGTTTCCTGGAAACGAAAACGAAATTTTGTAGCATCAAGGACTATTGTGGTTTCATTAATGTTCTTGCTATTAGGTTTTGTTGTGTAGGATGATATTTAGGGCCTTTATCTTTATCACATAAGTGGCGGTAGGGACTAATCAAGAGACTTGCTTGCGTGCAAAGTGTAAGTCATACTTTGGCGAAGGTAATGTATTCTCAGAAAAGAAAACGTGGCATGTATCTTGAAACAGGAATATTTGCCATTATTTCAAAACATCTTAGCCCAACCATTCTAGGTTTGGCGATTAATTGCATTTTCGTGAGCTAACCATGTTGACAAGGCCCTGACACCTAGTACCCAATAGGATGCCGCAAAAGCTTCCTGCAACCTGGAGAGGGTTTTCGTACTATTTTTTCGCCACTGATGGAATATGAATAATTATCACCGCTGCTTAGTCACTTATGATGTCAGAACGTCATACCCAAGTCGCACTTGTCTTATAAATGGGAAAATGCCGTCGTTATTGCGGTTGGGTGTTGACACAATGATCTACAGATATGGCAGGCGAAATTTTAAAAGTATGGGGCCCATTTTCTCCAATAATGATAGCTTTATTAACGTTTTACAAGCCACCATCTGACAAAAGTGCCGGGGCAGCCAGTCAATACCAAGCTGCTCCCTTGAGAGAGAAGATATTTTCAGAGCAGTCAAAAGGTTCGGGCCAGTTCTAATAAAAAGATCGTTACTAACAATACGCAGCACCGTATTTATTTCGATTCTGAAGATTCAGCTTTGGAATCGGCGCAAACAGCCTCCGATATTCCTCACATCACGGCGCAACAGCACATGTTGAGCCCACGTTTCCTGGTCACCCCTGTCTCAAGCCAAAATACCACCGATTGGTTAGTATACCTTCCACAGACTACGGACAACGCCTCGGAGCCGTGGATTTACTGGTGGGAAAACCAGACTTATGCTGGAGATCAAACTGTCACTGTGTCGGCACCGCTGGGGCATGTCCCACTCTTTTATCAAGGCACACGAGCTGATATCATCAATGGATGTATCTTTGGCTAAGATATTCTACGCATGATAGCTCTTCTTGAGATACAAAACATTACCATGTGCAAAAGCCATCACATTATCTCAGGTATATGATATGTTCTATTCGGGATTATTGCGGAGAGCCCCTCCCCCTTGCGTCGGGTTCACGATATTCCGTGCTTATAATCGCACACAGATATCGCTCGTATATCCTCTCCTTCGAAAGTAACATCGCCTTTTCGAGGGATAGTTGGGCTCTCTTCGCAACGGTTTTCTTCCCGCCCACCGCAGAACCCCTCATGTATGTACTAAGTATGCTTCCGCATAGCTTTGCTTCCTCCTAAGAATATACGGAGTGCTACGGGCCCGCCTGCAGCCCTCACGGCGCTGTAGCCTTCTGTCAAGGAGACCTACATCACCATGTTCAGACTGCAGGTGCCCCGTACGGGCCAAAAATATCTCACTCGTCTCCATTTGTAGCAGTGTAGCAATGGTTGGAATAGATTATCTTATTGTTCAGAGGGAAACATTAGGCTATATATATACAACGAGAAGAACAAGTTGATTTCCAATCAACTTGGTTCTTCGTATAGATATGTCGGGATTAATTCCGATAGTTCGGCTTGGTTCCTGATCTGCACCAGCCTCATATCACAACATGATACAATACCCTGCTACGGAAAATTACACCATGTGTGTAAAACGACGGTGGAATATTATGGAATCCAATAATGAATCTGCATGTGGGGAGGGCTGCCTAGTGCCGGGTAACCTGATGATCTTCTGGGCGGGTTCAGTTCTCCTTCTCATCCTGTGCGGCTTGTGCTGGTCATCGCCTGTGAGGCTGTCTCTGTAGCCCAGAGAACCTTAACAAGTGATACTAGTAACCAACAACCATTCTGACCACTTAGCGGTTGTTTGCGGGCGAACAACACCCTTAACCGATCCTAATGGTGGAAGCCTTAACCAAGAATCACTATCGATAAGTCTATCATTATAGTAGGCTTAGACATATAAGGCCTAGTTCTCCCATTAGCTATGATAGCTACGGCGTTTAACAAAAAATAGCGCTCGACACATGGGATGATACATCGCAATATGCACTAACACCCAGCAACCTTCGTCGTTTAACCGCCTCCTCGTCTGACAAGAGATTCTCCCTTGATTAGGCGCTATAGATTCCCCATGTGAAATAAATGACAACAAATATAGACTAACAAGCAAGGATATATTTCTTTTATTAGAACAAGGCGGCTGCAGCTGCGGCTGCGGCTGCAGCGCACAGTGGTGCAGCGGTGATCAAAGGCTTCGCGGGAGCAACAGCGGCATCAGGGGTCTTAGTTGCCTGAGGAGCAGTGAAGGAGGCGACACCGCCATTGACCTCCAGTTCCTTGTAACTGATATATAGGGTCGGGATGTTCGTGGTCGTTAATGAGTTAGAAGAGGCAAAAGTTCCACCAGATGATGAGCCAGCGAACGAGGAACTCCATGAGCAAGAGGCCGATTCAGAGTAGTGAGTGAAAGAGCACTCGGCTGTCTCTGTAATTGTGGCGGTCGTTTGGTCGGTTGTGTAAGTAAAGGAAGCTGCAAAATTATAGGTGGCAGGGCCCTGGATTAGGGTCCAGGGGTGTTTGGAATCGATCTGGCAGTCGGATTTGGGCGCAACGCTCAGACAATTGATTTCGTAAGTGGTTGCGACCGCATTGATGCCAGCAAGACTGGCTGCGGTGCTGGTGAAAAAAAATGGGCCGATATTACCACCAAGTCCTAAGCCGACACCGAAATAGCCGACAGTGGTGGTGCTCTCGCCAGCGGCCAAAGCAGCCAATGTAACCGCGAGAAACAAACTGATGCGCATTATGGCTTCTTCTCTCGTTAAAATCATCTAAGAGAATAAAATCCAAAGCCCCAATTAATGTGATATAGCAGAACACAGGCAATCAATTCTCAGACAGCAGAAGCGAACAGAAAATAGGCCGCGGGAAACAGGACGGCCCCTTCCTTTTCAGCGGCAATCACAAGGTTAAAGGATTACCTTGCTTCGCTTAAGCATATGTGGGAGTAACGTACTCAGACCCTTCTATCCCCATTTGGTATGATCTCTAGACTAGCGAAGCCTCTAAATCCACCTGTATCTGGTGATTGGTGTTATAAAATGACCAATTATGGCCCTATACCTAGATAGTCGGGCTTGGTAACATCGGCCTACGCCACAAGTGCAGGTACCTGGTGACGGGATCACGTGATCATGTGGTTACATAGACCTCGCCAAGCGCGGGTTTGGGTTGGGTTTTCATTTTCTGTTGAAGATATCCCGGTTGCTGAGATAATAATGAGGCTGGGATCACGTGCATACATATATACCAATCTCTCAGCCTACTTGTATCTTAGACAACACATTCAACACAACACACAATCAACTCACCTCAACAACAAGAACACTGAAGCATCACTTTTACAACAACAACCCGCGGTGGGTTGCCCGTGGGCGGGTAAAGAAAATGAAAACCCAACCCAAACCCGCGCTTGGCGAGGTCTACAGGAGAGAACTGCGGGTCACCTGATTAACCAAACAGTACAAACACAATCCTCCAAAAGTTACATCATCGGGACAACCCGATGGGCCAGGACAAGGCGAAATCTCTGTGACAATATCAAGATCAACCCTTCATAGCTTCAGCACTTTGAAAGTATCGGGTTTCTACGATGGCACAACAACATAACACTACCCTAGTCAAAGGCCGTCGGATGCCTAAAAAGGTTGACGCTTGGATACTAGGGAGCAGTATTGCGTCATTGGCGACGGCAGTTCATTTGATTTCCGATGCCAACGTGCCTCCCTCTCAGATCCATATACTAGAGTCTCAGGGAACCCCTGGAGACGGCATAACTAGTATCGGTGACCCACTGAACGGATACGATCACCGACCTGGGTGCTTGCCAAGTTTCAATGACGTCTGCTTGGGAAAGCTGCTTGCTCTGGTGCCTTCTGCTTGCGGTTCGGGAAGAACAGTCAAAGAGGATATTGAAAAGTTGCATGACGATGAAGGCTGTCAAGACGTTCCTATCACACACATCTTGGCTCAAGCAGATGTCGGGCCGAAGAGAATGGAAATAGGGAAACTCGGCCTGGGCCTAAAAGATCGAATGAAATTGACGATGCTCATGTTGCGATCCGAGGAAAGGCTGACCAGAAAGCGAATTGATCAGCTTTTCAACAAGCCTTTTTTCGACAGCATATTTTGGATTGTTTTCTCTACTATGTGAGCTGCTTGACGAAAAGAAGACAAAGAGATCGCGTAGATGCTAAGAATGAAATTTTAGATTCACCTTCCAGCCATGGCACAGTGCTGCCGAATTCCGCCGATGCCTTCGAAGATACTTTCACGAATTTCGAAACTTAAACACTAAAAAGCCGCTGGACTGCATTCAATTCAACCAATTTGAATCAATCATCATGCCAATGATGCAATTCCTTCAAAAACAAGGCGTTGATTTCCGATTATGCACCAAGGTCACGGATATTGTAACACATTCAGACCGTGGTAAAGAAACTGTTTCAGCGATTAGTATATTGCATGACAGCTCCCAGGAAACATTAAATGTTCGTCCCGATGACATCGTCATCGTCACCCTCGGATCTGTCACATCAGGCTCGTCGAGTGGTTCCAACAAAAGACCACCACCTCTGAAGACAATGATAGCCGAAGATGAGCTAGATGAAAACTGGTCGCTTTGGTTGAATCTAGGAACAAAGTATCCTAGCTTTGGAGATCCGTACAATTTCTGCACTCGCCTCACCGAGTCTAGGTTGGAGACCTTTACGGTTACACTCAGGGATGCTGAGTTCTTCTATCGTCTCGCTAAACTAACATACGATAAGCCGGGGGTAGGGCGCTTGATATCTTTAAAACACAGCAATTGGAAGATCAGCGTCTGCATACCCCGCCAGCCATTTTTCTCGTCTCAACCTGACAACGTACAAATCATCTGGGGCTATGGCCTCTGTCCGGAACGCGAGGGAAATCTCGTGAAAAAGCCGATGCTTGTTTGCTCTGGCGAGGACATAATGGCCGAACTGCTATGGCACCTGGGCTTCCCTTTGGAACCAATTCTTAAGAACTCCATAACAATCCCGTCTGTGATGCCACGACGGACAGCATCACTGTTGCCTCGAATTCGTGGAGATCGGCCAACGGTAAAAATAGACGAGATGACAAACCTCGCTGTGATAGGCCAATTTGTGGAAATACCAGATGAGACAGCCGTCAGTATGGATTATGGTGTGCGAGGAGCCCAGCTAGCAGTGAGCCATTTGATGGGCCTTCCTAAACAACCAGCGGAGGCAAGGAAAAGACCTAGTTTTCCTTTCTTGGATTTGTGGGTTTGATGGAGCAGACAAAAGATACAATTCTAACATCATTCTCTGAAAAAATACGGTACAGTAACACCCTGCCATACATGAACAGTCCTAATTTAGCTGCTGTATTGCAGCAGCATACTATCTATTTACTGAACTTCAGATGCTTTGTTCAAAAACAACTGAATAACGAAAGCCGTGTTATTCCCCAACGCGTGATGTAGTCTCTCCTTACTCCACGTTTTTAGTTGAGGTTTTATACTCAATATCTATTCTCTGATCCAGAGAGCCTTTTCTTTCAAGACTCACGCTTTCCCCCCCTATACATGTTCCCGATGGTATCCTGTCAACATTGCTGGTATTGGAGACCGGGGCATAAGGATGGGAAAAGCTCTCGCGACGGAGATAGGCATATATATTTTAATAGCGCCGTCATCGTTGATTTGATGAGCGGCGGAAAGTGCGGGATCACTGAAGTCGAAATAAGTAGGTCTTTTCTGGCTGTCAGTCTGAATCCCCTTTTTGAAACTACAGCGGAATACCTTGGATCACTGCCCAAGTAGATCTTCAAGAAGTCGCTTCTAACATCTGCTGAGGTGGCGTTACAAATCACAAATAAAGATGAGGTATTGGAAAGAAGCATCTAAGGCTAACACATAGCTATAATTACAATTAATTGAACTGTCACACAGAGCTGTTATCTTCTGAAGAAAATCAGTTCTGTCGCAGGGAGTCGGTTTCGTGTAGATCGAAATACCTTTCCAACTGATGGTCCCATCACCATCAACATCTAGCCTTTCAAATTGGCTTCTCGCCTCGTTTTCTCTCACAACCAAAGCCGAAAGCACCATTTGGAACTCATTCCAAGTAAATCTACCTATCGGTGATGAGTATCCGCATAGGTTTTTGCCAAAATATTCGGAAAGGCTGAGCTGGAAGGGTTTCTAACCGTCACTTTCTTCATTCTGAAATGGGAAGCTTAGTGAATGCGAATAACTTATACAATTTTTGAGCCATGACCTACACCGTCACCGGCCTTTTTTACCATTCAGGTTCGTATTTTGCGTACGATCCTGGTTTATTGGTGGGCTACAGAAAGTTCAGCACTGTCTTTGAATGATTGCTAGAGGGTGTTGTTGCAGGAGTTGGATATCGTATGATACTTTGGACCTCTTGCCATCTTAAAAAAAAAAAAAAAAATTTGGTGTGTGCTGAGTATGAAATAATTGAAATTACAGTACATGTGCCCCAAAATTTAGAGTAAGTTTGAATCGTGTGAGAAAATGAACAATCCGTATCCTGTATTGATAATCAGCACACACTTGGTAGCTGTAACTGCTCAGTGTTCTCCGACAGCTCTTTATCATTACCTGGTTTCATTTGGATGATGAATTTGTTCATAATGGTAGAGAATCCCGTTGGGAAAGATGACGCTGAGTGACGGTGGCGTGATGGTGACGGCCTATGACATCTCTCATCCCGCCTGCCCACGTATGTCTAGGAAGATTTCTCTTGGATCAAATTACACTCCCATCTCCCCTTTTCTGGCTTGGAAAACCTAAATATCATCGAAAATGCAAACTGCTACAGGAGTATTCAAAGTAAGAGGTATCGCAGGGGCAACTGACCGCCTCAGCTGGTGTGAAGCCACTGGCTCCCCTGGCGTCAAGCTACGCGCGATTCCTCGCCCCGGAACTACCATCTCGGAACATACGCAAACAATGTTCAAGGCCAAGCAGCTATCAGGCGATGAAACTGTTTGCGATATCATCCTGGATGCGCCTGCTTCAACTCCAATTCAAGTGACCCTAGCTTCATCCAAAAGAGAGCTCTCACATAGCAACCCTTATGTGTACGATATGCGCTTGCAGCTTTATCCGAAGGGTCTGTCCGGTGTCATCACAATAGTACTTGGTGAAAAGGCCAATCAAGGGACCGTCGCTCTGTCAAGCCTGACAGCAGTGGGAGATTATCTCGCCAACTAATCAACGATTAAAGGTTCTCGTTGTTAGATCGCACCCCTAGCTGGTGGCAAATACGGGCTAAACAGGTCCGCGATACACTACAACAATCGAGAAATCGGCAATTTCGCTCAGCTACCGTTCTCTACTACTGCGAATTATTGACGAAATACGAACAATACTGGCCAGGCAACCAACGGAGATGAGATTAGGTGTGCCAAATCCGGATAATCTTTCTGCGTTGAATGTAATTAGAAGACTGTTCTGTTTGGAGATAAATAGGACTCATTCCCATGGTTTCTTAAGAGATCCGATGCATCATTGAGTGATCAACGAATAACTTCTCCCGTACTGCTCAATTCATCGGTTCCCGTTGCATGGGAGAACCGTAATGCGCAGGGTGGTTCCTTTTCTGTAAGCTGTTGCTACAATGGCTGCGGCGTGTATTGGCTCCTATGCCACGTAACAGATAATTACTTTGCCTCCGGAATAATCGTGGGAAGCCCGGTAAGTTAAAATACCATTGAACGCTAATAGAATGGAGACATCTATACCTTGTCTTTTTCCGCCAGCGTTACAGACAGTGACGATATGTCAGCCGTCATGTCTCAGGCCCTTTCCAAGGAAATGTTACGCAAAAGGGTGTCTATAAGTTGTGACCTGGTACGTGGAGTGCTGTAAATTCAGTTTCTTGTCTGCAATCTCGTCCAGGTGCGTCAATTGCTGGGCGTTCTGTTTAGGCAGCTCAGAAAATTAATAGGCCTAAACTGCACGGGAATGGAAATTTAAGGTAATCTAAATGTGTTATATAATGCCAGAAATGAGTCATTAAGTTAAAGTTTCAACCTATAATGAAAGGGCTCATCGCCCAATAAATATCGTGACGTCTGGATGACGTTCCCATTCTCCCTCCTGCATTGCTCTTTCCAATTTCACAAGTATTCCTACCGATATAGCCAAATGAATATTTCTATCCTTTGCCGGTTCCAACCTGTCTATGTTTACAGTTGGCTAGTGTTAATTTACAGCTTATCAACTCCCAACGCTTCCCAACGCTTCCCATCGGCCTCCCAACAATTGTATTTTAATACGCCGCAATGCCCAAAAGCATACCAATTATGCTCGAAGTTGGAGGATTTATGACACCCATCATTGTCTACGAAGATATTTCATACACACAACTTTCGGATGTGGTCAGTACATATCTCAGGAAGACAGATTTATGCAGACAGAGCCCGAGGGGTTTCTGGGTGCGCTGGGAACGCTACGACCAGCAGAGCCCTTTTCCGGAGAGAACCCGAATCGACAAAGATAATGTAATGGCTACAATAACACTTATGTTGTTAAGGGGTGGACGTGACGTCCTAGAAGTGGACTACCAATCAGACTCGTCATTAGGGTAGCACGCCTAACTCAACAATTCCTGCTAGGTGGTACTTGCTGCTTTAATACAATACTGCTATGCGGGAGTGGTGTCGAGCCTGCCGACAGCTAAAAGATGTCGCCAGCCCACTGGGCGACCTAGAGACTCACGACCCGAGCTCAACTTGAAAAATGTCGTCACCCACTACTCTACGCATCATCCTGCTAGTGGGGTTCATCTGTTGTGTTGTGGGGCCAAAAGAGGAGGCGGAGGATGCTGAAATGGGCTGATTATGGAAAAGGCGTTATTGGGGAGATACAAAGCGCGATACTGAAAAGTAATTGGATTCCCAACCAAAAAAATTATTCGGAGGCAGGATTAAGATGCTTGGTACATTTACCTGAAAATTAATTAACAGGCAACTTGTTATTTCTCTCTTTTGATTAAAAGTTGAATTTGATGTTCATAACTATAGCCCCATTGGTCAACGATCTATTTCGCACCTCTTCTAAGTAGTTGTTATTCTGTTTGCCAGGGTTTGTACACGTTTTGGATTTTCTTGATCGTTCTGGTTCCAGCATCGTAAGTTGTATCCCCGGGTTCGAGATCACTGAGCATGCAAGGCCGAAGAAAACATCGTCGGGATAGAATATACGTTCCATCCCTGGGATGAAGAGATGCCTGCCCTGCAGGGGGATAACTTCGCCTGGATCAATGGTAAAACTTCGAAATGGGCTTCCTATTCGCAGTGTGGAGATCACGCCCCGTTTTACAGAAGTCAGCAACATGAATGGTAGTCGCGTCAATCATGCGTGATTAAGACATAGGCACAGTCTCAAAAGTGTAGCTGGTTGATAGACATACCGCCAGCCCAATGAAATTAAATTTTACTCCGAGATCCTATGTCACTTGTCACCATTCAATGTGGCAGAGAACTGATGTTTCTTTCTTGAAAAGGTACCGGCGCTAGCTCTATGTGGGAATACTTTGAATTTGTCCTGAAGAGTTCGCGTCCGCGCGACGGCACAGGTTGTGATACAGCGCAAAGATTAGTCGAGATTATTGTCTGGCCCATGATCCCTTTATAGCTGAACGGCAAAGAACTCTGGTTTGGCACGTCCACCGATCAAGGGGCGATAATATGTAAGTGTATTCCGAGCAGGCGCGTCACCAATGCGACCTAAACGTGTTGATTCCAGGCCATACGAAGCGTTCTCTCAAGATCTCACTCCGCCCGAGTATGATGTCATATCGCATCACGGAAAACTGCCGAGCCACTAACATAGAGAAGAGAGACGTCTTTTGAGAGTCTCCGGAAGTTTCAGTCAACCCTTTTGATTTATATTTTCAAATTCTACCATTTTCCATTCAAAGCGTTGACGCCTAACAACATCCATATCTCCCATCCAATTCATATTCCACGAACTAGTGGCTCTGGCTCTGCCTTTCTACCTCTACCACCATGTCTTCTCTCGCCTCTATCCGGGTCTCATCCCGCCAAGTCATTTGTTCCAACTTCACCCTCCCTGCCTCTACATTTCGCACCTCGGCAGTGCGAGGCTTAAACAAGAATCATCGACGTCAGTATACAAGCCATAGCTATCTCTGATCGCCATTACTAATCGTACGCAGATCGTGAAGGTCCCCCCAACCACTACGAATCCTCCAAGCATGAGGCCCTCAAGGACACCAAGGATGAGACGGGAAAGTGGGACTCAGAGCTGGCTAGTACCAGCGAGCAGAATGTGAGAATGCCCTCTCCAACCTCGCGAAATATATCAGAGCCAACATCTTATTCAATTAGGTGAGAGCGGATCGGGGTGAATTTGATGGTGAACATCCCAGTTTCGATGCCATGCAGCAAAAGATGAAACAATTGCCTCATGACACTCTCAAAGTATCCGGAAGTAAGAAATGGGTGAGGATTGAATAGCTGGACGTTTTGTTGTGTGATCGATCGCCAATGAGATTTATTTTGGTCCTGGTGTATGTATTTGAGAGATATCGTTGCAGAGTGTTCTCGTGTGATTTGGTTTTAAGGATTATCGCATTAACAATAACAGTTGAGAAATTACACGTCTTGTTTCCCTGAGTATATCAGTGAATGGAAAGAATAAGTTACGGCGAAGGATATAATCGTGGATGTAGTATGATCATGAACTCAGCGTCCAACAATTCAACGTGGCCATCAAGTTCGTCCCCAATCTTGATACTCAGCTGGTGCTGCTGACCAATCGATCGTCCAGCAGGATTTGGCAGTAGCTGGCAGGGAGGTTGTCTCCTTGCTCTTCTGTAGCCTCGCAGGCTCATATTCCAAGTGGATTAATGTATATCTTGGTTAGAAACCCATACTATTGAGGTCATTTATAACCAACAAGTGGAGCCCGATTCATTATATTTACTTTTGCTGCTTGAATTGGCCTGATCTGGATCTTTATTTCGTCAACCCTATGGCATAATTTTCATGGTTTTTTGTCTTGGTCGCCAAACATTTAGCTTTTGGAGATTTCGACATGATCTCGCGGGAGCAAATATCTCGCTGCTATCGAGATATGCTGCGGCTTTGAGTAAAATTGGGTTCGATAGACCTCGCAGATGGGGCTGTCTCCAGTTTAGTATGTAATTTCCGAGACAAAGGATACTCGTTACGAACCATGGTGAAGTTTGGGATGGCGAGCAATGGTAGGGCAATACAATCGCGCGTAGGGTTATGATGGTCTGGTGAAAAGAGCGGCCGGGCGAGTTTATATCGTTCTTCGTGTCGCTACACGGCAATCATCGTACCTGAATCCATCAAAGAAGCTCGAACCACAAGAATGCGCCGCGAAGAATGGAAGTTCCTTAGAGCGAATTGTAATAGCAGTACTGCTCATGCCCCCCAGGATCGTTGTCAGGGATATACATGAGGCATACACGCTAAGTGGAGAAACGGACCCACATGGTGCATCTGGGTTCCCCTGAACGCGAGGAAGCTGTCTTTCTTTTGCTTCCTCGCGCTACGTCTTGTATCTAGAGAAGACTATAGCTTTCTTTAATATTGATCATTCATTGGAAAGACACGCTCCTCATCAACAGATACGTGCATCACAATCGCATTCGTAATTCCTGGGAGAGCCAAGTTCCGGGGAGCTCATATCGCTGGCACAGTAATGCATGGCCAGCTGGATAACGGTAACCAACGGCATCATGTCATATGGAATCAAGCAGAGGGTTGAGTTAGGAGAGTGATTCTGACCCACCACCACCCGTGTGGCTCATTGCGCCATCCCTTCCACCTAAATAAATAAATCATCTTGGACCTTACCATAGACCTGTTGATCGCCGCTTGACTTCGAGGACGGTGCAAGCCTTTGATCATACATGGATCTCTTCAGTCGTGGCCTTGCGACGATTCCGCATCGTGGACAGTCGTTACTTAACGTTGCGCAACAGTGACACCCGAGTTATCAACAAGAATTGGCTTTGTTTCAGAATTGGTGCGTGCATCGAGTAAGTTCTGATAGCAAACTCTGTGACATAACTTCTAGGCTGTAGGTAATCAGATTAGCTTGTTGAGACGAGTCCACGACACGCTATTTCTGGCCGACTCTTCTGACTGGCCGCGGTGGAACTCGTTTCACCTGTGTCAACAACGTTGACGAGGGCAAAATGATTTGTCATGCTTCACGGGCTTCCGGTGGGGCGAGCGCTCCACCCGCGCTTCGTTCCCTGAATCCATTCCCGATAAGTCAACCATCTTAATGCCCAGTGATGGTCCCTGCCAACACACCGCAGAAACTCTGACCCAAAGCATGGACATGTATACACCGAGCCAATGCGAAATGATACTAGCCGAGCCCTTAAAATTTTGCAACATGTGGCTCACCGGTCTTCATATAATTTCAACCCCAAGCTACCGAATATCATCGCACGCCCGTAATTTCTATAAATTGAGATGATCCCTGTACTGCTCGACATTTCCAGTCACTTGTGCCACATCGTTTCACCAATGTCAAAAAAAATAGAAAAAAGTGACAACGAGCTCTTCGAGGTTCTATCAAGTTACGGAGACCTCAATATTGAAGAAACGGATGACGATTCTACTACAGAGGAAGATCTTTCGAAAACAAGTCCGGGTCGCAGCTTTGTGGCATCAGAGAGCGATGATGCATCATACCCAGACGAAGAGTCGCTAGGATCCAGTCTTCCCTGTATCCACCACGCCATGGATGGTCACAATACCTCCGGAGCTGTAAGTGCGTCCATGAGATTTCTTTTGACTGTCGAGCTAACCAGAGCAACTAGGTTAGCAAAAATATCCCGATTAGCGCCGTTGCCTCTCATTTAGTCTCCGAAAATGGGATTTCAGTGATACAGTATTTGGTCTTGTGGCAATCGTGGGAGCGAGAGATACCGCATGAGTATGATGTGAGCGAGGATCTGTCTTCGTAATCCAAGTCGTATCATTGACAAGACAACATGATTGGGCTTGAAAACCCTTCCAATCTGCTTTGAGGGCGCTCGCTTTATTTTTGCCTTTCAGGTGTCTACCACCTACACCGTACTTGAATTTCTTGCAGTAGTTGAGGAATCGATGGACATCGTTGGAGGTGACTTGACGAAGAGCCTCCTTCGCATCGCTCCATTTTGGAAGTATAAATGTGCTCCCGCGCAGCCTTGAGCCCTGTGATTGTACGATCTCGAGCTTCCATGCAGCTTTGAGCCCTGCGTTATCAAATTTGTGCTTGTTTAGGCGACCCGTGGCGCCGCGGTGCTTGTCCTGATCCTCTGAAGATATGCAGGCACCTCTTCGTGGTGTCAGAGACTAGTATTCGAGGGAGTCACTTGAAGAAGCCAAGACCTGCTCTGAAGAATCGATAGAAATCAAGAATTCGCCAAAGCATTGTGTATGACGACTTTAGTATTGTTTGTAGACTTCACCATTCATAGCCGTGAATCGCGCATTGTACTTTGTAGCTTTCAACCACGCCCTGGGCTTCAAGAATGGACATTCTCTTCCGTGTAGTCTAACGTAGAGCATTGAGTCATGGGGCTGGTTGAAATCCCGGTGTATGATAGCGTAGTGGCCAATCTGGGTGGCGGCTGAAACCCAAAATGTCAACATTGGTGTCAATGCTTGTCTCTGGTGGCTAGCAGTGGCGGTAGAAGTTGTCTGGATGTGGTGAGACGTGGGAGTTTCGGCGGTGGGGACGGATGGCGCGTGTTGACGATGAGTAGGTGGTGAGTGAGGTGAGTGAGGTGAGTGAGGTGAGTGAGGGTTGAGGGTTGGTGGTGATGGTCATGTTGAGATAGGTAGTTGTAATATTCTTGTTGAGGTTACTATCAAAAGTGGGAATCCCATCTATTTAAATGTCCATCGCTAGTCCCGCCATAAGCTTTGACCACCGCGATACTCAACAGTGACTGCCGAGCGGTGAAGTGGCGGCCAACGGTACACACCCATCGCCGTCATAGTGGGGATCTTCGTTCCCACGAATTCAAAAGCTGATAGACAGTGCGAAATGATGACTCCTATCAGCTTCGATTTGGTAGTACAGCAAATCGCAGTGTATTCAATACACTGTACATGTTGTCTTTTCTGGTAAAAGCTCGACTATGAGCTAGGAGTTGAGTGACGCAACCAACGTTGGTTGCCAATTCAAAAACTATGTGAAAGTGTGCATTATCTATGGCAGAGCGTATCCTTGTTCTTCCTTCGGTCGCTCTTCTGTGTGACATTCTCTCGGCTCGAGCTTCGTCGCGTGCTCTTTGGCGATATTCTGTGTCTGAGGTATGCTGAGCCGATACCTACAAAATATATATCCCCAGACCTGCGCTATTATATACCTTACCGGCGGTAAAATCGGAAACGAATTATCAGAGCAACAGCGATACGGTGGAAAGCCTGATCCTTCTGAACATCTTTCAAGTATCATTTTGTGTCGGCCTGATCAAATGAAAGACACTTGTGGAGCTCAAAACGCTGATCTAGCTGGGTACTTGCCCGGAAGAACGGCGATATAATTATTTGTGAGAATGATGGCGATAGTCAAGCAAAATTCCTGCGGCAAGCATGTCCCCTTGAGTGGTCTAGTGGAACTGACTGCATTCCTTTTCTAATAACGGCTCGGGTTCGATTCCCACAGGGTACATTCAGATGACCTTTCATCTGAAAGACGGACCAAAACCCGCTTGATTTTTCCGGGTCATTTCGCGTTTTCTACGGTCGATTTTTACCTCTTGGCCACCTCGTGATTATAATGAAACCACGTTTCTGTAGTCGCTTGAACATGCCGACTCAAGTCAGCATCTGGCCGTCTTCGGACTTGTGCCACAGGCGGCTGCACTGACGCGTCGCAGCGTCTCGCGTCGGGCACATGTGACTGGCTCACACTGACAGAAACATCACGGCTACGTTCGAGATTAACATGTACGTCTTTTCCACCAATGATCTCAAACCGGCCCAGCATCATTCGGGTAACAGTTGAGCGGTTGTAACCATCGCGGCAATCGACTGGCCGTACTTCGCGAGGCTGCTTCTGTTGGTGAGTTCGTTCGTGGCGTTCGGTGATGACATCGAGAAGGGAACATTCGATTGGCCTGCGGCCGCATTTGGGAGGAAATACTTATCTTCATATCAGCGATGTGGCAACATGGTCAGTTGGTTTACCCCAAGCTTGCAGTGATGAGAGCGTGTTGCCAGCTTCGTTCGTAAAGGCGGCCATGGTCGCAGCTTGGTATCGCTGTTTGCATTGGGACACGGCAAAGCAATCTCCCGAGGGATATACTCAATCTAGCACACATTGTTAGCTGTTGGCGCAATATGAGTGTTCGCAACTCACTGTGCTCGTGATGTAGATGAGATCCCCTAATACAAGCCCACAAACGGTACCCCGATTGGACCCGTGGGGGCGGCCGAACCACGGGTTTCTCACTGCCTCTCAATATTAGCATCATTTGAGGCGACAAGGGTGGTACAGACTTACTGCAGTGTAGTCTGGCATCAGCACAGGCAGACCAGAGACGAGGTAGCAGCCTCGGCTCGCTTACACATCAGAGGGCCCGGGATTGCTCGGTGCAGCAGGGATGAGTGGGCTATATCTGTCAATGCATATCTCTAGGCAAACTTCCAGCCATGTCAGTAAAGAGTATTACTGGTGAAGAGAGTCATGGTATGTTGTTCCGAGGAGGGTAGGAACTGACCTGAAGATTACTGCGCTCGTGGCGAGAGATCCGGGGTAGATCCAGTGCTATGGCCAACAATGTCGCTTGCTCAGCTGCAACCAGGGCCTGACAGAGATATTACTCAGGCTGTGGTCAAAAGCTCGATTCATTACTAATTGATGCTATTCTCGGAGAAACCGTGGTCTTTCTCGGTGGCCGTCGATGCTTAGCTTCTCTTTGTTGTCGCCGGATGCTTCGATAGCTCAGTCGGTCTAGAATGGGTCCAGATCATGGCGGCCGACGAGGCTTCGGATTGGACGTGGGACAAGAGGTTCATAGCCGTCGGAATACGGCAAGTTCCTAATACATTGACAGTTAACCTTTGATCGGACAGGGTAATGCCGGAGAGATGAAAACACTTTGGAATGTTACCGTATGGCTAACCGGAGGGCATCAACCCTTCCTGAATTGGGCCCGCTAAATACGACAGGCGAAGAGGCCGTTTCGACCAAGTCTTTAGAAACAACGAAGGCGCAAGCATACTGGGAGCTAGTGGCTTGGCCTATCAGGCTGGTGCACCTGGTTTAGTTACAAGGACGATGGGGGAATATAGCTCGGTCATGTCGACTGCAATATTGACATTCGCCCTATGACGAGAATGAGACGTCAGCGATATTTCTGAAGAACAGAAAGCCACAAACAGATTGATTCCATTTTGAGATGGAAAATCCAGTACCGGGTGTTGGAGATGGGCAGTGGCAATGCACCAGGGTGACATTGAGCGACTCGTGATCGAACGTTTGACTTCCTATACAGTGAGTTGTCAGCGTAGGATAACTACTCTCTGTATTGCCGCAATGATATAACTCACGTTGTCAGCTATTGCTGTCCACTGCTTTCTGGCAAGATCAAAGTGGCTGCATAAGAGATGACTTCGATCTACCATTAATAATCAGCAGGTAGCTCATGAAGATATCTCATAACTCACTGTGCTCGCAGCCTCGATAATTCTGAGGCCAGCCAAGGTCCGTCTAATGATTTCCTAGAGGAGTGGCGGAGGCGGGACTGATCTTGAGCATATTCCATGTCAGCATAATTTCAAATGACGGGGCAGCTACACTCAATTGCTGTTTAGAGACTTCAGTATCGAACAATGACAGGCTAGTGCGATGCAAAAGGTTAGTTCAATTATAAATTCATAGCTTCAAGGTCAGTCCATACCAAAGAGTAGCCGGCGAAGACGAAAAGCGTTCGATATTCCTTGACACGGAGTGACAAAGAAATGCTTGAGAACACATGTTCCACTGCCGAGGGATGGGGTACTTATAGCATTTTAGCCAGCTAATTTGCTTGGGTCGATGCGATGACCATTGTGAATTGTGAGGGCACAAACACAGACAACATTTGATTGCAGCTGGTTCAACATTTCATCATTGATTTAATGCAGCACTCGAAGGGATTGTATGTTATTCTGATGATCCAGCATATAAATTGCTTCTCTCACTGTTGGTCTCGTTTAAACAGTCGCAAAAATGCGACAGAAGCGTAGGTACCGATGATGCGTATCAACATTCACCACCATGTGTCCGTACTTTATTACGATGGATGGGGAGGCAACCTTCACTAACCGATTATGAGCGTATTAATTACTCGGAGATTGCCTCATCAATAAGAAAAAACCGTCAAGTGATGCTTCACTCCTGGCTACCTACTAGCCTAAACGCATAATGTTCTATGTTCCTTCAGTATTGGTACAGCGTGTATCGAAACCAGATTCACCACGTTTCTTCTCTTTGGTTCATTCCCGAACACAGTCTTGACGCACGCTAATCTATATATGAATTAGCTTATTTCCAAATACCGAGAGGTATTGTTTCGAGGTTATCGCATGATAAGCGGGCTACATATTATTTGAAATATACATACGCATGATACATGCACCCCGATTACCCCTCTTTTTTTTTTTCGCCAGCCCCTTGCGTTCCGCATTTTTCTATTACGCCAGCACTCTGGCACTCCCACTATTATTCGCTTGGTCACCGCATTCGAAATATTCGTGTCCCCTGCGCTTAACCCGAACTCACTGAGTATTATGATATATTTTGGGGCAGCCATTACAGACTTCAGCTCAACTGCAAAGCCTTTGCTGCTTCTTATTGCATTGTCTGCCCTGCGTCTCAAACCTGAACACTTTCGGTATCGAGGCTCCGACGTCCCGTATACGTGCGATATCACCCTTGATCAACACAATGGATTTGAATCGGCCACAAATAGCCGGTGGTGAACCCGAATTACGGGACTACGATGGCTGTGTGCCCGAACAGAACAATGTGATATTTTCTCTGATCTAGCCTGTGTATGAAAGATTTCAGGATCTGTTCACTGATAGAATGTTGGCTGATCGATGACTTCCGAGCAGATCCTGAACATTGAATCCTCGCACCCAAACTTTGCAATGATTTATATTGACCAAGATGGCAGTCTCCAGGTTGAGACGTCGCCCTTGCTTGCGGGGCACGGCGGAGCCATCTTCACGCCGGATATGGCGGACCGTTTTATGGAAACGGTGATCTCGAGTTCTCAATCCGGTGAGTGGTCAGCCCTGGCACGATTGCCTTTAGTACGAACTAACTATTCTCGTTATTCGCAGGGCAACAACAGCCTTCCCCTTTCCTATGGAATATTGAGCCGGAAGCTGAATGGGCGTCCACCAGCAGCCATACTGAACCCGTCGACTTGATACCTTGCGAATTGCAGCTCCAACAGAGCCGACAAAAGCGACGTGGCTTAAAGCGACATCGACCTGGCCCTACGCCAAACCCTCCAGCGCCACCAAGACAGACGATTCTCCGAGTCAGTGACAGGAACTTGTTGCGACAGTATTATGAAAATGCATTTGAAAATTTTCAACAATTAAATTGCCGAGCCATCGCGAAGTCATATATAAAATTCCTCGAGCCACGAAAACAGGTCAATTTTCCTTACAACGGGCGCAAAGTAATTTCCGGCATAATGCAACAGGTCGATCCAGAGCTTACTAAGCCCGGATGGTGGCCTGCTGGTATCATACACCGGGAACCTGACCACCTACTTAAGAGCGGTAAGTAGTAATACGTCAATGGTTAGACTCCAATGCTGATTGACTTAAGACCGAATTCGACTTCTGGTTCACATACTATGTGATCTTAAAGACACCCACGGAGTCACTGTGGACAAGCTCCGGCGAGCCAGTCTCGACCTGCGCCGCTATATAACGCCGGCAATCCGGCTGCAGGTCCTGGATGAGATCTATTTCGTGCGACAGATGGAAGAGCAATTTTTAAATGGAGAGATCGGTAGGTCTGTCTACCTGATTACGACAATATTATGGCATTGATTTGAAATAGATGCAAACTTCCTGCTTCAGATGACCCAAACTCTCCTCCCCGTCGACATTCACGACATCCATCAAGCTCACGTGTCACCTACCAGCGCACCTGCTATTTCTGGTCCACTATTAGATGCCGACAATGATAGACAGGCCTCCCGCGATGATAGACATTGGCCTTGTGATTATAGCTCTTCGATGATACAAGGCCGGCAAATTCTCCCGCTCTCCCACGCCACCAGCGGATACGATGGTCAGCGAAGGCCTACCGGACGGTATTAACCACATCTTGCTGGCGACATTTATTTTCCTTGAACGGAAGCCCAGGTGGTCAGATGGATGCAAGACACTGAGCATTGATTTCGTAGGCACATCTGGTATTTGTGGAGCTTACAGATTAAATTTCCGAGCTCGTGGGGTGGCTGTGAAAGTGACAGCTGCGCGGGGACATTTTTATTGGTGCCAATATGTTTCGCCGGCTGTCAGAAAATGGAAATTGTAACTACCTGTTGTGATATGAGGCTGGTGCAGATCAGGAACCAAGCCGGGCCATCGGAATCAATCCCGAGATATCTATACGAAGAGCCAAGTTGATTGGAAATCAACTTGTTCTTCTCGTTGTATATATATAGCCTAATGTTTCCCTCTTAACAAGATAATTCATACCTCTGAACAACAATAGAACCAAATGGTATGTTTGTTCTATCCAGAGGCACTCCTCCGTTTTCTGCTAAACTAGCCGCTAATAATTTTTAGCCGCTCAATTATTGGGGAATATGCTTGTTTTCGACCCAGAAGGGAGAGTTACTGCATCCGGAGCTTTAGAATTTGCCTATCTAGCCCCTTATCATGATCCTACAGATGAACCGGAGGCTGAAGAGAAAGTCGATTGGACATATGATAATGTCAACCATTCAGTTGACGCTTGGAAAGCGGAGTTGTATGCCTGGCAGTCCAAATTGATGTTGAATTGAAATGCTGATGATGAAATAGGAATTCCAAAATACTCGATTTTCATAAAGAAGAGGTCTTGAGAGAGGCCGTCCAACGATGGCTTCATGGCAGTGAAACTGGCCCCTCAGTGGTTAATCGTCAACAAGGCGCAACTGATTGAGTTGCAACCTACTTGCGTCAGCAAAGGTAGGAGAAACTGAATGCCGCTATTTTCATCCATAAGATGGAATGAATGGCTTCCGGGCCTATAATACAAAGATATGCCCTACCTTACTGAAATGAAGTGCCAAATCATAAGAAATTGCAAGTTTATCCGTGTGTCCATAATATAAATTTGGGCGCGACCAATCAGGTAGTTCGGGAGCATGGGCTTGGGTGGGCTGTGTTGTGTTTCAAAGGAAGATTGATTGTTCTCATTTCAGAGGGAATACGTACGTTTATAAATATATATATATTGAGAAGATCAAATTGATTGGAATTGATTGGAAATCAATTTGATACTTCGTATAGACACCTCGGGATTAATTCCAAGATTGCTATTAGGTTCCTGATCTGCACCAGCCTTTTATCACAACAACGGTGCCGGGGTGGGGGATGATTGGGGACGATTGAGGGACCATTGGAGTTCTCAGTGTGGGGAACAGCGATAGGACTTCCGTCCGGAAATTGCGGATGGTGAAGTGGATGTGGCGTGCTTACGTAGGCATGGCCCCTCATATCCCCTATTGCTGTCCTAACAAACTCTGGATAAATACTCACTCACTTTGCCAACGTAACGGGTTGGCCTCCAAAACAATATGAATCGATATCGCCAGCAGTCGCTCGAACACATCTTCAAAAATAACAAGAAATGGGTCTTGTCGAAGAAGTGCGCAGACCCCGCCTTTTTTGACAAGCTTGCTGCTGGGCAATCACCTGACTATCTGTGAGCAATATAGCTATGGCTTCATTCTGACCGTCAAAATGTTCACCATTGAATTCGTCTGACGGTAATCAGATATATAGGCTGTAGCGATAGCCGTGTCCCTGCCAACGAAATAATGGGTCTAGAGGCTGGCGAGGTTTTCGTTCACCGCAATATCGCCAATCTAGTACCCAATGTCGACCTTAACGTCATGTCCGTGATCAACTATGCTGTGCGACACTTGAAGGTCAAGCACATCATTGTGTGCGGCCATTACAATTGTGGAGGGGTCAAAGCGGCGTTAACACCGGCTGACTTGGGATTACTTAACCCATGGCTCCGAAACATTCGCGACGTGTATCGCTTGCATGAGAAGGAACTCGACGGAATAACCGATGAAAGCTCAAGATATAATCGATTGATCGAACTCAATGTGGTGGAATCCTGCAGGAATATCATCAAGACCGCTGCTGTCCAGCAAAGCTACCGAGATCTTCAGTATCCTATTGTTCATGGATGGGTTTTTGATCTACGCGACGGCCTACTCAAAGACCTCAAGATCGATTTTGAGGGGGTGTTAGAGGATGTGAAAAAGATCTATAGTCTGTCGTCGGATCTCAATCGCAAGTAATCAAAACCACAGTTCTGAAGTACCAGTCACATCAAGCTCCGCAAAATCTTAAGCATCAAGGCATATACAAATCATTAATATCAGTTCTCAACCAAAGGGATCTTTTGGATTGTCTTTGAGTCTTTCTAAGTCATATGCTGAGAGCTTTGCGACCTTTCCAACACCCGATAGGCCTTCTCAGCCTTTGTATCATATACCAGCCCGTGGATTTGCAAGTGCCCCTTCGTAATCGCGTCAGTCACTTCGGTAAATTTGCCTAACGAACGCAATTGATCAAGAACGTTGAACTCGACAAAAGAGCGATCACGTTCCGTCACTGGGGCTTGATTGATATCTTCTTCGTGCGCTGCATAGAGGGAATTGAGCTTGCTATAGTGACCGTTAACCAGTGACCCCGCGGATACCTTGGACAGAGAACGGCCCACTTACCACAGCCATGGACCTTTTAACCCATCTCTCGAGGCTGCTTTCACGATGCCACACCCATAATGGCCGCAAACTACGATGTGTCTCACCTATACAACGTTAATATGAACGAATTGTGAAGCTGTTCGAGATCAATAGCTACCTGGAGGTCAACGACGGCATGTTTTATCGCAGTCTCGGAGGACAGGTCGTCATCAATGATAATATTGCCAATATTTCTAAGCACGAGTAGCTCGTCACCAAGAAGATTAAAGATATTGGATTCGCTGTGATTGCTATCAGAGCATCCAATCCAGAGCACCTGCTGAGTTGCCTGATGAAGGCTTGGTATGTAGTTTGCCTCAAGAGGCTCTGTCGTCACCCCTCTGAGTCGTGTTTGGCTCATGGTAGAAGAGCCCAAAGGGTGAGCAGTCGTGCTATGGTATACTCTCCAACAGAGACGTCGTGTTGTAAATAATCGAAAGGTAATTGGCCAACTTGCAACAAGAATTCGACGGCAAAGCATTAATGACGACCTGTGAAAACCTTTTAAAGGGAAGTTCACCAGAGTGTGCATCTGTCATAAATTTTCAAATACTGGACAGCGAGTTAGGGGCCCTGGCCGATCATATGTAAGCGTAGAAAAAAGTATAACCACCCACATTGTCTGTGCTCCGTACCTTCGAACGAAAGGAAAAGGCTCGGCTAAGATGTGTTTATTTCGATGTAATCACAGCAGCCGATTAGAGTATATGATCGGCTCTCTCAGATCGTCAATAACATGAGTATGGCGGTGGGGCCCACGTAGGCACTAGCTATTGGTTGAACAGCCGCAGCCGATTTTCGGCCCCGATAAATTGCCGTTTCGGCCGAAAACTCGTTCCCGGACCAGTGGCATGGGGTTCGGACAAGGTACCCCACAGGTCACAACCGCAAGAACTGGTTCGTAAGAACTTATCGACAGTATGTTAGCGCGTTTCACGGTCCGTACGGCCAGATTGCCTCTACAATTACAGTGACGCAGCAAAAGTTTTAGCACCTCCTCGATTACTCCTATTCTGCCGGTCAAGACTGACAAATCATTCTTGTTGTAGTTCAGAGGTATGAATTGTATTGTCATTTACAGGGAAACATTAGGTTATATATATAACGTAGTCCACGGCCGAACCGTACACACGGTCGAGCCGTACACCCCAAACACCATAGTAAATGCGATATTTTACAATATGATATTCAAACCCCCCTAAGGTTTGATAAAAAGTTATAGTGTATTGAAGTATTAAATATGTCACATTAAGCATGTTTATTAGGTCAAGAAGTATTTTTGAATTACCACAACGTATGTTTATAGACACGTACCTCGCTATCGGCATGTATCTCTGGTAATACAAGTAAGTAACTAAATACTCTATATATTAATTAATCTATACTATTCCTGACACTATTAAACATTATCCTACTGAAGATCAAGTAATATCATGTTCTCGTTGTTAAGATATAGTCACCTGAAAAATCGTATTTAATAGGGTGGTTAGGGTGTACGGCTCGACCGTGTGTACGGCTCGGCCGTGGATTACGTTACAACGAGAAGAAGAACAAGTTGATTTCCAATCAACTTGGTTCTTCGTATAGATACATCGGGATTAATTCCGATGGTTCGGCTTGGTTCCTGATCTGCACCAGCCTCATATCACAACATCAACAAGACTCAGAGTGCCGAGCTCTTTATCCTGACGTCGACTGATGAAATTGTGCACTTGGTGTCGATCACTTTGCGAAATTTTGTCGCTGTTCTCATCACTAGAGCAGGCCATAGTAATATTTTCACTTCCTGGGGGCTTTGCTTACATGAAAGAAGGGGAAGAAGAGTGATGTCGCATTGTTGGCGGTTCTTCAAATTCAGGCGGTGGATTTTTGACGACCCTGATTGGTCATATATCAGACGGTTGTCGGTGGTGTAACGCGTAATGTTTAACTAATGTTTGCCAAGTGTTTTGGGAATTTTGCAACGTTGTGTCGAACTGAAGGAGTGGTTAAATACCACTAATACCCTTTTGGGATAGGATGTTCATCATCCGCCCAATTCCCCTCGTAATTCCCCTAGTATTCGTGTGGTATTCGGGGTAGATTCGGAGTTATGGTGTCGTAACATATCGCTTCGGCATGATGCAGACTCTCGAGGGCGTTCAACTGCTCTCATCAACCTTCAATCAATTATCTGATTCTATTGGACATTTTCAGTACTAGCCAGTACATCAATCCCTCATCCTGACACGTTGTACCGATCTGATGTTCCTTAAATTTGTATGGTACCAGCTAGTTTTGCAATTCAGACTTTCCTTCTCTACCATTCGTCGCATAAGATAAGGTCCACACCGCTCTGTGTCATTCTGACATTCATTTGATTAGTCACCCAAATGACTGATCGCGGTTTCAATCGCCAACGACAACGCCATCGTCGTTTTCTGCGCTTTCAGCGTTGATTTTTGGTGCATCCCTCCCCATTACCAAAAGTTTATTGTCTGAATAACGCTGGGTATTCTTTCCCTTCCAGAATGACGGAATTTGTGCAATCCCAGATTCTCGGCACCACGTTCGAGGTCACCAGCCGGTTCGCATTGCCCTTGCTGCTGTCGCCTTAAGGGTTCGCTGATATCATTTTTAGTTATACGGGCCTGCAGCCGGTGGGTGCAGGTGCCTTTGGGCTGATCTGGTATGTTTGACATTATGAAATCGCGCATTGCGATGGTCCTAAGTGCTGACCGGAATGTCTTCCGCAGCTCCGCTCGAGACCAAATGTCCGGTCAGTCAGTCGCGATCAAGAAAACCATGAAACCATTCAGCACTTCAGTCCTGTCCAAGCGAACATACCGAGAGCTGAGGCTGCTCAAGCTACTCCGGCATGAAAACGTGAGTGTTTCCTCGTCTCTATCCCAGGGCTGTTACATTTAAGCACTGATGTCCCGCAGATCATCAGCCTAAGCGATGTTTTCATTTCTCCCCTCGAAGATATGTATGTTTTCTTTTATATATCCCGTAAAACATGCTGATTATCGCAGCTACTTTGTGACCGAACTCCTGCAAACCGATCTCCACCGCCTCTTGACTTTTCGAACTCTCAAAGAGCCCTTCATCCAGTACTTTCTCTACCAAATTTTCGTCAGACTTCCGTCAGATAGAGTCATTTTTATAGCCACTGACAGAACCTGTAGCGAGGATTAAAATATGTCCACTCCGCCGGCGTTGTCCATCGAGATCTAAAACCCAGTAACATCCTCATTAATGAAAACTGCGACTTGAAAATCTGCGATTTCGGCTTGGCTCGTATTCTGCAACCGCAGATGACAGGCTATGTTACCACACGATATTACCGGGCACCCGAAGTAATGCTCACCTGGCAGCAGTACGACGTTCAGGTGGATACCTGGAGTGCAGGCTGCATATTTGCTGAAATGTTGGACGGGAAACCGTTGTTCCCTGGGAAGGACCATGTTAACCAATTTTCGATTATCACCGACCTTCTGGGGTCACCCTCGGATGACTTGATCGAAAGGATTTGCAGTGAGAACGTGAGTCGTATCTCACTGTATTTAACACGGATGACGTTTATGGGAGTACGCTAATGTCTCTCGTGTACAGACCTTGCGATTTGTCAACTCCTTACCGAAGCGAGAGCGTCACAATCTAGCTAATAAGTTCCGAAATGCCGATTCTGATGGTATGTGACGCCCCCGCTGTCCTTGCCTACCATACGCACGCTGACGGTTTGCAGCCGTGGACCTGCTTGAGCGGATATTGGTATTAGACCCAAATAAGCGAATTCAAGTCGGAGAAGTGTTGGAGCACGGATATCTGGCGCCCTATCATGACCCGACGGACGAGCCAGTCGCCCAGGAAAAATTCGATTGGTCATTCAATAATATTGACCTAACCGTGGACACCTGGAAGGTTATGATGTAGGTGTTTGACATGCGTGTTGCTTGATTCCAGTGCCAACCATTTTAATAGGTACTCGGAAACTTTTGACTTCCACAATATCGACCAAGAAAACAAGGTTTCGATCAATTGAGAATTAATAGCTTCTATAAATGCAGTCTTCCATGGCCACAGCCAGCTGTGCTGCTGAAAGGCTATCAATTTGTTCACTTCATTCAATATATTGTGCGATGACTGGAACTGCTAGGTCAAGTTTACTGGGGTCACGTCCAATATCCCCTAATCTGATGGTCGACCCCTCACCCCCTCGAAATTGCGTTGCATTACAACTCATTAATCGTTGTTTGAGATACAAGGGTCACCATGTCGTGACATCGAGACAGAGACTCCCTTGATGCAACATCAGTACAATATCCTTGGCTCAACTGGACGGGCAATTTTAAAGGCAGCTCATTACAAAGCTGCATTGCAAATAATTGAGTCTCAATGCTCGTTTCGGTTGTCTGCCAAGAGCAAAATCTGCCATGCATGCGTGCACCCTATAACAAACGGAAACCTTCCTTGGACGACAGAGAGGTGGGACATGTGGGAGAACCTACCGAGACAACGACTCTTTAATCCTGCTGCAGAAGTAGGAGATGGGCTTAGATATTCCAGAGCTTCCAACTACATCATGTTATCGCAGATTGGGAAAAGCGTTCAGCTGACTACTGAGAGTTAGTCGGAAGTTTGGAGAATAAAGTGAGCGCCGCTTTAGCGTTACGCGACTTGGGTGAGAATCATCCTCCGTTGGGCGACTGTCACATTGACCCTCCCAGCTGCACATGGTCTTGCACGCTAACAAATTTTCAGGAAATTTTATCCATGATAATGTAGCCTTTCTCCGCCAAATCTCAATAAAACATCACCGTTACGATGAAAAAAGCTATGAAGTGACTTTACCCAAGGTGAGCTGGTGGAATTTAGCAAACTATGATCTCGATTATGGCTAATCAAAGGGCACCGGGCTTTCCTAGATTTGTTCCGTCAACGAGAGCGAAATGGACGTTTCAAACAGGTGCCTTGGAACAGCGAAATAGAAACGCACTGGGGTTCATAATTGGTCCTGCCCGACGTGCATCCTTAGTTCTGAGCACAATGGGGAAGTACGGCTCAGCATATGTCCTATGACCAGAAAAATGGATCGACGATCTTTCCTGATGGACAGAGAGCACGACAAGATCAAACCTCAAGTAAAAACAACATCTGCACTGAGATCCACAATGCAGCCCCGGCCATGGGAATAGGCAGAGGCAACGCACCAGGGTGACTTAGAGGAGATCGAGCGACTCGTGATCGAAATTCTGCCTTCTTATACAGGGAGTCGTTAGCACAGGATGAATACTTCCCAAATTGCCGCTGATAAAGACTTACGTTACATAGCTATTGCTATTCGCTGCATTCTGGCAAGGTCGAAGCGGCTGTGTAAGGGGCGACTTCGATCTGTCATGAATCATCTGTAGGCAGCTTATGAAGGCAACTTATAACTCACTGTGCTCGCAGCTGCGATAATTTTTGAGGACATCGGAGGTCCTTCAAATGGTTTTCTAGAGTAGCGGAGGTGGGACTGATCTTGAGCATATTACATATCAGCATAATCTCAAATGACGGGACAGCTTCACTCACTTGCTGTTTGAAGACTTTAGCATCGAACAATGACAGGCTAGTTCGATTAAAAGGTCAGTTTAATTATAAGTGCATGGCTTCGAGATCAGTCCATACCCAACTGTTGCTGGCGAAGACGAAAAGCGTCTGAAATCCTTCGAACTGGAGTGACAAAGGAATGCTTGAGAACGACTGTTCTGCTGGCGAGGCATCGGGTATTCATAGCATTGAAGTCAGTCATTCTGCTTGCGTCGACGCAATGATCGCTGTGAATTGTGAGGGCACAAATACCGACGACCCTTCAATTGCAGCTGGTTCAACATTTCACAATTGTTTTAATGCAGCACTCGAAGGCATTGGTTTTTTTTCCTAGTGATCCAGTATATGAAAAACCTTTCTCACTGTTGGTATCGTTTAAACAGTCGCGAAAATGCCGCAGAGAAGCACCGATGATGCATATCAACATCCACCACCATATGTCGGTACGTTGTTGCGACGGGTGGGGCGGCAACAGGTCATGCCATTTCATTTCACTCACCGATGATGAGCCCGTTCCTCTACTCAAAGAACAACGCATCAAGATTAGGCAAAGACCAAGCCACGTTGCATCTCTGACTACCAACCAATCCAACCGCAGAATTGGTCATCTTCATTCAGTGTTGGTGTCTACTGTACCTCGTATATCAGAGAAAATTCATCACACCTACACAATAAAAGCTATGGTTCAGCGCAGGAGTGATTCGCATAGCCCCCATCTCACAACAAAGCCCCTTGTATAGTGGGCGAGTTAAAAGGTCGATTACGTTTCCGTAGAACAATTGTCTGCCATCAGGCTCGTCTTTGCGTAAGGCAATACCCACATCAATCTCTTGGGAACTAAGTGGACATGGGAAGTCGGGTACCCTCGGTGTTCCCTGTTGAAATGGGCCCAGGAGCGTCGGATCTTCTGGCATCTCCCTTGGCCTCGCGTTCATGATACTGTTTCAGGAGTTCATACGTCAGTCGAACTTGTGTAGGGGAATGTTTTGTGGTTTAGGGGTGATGGAGGAGTGAACCGACGTTTTCATCTTCTACCCCAGCTGTGTGGGTGAGATCATGGCCTTCTTTGGCGGCTTTGTCCGTTATGTCGCTCATAAATTTTTTTAAACAAAAATTATGGAAAAAAAGATATGGGTTGATATTGGAGTGAAATGATAGGGCTGTGTTAGCTGATAACGAGTAAAGGTTAATCTCGCTATCTCTCCAGCACTGCTGCTTTATATCTTAATTGCACCAGTCCTAGTGACTGGTCTATCGTCATCTACGGTTTAAGCGGGCGAGTGAGATACCAAAGAGATGTAAAATATGGACCTGAGCCTACTCTGGTCAATGAAATGGTTCAGGTTAACAAAAAGCAAAAGAAACTATGATTTATGCGTTCGGCTCTGCTTATCGTAACACAGCTGCTGCCATTCACTCAGCATGATAAAAATGAACAAGCTGATGAAAGGACGCCTACATTCTGACTGCAGGGAATATTAGACGGGTTGCCAAAATTCAAATCCTGCATCCCCAGAACCAGACAAATGGACCAATTCACATCGACACTTTTTCTGCATCTGTAGTCTTGCTCAACAGCTTTGCTTCTTGTAGTATGGTACCAAAATCTTGGAAATGAGTCTGCTTGTAGATCGTCGTTCTTTTTAAACTGCAAACCTGCAAGGTTATCATAGAAATCAAGAGGCTGAATCGAAGTCGAAGGCCGAGCTTGCTTGACTAAGTTTTCGCAGGTTCGTAGAAATGCAGGCCAGGGCAAAACATTGTTCGGATTCGGAAAATGTAGTACGCGTGACTAAACACAAACCCTCCGAAGTCGTGCACAAAAGGGACAGCTTAACACCATGAACGCCAGTTAAACCACGACAAGCTGTGTCAACACTACATGCGATATTAAGAAGCGGTGCACCCTATATATACGTACAGAAAGTCTCGGATCTGGTGTTGCTATTTGCATTCTTTGATTGATCCCCACAATTTAAGCCCAAGATCCACCAGTATAGGACATGAAAAGCAGCGGAATATTGCCATTTATATCGCTCGAAACATTAAAAGGCCATGTCTCGCCACTAGTTTGTTGGTCATTGGAGGTGACCAAAGTTTCCATGGCAACACAAACACGTCCGACGCTCAATCTCAGGCACTTCGGTGGTCAGTTTCATTGTCCATTCCCACTACTGCTTCCCTTTTGATACCAGATAACGATTGATTTCATTCCTTGAACGGCCAGAGAAAGGCTGGTCTGATTTCACGTCAGACACAGAGGTGTGAGAAGATGATATCGGAACCGATTTAGAGTTCGTGACGGCAGTGCTCTGGCAAGGTTAAAAGCTAATTGCTTCCTTGTTGGAATGAGAATATGGTTCCCGGCCATACTGGCTTATAATGAGAGCAGTAGCAAAGTGTGTATTGGGCAGAAAGCTTTACAACTGTCTCACAGGATCCATGCTCCACAGCGCCAGTAAGCAAAATGCTGCTAGCCTGGTTCGGTCGGTCTCAAGGTAGAAGCCCTTGATGTTGTGTGGTGACAACAGTATATATAACAGGCAAGCATCAAGCAGAGTAAATGTCGGTGTTTACCTTCCAATTTCGTAAATTGAGATGCGATTTGCAAAAATACTGCCATTCAAAATGAACCAGTCTGGCATTTTGTAGTTAAAGTGCCACATAACACTCCCTTACTGGAAATTTCATAAGCCAAGAAGGGCTGTTGGCTCAATCAGAGGATAATAACTCTGTGGGATTAACAATGGCTGTCGAAGAACATGCCTCCTCAATCGCCGAGCAGTTGTTTTCAAGGGGAGCGGACGACGTTGCAGAGGCTCGCGAAGAACTTGTCACAGATTGTTGGCCAGTGGTGTATCCTGCGAAGCTATGCTGAAGGTATATAGGCATATTGTACACAACTCGATTACGAGATGATGATTTGTGTGTTGCTGTATCCTGTTTGTACTTCGAAGAGACCCGACTATTCGGTCGGCCCTTTTTGCTGGGCATTTCATCGGGAACGGGTAAATTGATCCGCGAAACAAGAACATATGCGTCTTTGTCTAGATATACCTCGTTAGATTGTGAATAATAGGCGGTCCCAAGTCCCTACCAAGAAAGCCCTCCAAAAACTTTTCCTCTTCTCCTCTAACACGATACAACTCATCTAGGAGTTCTAATCACTCGACCGGGATGATCTGCGACCGGACAGTCTGCTCTGCATTCTTCAATTTTTGTGAAGTAATTCCGTGGCTCCAGTGCAAATCACAAAGAATATGGAGAAGAAGAGCGATGCGTTCTAGTAAAATGTTGATTTTAGTGCATACCATGCGCAGGAAGGGGTCCTATTACCTGCTTTGAGTAAATGGTCGGGCTCTCGATGGTGTACTCCAGGAGGCCACCAGGGTGGCTTACTCTCACCGGGACTCGATTGCTGCAGTTCTCCCCCCGCGAATCTTCACCCATTGTATGGGTGGTAAACTTGCTTCTGGGGCTCAACAAGTTTCACATAGGCTTTTGCCAGGATTCGGCAATTGGTTTCCTGTATATTCTGGAAAACCTTTTCGTAGTATCGAGGAAGGAAGTTTGTATCTTTGATAGATAACACGGCTTCCTGAAGGTTCAGTCTGTACTTCTGGATGCAAGGGCTTTCCATGTGAAACAGTTTATCTTTTAAGATGGCCGAGCCAGCTTTGCCAGTTCCTGGCTATGGCGTTGGTTTGTAATGGCATCCACTCGTCATGGGTGTAATATGTCCCTCGATATTCCTGTCCTCTGGTAACCAGGAATCGTTAGAGTCATAGGTCACGAGGTGACTAGGAAGTAGCTGAGTAGAAGGGAATTCTAGGGAAGGCTTTCGCAGCCCAACTTGAGTGGATTTCGCCACCGCTTTCAGGAATTCCGTGGTGACTTGAGGGCTGAGGATAGTGTCGCGATAGTGGACGATTGAAGGGGACACCTGATGGCGAATTTTCCCATATTGATCAATATAGATGAGGGCAAAATGCTGAGCAGACGTGTAATCCTGTGGGACCTGGCTCGACATGCTTGCTAGCTATGTTCATTCACTCTACTGAAGGTACAAGAAGATTGAGATCAGCTTAAATGACACATACACGTAGCAGAGACAGGCTTCAACGAAAGTGAGCTCCAGCCGTAAAGATGAAGGACAAAGATAACTTCGCTTGTGCGCTCATGATGGATGCAGAGGCAAACATCCTTGAGGTTCGAAGGGGATGGCTAAATCATTGCTACCGCGCGGGAAAACTTTAGTACGAAAAATAAAATTATGATAGATCTGTGGCTCGCCTATGGAAAGCGCAGAGAACGCCGAGCGTGAGAGCAAGTTGCCGATTAGCAGCAAGGGAATGATGATTAATTGCCGAAAATTCACCCTTCACATAACAATCGCATCGTGACGTTTTTAGTATGCGATATTTTTGTCGTAAATGACTTCCATAGATATTATTATTCTGATCGCAGTACTGGTAGGCAATCCTTGCCTGTTATACCAAACAACATCAAGAGGGCTCTTTTCTCCTGCAATCAATTCCGGAGGGCACGCCCGGTAGAAAAGGTATGGGCTTTTCATTTGAAGCACATCCCGTGATATCTTATTTCGTTAATGTCAGATAAACTTAGTCGACTAGAAAGAGGTCTGGGAGCATGGTCTTTTAGTATGAGAATATCACAACTTGCCTTTTTCACGTTTATCCCCCAGGCCACAAGCCATAAGAGCTAACGGAATAGCCAATTTCAGATATCACTACATCGGATTCTGGAGAGCCCCGGTTAAGAAAACTGCTATCCCATCCTCGTGATGGACCTCCTCATACATGCATTTGTAATTGAGCTGAATGTGGCGTAATTACCAACTGCGACTAGGAGAATTCTAAGCCTACTTCGATCACTGTACCTATAAGAGACAACACTACAGCCGATATACGTATAATGGTAGGCAATATGCTTTATTCGAACTCCTCGGGGCCTTTTTCAAAACAAAGGCAAAGATCCACGCAAGTGACTAGAAGAGCGAGTATTTTAAAAGAATTCATAGTCTTAAGGAATATTTATCATCAACGCCATCACTGGTGCTATCACTAGTCGTAAATCAAAATGTTGCGAGAACTTGTGTGAACGAATAACGGCGGGATGGCAACCAATCACCGAAGGTGAGACTGATAGCACGCAACGACGACCTTCGCTCTGTCGGTATTATAGCGACGCAACCCGTGGAAACTGTAATTTCTTTCAAAGACGTACCGACTGTTTTGTGACTGCATCTCCGTTATCTTTAGTGGAACACATGTACCTGCTGGCACCGAGCCAACTTCATTGTAGGTCATGGCAAATGCATCCACAACTCCAGGTCTCTGACGGACTCCTGGCTTCTTCATCTATATTCATTAGTTAGGTGAGCTTTAAATGGATCTCTGCATATATTATATCACTTTGATGTTTGGAATTTCGCCCATACCTCGAATTTTCTGGATCTCTCTATCCGTCGCTTCCATCAGTTGCTGCCATTGGCTTTGATAGCCCTCAAGCAATGAAACACTACTTTTTTGTCCCTCCTCTGGTTGGCAGCTTTCCCTTAGATGTTTCCATTGCCGTTGGCATGCCTCATAATATGCAAGGTGAGCAATGGCTTCTTTCGGGCGGTCGAAGTCTCTCACTTCAACTTGATCCATTTCAGGCTAAAAAAAGAGATATATTGGAGAATTAGGCACTGCCTACCAAAGCGACGGGGTATATGATAACCTATTTCACTAAACTTCACGATCAAACAAATGGGGTGGGAGGAGTCTTTATTCATTTTTGAATGCTCTCGACCCCTAAGCGGGACTGCATGACTGAACGATACTAACATTGCTGTCCAATCGTAGCCAAGTAGATCGATTTAATTTCTCAAAATATCTAAAACTAGCCACAGACTACAGCCGGGGCCCCGATTTCTTGAACCAATTTCCCCCTTAGATCAGAAAACTCCTAGCGTTATTTGGTCGTTACATCATTGTCCGGTAAGAAGATAAAGCCTCACTACCTCGGAAGGCCTTCTGGTCAATCGTACAAGCCTTAGCATCTCCAGATAAAGAAAATTTCCAAGGCACTGCCACACTTCAGCCTCTCTATGGTCTCGATGGGGGCAAATTAGGTTTTGATACATCACGCTACCAATGTGATATCCAGACTCCAAAGGGGTAGGTGGGTGGGCCTCAGCCCGGCAGCACGCAGTCTTGGCGCGTCAATGTCTGAAGCCAATAAAGATGGCTCAACTAGTTGAAAGCGTAAATCCAGAAACTAGGGCAATGGGGTAAACCTGTGGATCCAAATTCCCCGGGATTTATTCAATTGATCGGTGTAGGCTTTTATTGATGCGATGGGGATTAATCCCTTTCTTACTCGCACAACATTTCCCTTTCAGGACGGGTCAAGATCGTCCTATTCCGCCCCTCGCTTTCCCTTCAACAAGAACACCATGACGCACTAAATATTTATCTCTAGAATAATGTTGTCTTCCTGTAGAAGATTCGCTATCCCTGGCTATTCAGGAGTTACGCTAAGCTACGGATACCCTGATATTCCGAAAGCCACAACATAATGCGCAGCATTCATTCAAATCGATAATGGCCTAGGGACACAGCATATGGCGAAGTCTTAGGGTCTTTAGGAGAAAAGCTTTTGGGAGAAAATTTGTGGTATGTTGATTGGGCCGCACATTTTGATTTCAGATTTTCTGGGCAGAGTCACTAGCTGCTGCTCGACAAGGTACACTGAAATCGTCATCACAAAAGAGTAATCTACGGGCCATAACTCCCCAAACCTATTAAGTACTACAGACCTGTCAAGACTTGCATGGCCACGAACATCCCCACCATAATCTAAATTAAGCAATGTGATTCACCTCTAACCGCACAGTTCTTCCACATTGGGCCGAGCAACGAGCTGGAGAAACGACCAAATCTCCCAATTTAGACTTACCTGGTTGGAAATGAGAAACCCAATTCTACAATACATCCCAGCTGGTATTGTATGCATCCCTAGAGTAATTCTTAACTGGGTTTCAAGAGTATGCCAGACTATCTCTCCTAGGCATAGGATTTGTTTCGCGCATGGCCCACCCTCAGGCATAATGGTGCCCCAGGTGTTCTCACGTTATTGGCTGAGTGCCTGAATGGGATTAAATATCCGTTGGCTGCCTTTCGTTCCCGCGAACTTTTCGCCCACTGCCCCTGGACACCCTTCTGTGATGTCTGGTCACCATGCACTGTTGCACTTGATAAATCATCATACTGATTGATTGCCTACAGTCTAGTTTGCCTGTAGATTTACTATGAGCTATGGTACTACAGGTGACCAACTGTACCTCCCATTTTGATCTCACTTTTTTTTCATTTGTGATGCCGCCCAAACGAGCCGTGTCAATCGGAGGCGGTGGGAAGATGGTCTGTGCGACTGAAGATGCGCTGAAATACCCCTGGTTTTGGGACTGCTACCAACTGCCCTTCTGATAGGGAGCAAGTACGAACTCAGAAGGAATGTGAGTTCATTTTTCTCAGCAAAAACCATAAATCGTACCGGTAAGGGCAATGAAGAGTAGATAAAAATTTTCTGACCGGCCAATTTCTCATTTCGATATGGCAGAACATGACTTCTATTAAGGGATGTTTATCCCAAGTGATCACGATCCCCCTGAGGACTACTTGGCCAGCACCATCCTTATAACGACCGTAGGTCTCGTCCTTTCTTACCTTTCACTCGGCGCTATATCTATGCTCTTTGCTTTTCCAGCCTTATTCAGAGTCGTGTTCAAGACTACTCTTCATAAGCCAGAGACTACGACGCTGTACTTGAAATGTCTGACCGTGTCTACCCTCAAACTCAAGTCGAGCAATATTTGGGGTCCGAAGCTTCCAGTCCATCTTGGCGGTCGAGACCTGACGCCCCGGGCCTACCGAATTCCATCCCCTCGCCTTGTCGATGGTTTCCAACCTATCAGTCCCAAATAAATAGCCAGTGGGCCACCTCACTGGTTCCGGTGTCGCCTCCCGCCAGTCCATGCCCAAACCTTCAATTACAAAGCTCAAAAGTAGCGTCGTCCCCAGACAAGGGGTCGTCGGCATCTACCCCCATATCGCTAAGGTATACACGCTCTTCACAAGGCTTTTATCGTAAAGGACCTCCAATCAGCATCCCATGCCCACTAGCATTGCTAACCTTGGCCTATTTTATAGGCATCCGAACCTGCCATATAAGCCCGCATCTACGAAGCCGAATGCTTCACCCGATGAATATGACAGCAATCAAACTATCCAAAGGAAAGTTTAAAATCCGAGGGAAAACATCGCACAATCTTTCTCGGCAGCATATTCAAAGAAAAGGAGAGAAAATGAAGGGGAAGACTGGCTATCAAGCCTATTTTGTTCCACAAGAGGGAAAATTTGATGGCATATACAAAAACGCCAACCACGCTGATATAGATTCATGTTGTCAAGAGGCAGACTCAAACCAGACGTGGCAGGATAGCGCCTATAGCTCGAAGCTGCCTTTTACTCCAACTTAAATTATCCCAGTCCCAGCCACTTCACCGGCATTCCATCATTGTGTTCATTCCCCTGTCGCAGACATTTTTCCAGAGATTCCACAGCCGGAGACGAAGGATATACTTAAGGAGACAAACTCGGTATCCAACAACCTCTTTCACTGCAAGACGTGGCTGAGAGGTGTACCAGACGGTCGAGTGGATAACCATGACAGTGATACTGCGGCTACCAGCCGTCGAAAGTTTCAGATTGTTGAACAACCTCATCTTAAGAGTAGCCGGCAGAGACGAAAAGCGTTCCATATTCTTTGACCCAGAAGGACAAAGGAATGCTTGAGAACGACTATTCTGCTGGCAAGGGATCGAGTATTTATAGAATTGCAGCCAGTCATTCTGCTTGCGTCGATGCAATGATCGTCGTGAGTTGTGAGGGCACAAACACAGACGACCCTCCGATTGCAGCTGGTTCAACGTTTCATCATTGGATTAATGCAGCATTCGGAGGCATTGCATTTTCTTCTTGGTTATCCAGTATATGAAAAACTTTTTCTCACTGTTGACACCGTTTGAACAGTCGTGGAGATGCCGCAGAAAAGCATCGATGATGCGTTTCAACATTCACCACCATGGGTCCATACGTTATATTGCAGGGAGGGGCGGGGGCGGCAACTGATCATGCCATTTCATTCCACTCACCGATGATGAGGGCTTTCTTTCACTCAAAGAACGCCCCATCCAAATTATACGAACATCAAGCCATATTGCACCTCTGGCTACCTACTAGCCCAACCGCAGAATTGTTCATGTTCCTTCAGCATCGGTGTCTACCTCATCATATCAGTGTACGTTTACCACACCTACACAATATCAGGCAGATACAAGCTATGGTGCAGCGTGGTCCTGATCTGCACAGCCCCCATATCACAACAGATCCCCTTGTTCTCTCGCCTGCTCCTGCCGACTCTCCTTTTACTAGGATTTCAGAAGCCCTGGAAGATTGGAAAATGACATGAGCACAGCGCCTATGGAATTGCTGCTTGAATCGGTCGTGGCATTGTAATAACCCTGAAGATACATTCATTCCCACATGTCAAGCGTTCGCGAGAGAATGGAAGCAAGTGGGCTGTTGTTGTACATGGAGTATCAGCTTCACACGCCTTTTTTGTCTTGACTCCTACAAACCCTCCATTGTCAAATCATGAATTGGAAAAACACATATGCGGTCCATTTAGCTAAGCTAGACCCAAGCCTTACAGTCATTAAGCACACATCCTTCTTCACCTACGAGCCTCTCGTTATTGGGACCTACAGTATAAGTGATTCGGGATTGACCATTTGAAATTATCATCTAACTTAATTTCAAGGATGTACATGGAACTCTTCATTGCACATTACGCAATGGACTGTTTGTTTATTGCCCACATAGTACAAATTATAATCGAGATCTAACTTGTGTCAGCTTTCTCGTCAAATGGGCTCGACGAGTTATAAAAATCACCTCAAGTGCAATGATCCATATCCTTGAAATTACGCCTAGAATAGCAGCACCTAGCAAGAGAATGCTCACGCTTGATAGATGAGGTAATATAATACGCAGCTTTTTCCGGCCCTACGTGGCGCCTTTTATTAACCACAAGTACCATGCCATCTCACCAAGGTGATCCAAGAAAAGCAGGAAGGGGGTGATGTAATGAATGCGATGGAGCAGAAATTCCCCGACAAATGTCACTAATATCTTTGAGATCGTAGAGGCCAAAGCATAAACTCGGAATGCGATACGTGTTTATCGTTTTATCAATGGATTATTGAGCTGCTGAAAACCGATGCGGAGAAACTAGGCTAGTTTAGCTCAGCGCTAGCCTTTTGACGAAGCCCATACCTACAGTTTGTGTGGAAGGGATGATTGAAAGAATTCCAAGAAGGATTTCGATCCATATCGATGGCTTCTTGCTCCAGAACAACCCTGTTAACACGGCGAACAGAAGAAAAGATAAGACGTATAGTGCCAAGTCCATCTTATAAAATGGCCAATTGTCTTCGAAGACCCACAGCAAAAATAATCTGGCAATCAAGGCAAATAGAAGAATTGTGATGACCAGTGATTCAATAGACAGTTCGGACGCCATGACAAAGGCAGATCGAAATAGATTTGTCGCGGTGGGAAAAAGGCGCAGATGCAGAACTATAGGCTATTAAATACGGCGACGCTTAATTGAACGCCAGGAAAGCCTTGAGATATCCCTGGAAGAGGCGAATCATTATTATGTTTCTATAGAACATTTGCCTCTGCCATCAGCTTTGAGCTTGCGTAAAGCAATATCCACATCGACCTTCTGGGAGCTTCGTTAAATATGTGCCAGGGACTGACATGGAGTATAAACGATCAAGTGTGGAGTACGGTCCCACATGGTGCATCTGGGCTCCCTTGAACGCAAGGAAGCTATCTTTCTTTTGCTTCCTCGCGCCACTTCTTGTATCTAGATTCGACTATAGATTTATTAACGTTGATTGTTCATCTTCTGGAAGACACGAGCCCCAGCTACAGATACATGGGACCTTGACAGCTACACTCCTAGGAGCAAACCGCTTGCTCCGCGGAACACATTTATTCTCAGGACTGCAGCGTATTCATTAAAGTACGTGGTGAACTCGAAGTAAAGTTGGTAATCGGATCAGCCCAACTATGGGAACTCACGTATACAAATGTGTGAATGCAGATCTAATATTCTCGAGATCAAAAGTTGCTCGTGACGATGTCTCACTATAAAACCTGCCTTGCATGTCTCCATGCTGAAGCAGTTATTCCATAATACAGCAGTTCTCTCTCTCCTTTTAACACCGCGATTGTTGAGGTACCGAAATAGCGAGATAACCGTACCCTCTTCGGAAAGCATGACGCAACTCCCACCTATCATTCGTGAGTCAACACCACACATACAAGTATCAATACAACTCAAGGCAGCTGACCCGTCTGATAATGTCGGCCCTCCAGGGAGCTTCTGGTCCAGTTGGTCGATTACAATGCGACAAGTCTCTAGATGTTTCTTACTGCAACCAATTTGGACAGACTGCCCTGTCCTTTGCTATCATGCAAGGAAAATTATCAACCGTCCGAAAGCTACTTTGCCGACACGATATAGATGTCAATGGTCGGAGTCCGAAAGTCCAACCTCCAATCCTGATAGCCCTAGAGTATCAACAATACGAGATCTTGACGATCCTTCTGAAAGACCCGCGACTCAATATTACCATTGAAGATGGCCAAGGCTACACCGCACTTCATCTAGCCGTGATATACGACGAACCTGTTGCAGTACAAATCCTCTTGAATAACACGCAAGTTGACGTCAACCATCTCAATTCCGCGGGGAATAGCGCACTCTTTCTAGCTGCCACGGCCTATGACGGCCTGGAATCCAAGAGAAACAAGCTCATAGGTCTTCTACTTTCATATTCGAAGACCGTGGTGAACGCGCAAGGCCAAAGAGGCCGTTCGGTGCTGTGACATGCAGCAAACACTGGCAATGAAAGACTAACCTTTCAACTGGCGCAGCTGCCAGATCTGGAGCCCGGGATTCACGACGATGATGATGTGTCTCCTCTGGGCCAAGCTAGGGAAAGGGGAAACATCGAGATAGTTGCGCTTCTGCAGAGCCTTGCTGCACGTACCGGGCGGGATGTCCAAGCACAACATGGAATAGTCTGGCAATCACAAACTTCAAATAACATGATTTAAAGCTGGGCTATTAAAGCCACTATTGACAAGCTTTCAGTAATGTTTTGTTTGTAAAATGTACTTAAGGAGGTTTCACGGGGCCTGTTTTAGTATGGCCCGACGCAGGAACAAAGCTGCACCATTAACGATAAACTCCCGACAGGTCAAGACGAAGTGGCAACTTGATCAGGAACGACCAATGCCTTCTATGACCATGTAGCTTCGATAATTACCTACGATTATTCAAAAAAAAATTGAAGTTTTCTCTGAACTTGATTCATGCACCACGGACGCGCTAGAAACACTTGGAGCTGTGCGCAGACTCCGACTGTAGAAGACGCCGCCAGACCCTTGGCAGGGTATGTATCAACCCTTCTATTTGGTCCTACCAAAGCGCCGTCTATCCACTTTCGAAAGATCCAGGGCTTACTAACGAACTGAGAGTGGTCCATATCGCCCAGGTTCAGTCTCTTACAGCCAACCATACACTTCAAGCCCCATAAAGGGAACCTTTTCTGTCCAAAGATGGCTTAGCACAATCGGAGTGGGGCGTTCGGTGTGTGTTTCTTGTGGGTAACCTGTTCTCGAAATCCCCTGTATGTTCTTATAACCAGTAATAAAAACACCAGAATCACAGATTTTTGACTATATTTAGGACGGTGACATAATATTCGCCGTACGGTTCTTTGAGGTGCGGCGAACGGCCGTTCAGGACGGTCGAAGAAGGCGTGGAGGATGAATTTGGGCGTACGCGGGATGCTATTATTGCTATCACCCTCAGCAGATCTGTAGTACCTTCTCGTCCCTACCCTTCATGGTCATATTTTCGGGGCCAAAGCGTGCGCGGCGCGCGTCACCAGTTGCACTGAACTCTCACTAAGGCTGGTTTCTAGGTGACATAATACATCAAGACAATTTCATGGTGAGCCACTGCAGGTACAAATAGCTGGCTTCCTCATAGCTTCAATTAAGATCATAGGTTTACTTCAATTCCTGTTTTCAACTTCTGTGAGAGATTACTGTGAATGAAAACCCCCTCCTCCTCCTAATCATCGTGCGCTGTGTTTATCAATAATCGTTTGCTGATTCTCGGTTTTTATGGAAAGAAGGTATAGCATCACAGGTTCGGTTGTACACGAATGGACAAGAAAGATCCTCTGATTGCACATCCTAGTATTGCATCAATTAAATTCTGGGTTGACGCCAAGATTTTTGCGCACACGATCAACCGCTCGCATATCCATGTCTGAATCAACCCACACAGCACCCAGAATAGCCTCTACGGTTGATGCACGCACACCTTCAGTAATATATCCTTTTTGGGCAGGGTGCTTCTCGATAAAACCATCAAGATTAGATTTGAGCCCTTGCGAACTCAGATTTGAGTTGCAGGCATGCTTCTGCAGAATTCTGGTACCCTCCGCTGATTCCTAAGATTAGAAAGTCATGCGTTCTGTATTCATTTATAAGCACTGCTACTCACTGGTAGAATCATGGTGGTCGTAGGAACTATCGAGGATAGACAGAGCCAATGCAGAATCACCAACAAGGGCCAGGCGCTTATTGCCTTGAAGTGGTGCAGTGCCTGCAGGATGTAAGGCCTCTTGAAGGAGATTCGGTGATTTGAATTGATAGTCAATTTTTTGCTGTAGCTCTTGCTCCATTTGTGAAAGTAAAACTATGTATAGATAGATATTGATAAGTTTTGCGTCCATTAGATAATTTCTCGGTTATCCTTAAATGCTCCACGCTTCGACAGTATCTCATGACAGTCTCTTTACCGTTTGCAGGTATGTACTAAATTAGAGTAAGTGGCGTATGAATGTTACGAAAAAACCAGTGAACTTGAGACCGGATTGAGAATAGGCTGCATGGTTCTAGAACTGGCCTACAGCATGATTACTGACGTAATTAAGAGCGCTTTGGTCTAGATCTGGGTTCGTCACTGTCTTTATGTAGGCATTGTCGATAATTAAAGTTCTAATGGCTACATGGAAGTGTCATTCAATCATGAAGCTTAGCAACCGAAGTCAATTTGGCCGATTGCATTGATGATATTGATGAATTGGCTTAGAAATTCTAATGATGCCTATCACACTCTGTAAGTATTTCATGCAGAAGTTTCGAATTTCTTAAAACATTCACGATAAATAATTAAGTGTCTTCGTGAAAGCGCTCTGTACTGTACACATTGAGTTCAGAGAGCACATGTGGCCTAGAGCAAGATTCTCCTACCAGTCTTGAGCTCCTTGACCTGCTTTTGTAAAATTTAAAATTTCCTTTGGATCAAAGGCTCCCTCCCAGAAATCTACCCTCAGTCGCTTCTTGTGAAGTCATCGACCCTTGAAGATGAGAACAAATTCATACGCGCGGCGGGACCAGTGCTAAGAAAGTAGTCCATTGCTCGCGTGTACACGTATCAATCAATCATCTTCGAGAAATTTTAGAATAATACTGCAATATATTCTGGATACCTTGTGTGTGTGTGGATCGAGTTGCTCATGCGATGCTGTTGATTGATATCAGACATTTAGACAACGCGAGCACTTTCTCAGTTGCCATGTTGATGGAGAATGTAGCCTTCTTGGCACCAGCAGAAATCCGTGTTTGACGACAATGATGAGATCAGTATTTGGCTCATCCGAAATCAGAACGAATTCGTGGCGTAAAACATTTTTATTAGTTGTAATTGAAAGAATTACTGAGGAGGGGTTCCGTGGTTGTTCTAGGGCTAGGCCGGGCAAATCATTCGCTTCATCAACGTTGTCTACACAGAATCAAGCTAGAACTGGACTATTGACAAAGAGATGTCGATTCAAATACCACCTTCGGGGCAATAATTTCTCAAATTTCAAAAACTGCTCAAAATCAATTGCTGCCCAATTCTCTTGGCGTGGAAAACTGATAGGCCACTGGTAACTTATCTTGGCGGATTCCTCTGAGTCTTTTACGTCATTTAACCAACATGTCCAATATTTCTGAGACGACTTGAAAACTTCCAAAGAATGAGTGTCACTCACTGCTTTGGTACGCCAAACCTGGAACTTGGAATGCCGATGCTCACTTCTCGAAACAGAAGTTGTGAAATCTCCTCAGGTCGCCAATGGTGCAGATAACAATCCGAGTGCAGTTTCATATCCACCAAAAAATGCAAGGGCGTCTAAAATACCACACCTTTCAGTTCATTCAAAATGGATTTCACCATAGTTTTTGCCCCAACACAGATTTTAGCGAGGCATGAGAGGGAAATAAATCCCCACGCCCCGGACTACAATCTCCTTTGCCATTACGGTATGGTTTGGATCACTTGGTGCTCGTAGAGCCTGAAAATCTTCGGCTTAATACACTGATATGCTTGTTGCTTTTTCTCTTGAATTAAATTTTTCCATACTCTCTCGCTATAGTACAAGCAAGTCCTGGGAGATGCATTGGCTCCACAAGATTCATCCCGCTATCAAATTTGGTGGTGGTAATATCTGCACACCTCATAACTCAGGTCATATGCGGCCTGCTGTCCCACCAGGCTAGACCTCGTGGGTATACGTACGGAATGGACACTTTCCTTTCTATTACAAGTGCACTTTTGTTATCTAAACTGCTGTTTGAAAGGTGTCTCGATTTCCGCCGTTGTCATATTTTTGCCCTTAGCTACCACGGTGCCGATATCAACCGAATTGAAAACGAGCTGATTAGTGGCTGAGAGGTTAATACACATATTTCAGTTCTTGAAGAACGACAACGGTGGGCTCATTAATGTCCTTCTGCTCGCTTCTAACACATGCCGCTACCTCCACGTAGCAAGCAAATGATTTCGCTACGGGATTTCCAAGATGCGCGAATGAATTGGTGACCACATTGAGCTTTTATTTTTCCTCAGAACAGCATGACAATTTGTGAACTTGCCAGGAAGACTTGAATCGGCCAGTCGGATGAGCTTCAAGGATTTTGGTACGTACAGGAAATTTTTAGGACAACATACTATATCCAGAATCTCTCTTGAAAGTCCAAGTGTTCGTTGACCTCCTTTCTGACCATTTCGGTTTAACGAGCTTAAAGGTGAAGATTCCTAGAGTCGATCTGATTAAAACAAGGCCTACAGTATCATAAAAGTATCCAAAGTCAAGCATGTCCTAAATTTTGAACAATTTTCACATAAGATGGGATGTAATCGACGATCATACATTTATTGAAAGGGCGTCGCGCTAGAAAACAGCAATGCCGATAAGAAGAAAAATAAGAACATCGTACGCTTCAATTGATGATGACAACAATCCGATTTTCTGTCGTATTTCCCGGCACCGAATTGTGTCGATGATATCGTGCATGCGGAAGCCCTTGCGTGGAAGTTGGTCTGCGGTCGCAACTTCGCCCATCCCGGCCCGGTGGCCCGCGAGAACCTCTTCTCCCCGCGCGACCCATTCTCCCAGGCATGCCAGGCTGTCCAGGAATTCCTCTTTCTCCACCGCGACCATGACGTCCATCGCGGCCATACTTGCCATCGCGGCCATCCTTGCCATCGCGGCCATCCTTGCCATCGCGGCCATCCTCGCCATCATGACATGATGGACCTGGCGGACCTTGTGGGCCCTGGAAACCCTGGCATCCGGGTCTGCCTTGAGTTCCGGTGGGCCCATCACGGCCTGGAAGCCCAGGAGGGCCCATTGGGCCAGGCATACCGGCTGCTCCAGCAAAGCCTGGAGTTCCTGGAAGACCCCTGGGGACCTTGGTCTCCGTCTTTGCCGGCTGGACCCAATGCGCCACTAGGGCCTTGCGCACATCGTCTGAAAAATACACACCAACAAAGGACTATAAGAATCCCAACCGTGATGCCTATCGATGCACCTACAACAGCAGCATCATTCTGGCCTTCAGTGCCTTGGGCTTCCACAGGGTTTGACGCATTTTCGCTTGGCACGGAGGGCGTTTGTTCTGGCGAAGAGATTGACTCTAGCGTCACTAAGGTCGTGTACGTGGTATGTCCTCTATAAATAGGCAAAGTCACTACTCTAAGACCTGCAGGCGGAGCCCCCATCATGTAGTAGAAACTTAAGATAAATCACGGGCATCATGAGCGATTTATAGGATGTTCATATAACTATACAGATATCTTACAAAAAGTTCGCTCAGCGTCAGTGCGGATCTCAGTCTTCGCGCCTCGCCACTCATCGCGGCGAACAAGGGTTGCAAATCTGTTTTCGTGGGCCCTACAAAAGTGCAGCTTATTGATAGACTAGTTGCCTGGCCAAACAGGCAGTGCCACGGTGATTTCAAGCCAGACATGCTTAATGCGAGTGATCTGGCGCGGGGTAACATTGCATACGTGCGTTCACTTCTTGACTGATAGTTCGCTCGCTCCTCGAGGAATTGGACAGCTAGTAGAATGGGCTTTCCAATCCTAGCACTGCCGGATTTTTTAGAGCAGTCTCTCTAAAGATGAATCATTGAGCATTTTCTTAATTTTCTTAATTTCTTTTTATTTTGGGGGAAGAAACCAGCGGCTAGAAGCTTTGATACCTACCTAGCCCTTTCCTCTGATTTTTGACCGATCTGGTACCGACAGGGATAAATAGTTCGCGTGACTATTTGATGACGTGTCTCAAGTCATTAGAGCCGCATCAATTTTGCAATGGCGAGTGATGTGACGCAGACAGAACTAGATTAGCTACACCACAGGGCGGATCTAGAACCGCTCTATTTGCTTTGTAAACAGCACAGCAGTCTTTGAGAGCTCAAATTACATCGTTTCTCTCCCAGCCACATGACCGTTTTGAATCAGGCCCATCAATTGGATGTGGTTGGCTCGGGTCATGGTACTCGGCAGTGTAAGGGTTCGGATCTTTCCTTTGATCCAAATTTCCTAGCGTGTGGTTGACCTCGCGATGTTTTGCCTCATCCGCCCTAACATAAAGCAAGAGGTCGACCATCCGACGCTTCCCTTCCGGCATTTCCCAGTATTTGACCGCAATTTCGGGGGCCGCTAGGTGAGTCCAAAGGGGCAATTTTCCAGCCTCAATATCGTGAATGGCATGTGTATACGTGATCACGGCTTCTTCCTCGAGATATCCCACAAATCGATGGCAGGTTCGGGGCGAGACGAAGTAGGCCAAGAAGAACATATTGAAGAAGACTCCCTGTGCCCCAAGAACCATTAGGCGCATGAAAGGGCCCGGCTCCGCCAGTTTCATGAATGTCAGCAAATGCATACGTTCGTTGTAGGCTTCTTCAATCAGCGATTCGATCCTGGGTGCCGATGTCAGTACTTATCCGCCTACAACAGGTTCGTGGATAAAGAGGGGCAAGAATTCTGGTAAGCTTACCATCCATGATCTCTTTTCATCTGCCGAATGCTCTTCAGGTGTCGCAAAATCCCCCCCCACCATCCCAGGAACCCCTGCTACCGACTCCAAGAAGATGAATCGAATTAACCATTTTCTTTCATCCATAAGGAACCTTTCAGCAACTTTTTCGTCTCCTTTGGGGTACCGATACCCAGTAGCAAAGTCAGTACCCCATCGGAGTAAGTGCACAAGGCTGAGGGCGACTTTGTCAGACATGCAACTGGCGTCGCGATGAGCGACGCAAATGTCTCGGATTTCCTTCTCTGAATAACTATAGTTGCGGTCATTATGGTTGCCAAAGAAGATGCGCAATCGTCAGAGAATCCGTCCGCAGGTAAAATGAACATACATGGGATGATGCCAGATGATCTTGGTTTCCTTGATTTTCCTGCTACCGGGTGGGGGTAACAGGCTCAATGACTGTTGCTTGGAGGTAGAAAATTTCATTTTCTGGGCCAGAAAGGTACCATGCTGGCTTTCTTTGGCTTTTTTGTCTCGTCTTAACGACGTTACAGACCACATTCGACAAGGATCAGTGGTCGGTGTTGCATCGGCTAAAGCCCCTGGGTTAGGGAGCCCTTTTGGGATCCCTACCGCTCGTGCACGTATCATACTGGCTGTCTTCAATCGTGGACAGAAAATACAGTGCATACGAAAGATAGAGGGGAAAACAATCTTCAATCAGCCCAAATTGACCATCATTCAAGGACACATCATAAAGCCTTATATAAAACCAAACAAACCAGTGTCCGACACGGAACTCTAAATACGGAAAAAGTGGCTGAGCGCGTTGCTCAGTTCCGCCCAGATTCCTTATCTGGTGCTTCCTCCCTGAATAACCTAAAAAGAAATTTGCCTTACTCAGATTTGGACTCCCTAACCCAGGCCGGCAGCGCCGAGCCTCGGGTCGGAAGCAAACCGGTCGCATCGGGACATCGGAACGTCGAGACGCACAGCTCGGATGACTCGATTGGTATTCCGAGCTCAGGCAAAACACGTGAGGCAGCGCCTCATTTGGGAATCAGTCTTGCATATAAGAATTATAGCGTGGTTGCCTTGGCCAAGCAGTACTTGAGCTTTAAGAAACCAATCAATTTGGCTCTTTCATCGAGTGTTCGTTCATCTCTGGCCAGCCTCCAAGGTTGTATTGAAAGCCTAGAAACGCCGGGGGGGTTTCTTTTATTATTCCATTAGGGGCGGGGACTTGGAAGAGAGAAATAAATGACTCTGTTTTCGAGTTTTCCTGTTCGCCGGGTTTTGAACTCGAAAAGCCTTCGCTATTGCCGCTCGAACAAACAACCACCATCGTTCCGGGTCTCCTGGCGTGCCTTGACCCTGAAACATCACGGTGACCCAACTCCAGTAGTTGGAACCACAACGCGAGCACGCAGCCAAATCTTTCAAAGCACAAAGCGGATCGCATTGGTCTCGCTTCTTGGAGGCTTTTCAATTGTGGTATACAGTATCTACCACTTCAACAATCCCCCAGAACAACTCCAGCCAGATCCCAGCAAGAAAACACTTGTAATTCTGGGAACAGGATGGGGATCGATATCATTGCTGAAAGAGATTGGTTCTTCCAACTATAATGTCGTGGTGATATCATCACGTAACTATTTTCTCTTCACTCCCTTGCTGCCGTCTTGCGTGACCGGTTTACTAGACAGTCGGTCTCTGATGGAACCCATTCGGAATGTCTTACGTCACAAAACGACAACGGTCAAATTCTACGATGCGGAAGCAACGAATATCGATTATGAAAAAAGGTTGGTGCGTTTTAAGAGTGACTCCAACGACCCGTCCGCTGGCGAAATCCCGTTCGACTTGCTTGTTGTCGGGGTCGGTGCGGAGAATGCTACCTTTGGTATGTCAACGAGGTTCTACTGAAAGCTAGTGATTGATGGATACATGCTGATACGTGCCTAGAAATCGAGGGTGTGAAGGACCATGCCTGCTTCCTTAGGGAGGCAGAAGATGCGAAAACTATTCGCAGGGAGGTGATGAGCCGCGTCGAACAAGCTGCTCTCAAGGGCCAAGTGCAAGAGGAAATCAACCGACTTTTACATATGGTTGTTGTGGGGGGGGTGGTCCCACGGGGGTTGAACTAGCGGCTGAATTGCAAGACTTCTTCAAACACGATTTGAAGAAATGGCTTCCAGAACTTTCGGATAAGCTCACGGTCACCTTGATTGAAGCCCTTCCAACTGTGTGCACCCCGCAACCATGCTCTCTTTCTAGTCCAATACTAATTTCAATCTTTAGGTGCTTCCAATGTTTCCCAAGAAATTGATCAATTTCACCGAGTCGACTTTTCAGGAAGAAAGCATTGCGATCCGGAAAAGGACGATGGTTAAAAAGGTTTCAGACACGGGAATCGAAGTGGAGTCCAAAGAGCCTGATGGGACCGTCAGAAGGGACGTGGTTCCTTACGGAGTTTTGATCTGGGCGGGTGGCAATGCAGTACGCCCGATTGTAAAGGACTTCATGGGCCAACTTCCAGCCCAAGCAACTTCTCGCCGAGGAATCGTTGTGGATGACTACCTTCGGGTCAAAGGTGCTAGTGGGGTTTGGGCGGTGGGTGACTGTACTGAGACCTGTTACGCGCCAACAGCCCAGGTTGCTAGCCAGCAGGGTGCCTATTTGGGTAAACTACTCAACACCCTGGCAACAGCAGAGAAACAATCGCTCGACAATATTGCCGGTGAAGTCCACCAGCCGCTCCTTGGATCAAAGGCAACCAAGGCGTTTGATTATATCCACCGAGGAAGCCTGGCTTATATTGGCAACGAACGAGCCATTGCGGATCTACCGATCCTGGGTATGAATATCGCAAGTGGTGGACAATGGACTTTCCTCTTTTGGCGTGTGGCCTACCTTAAGATGTGTCTCAGTGGTATGTGCTCAATTCCTTTGGCTTTGATATCCCCTAGCCCACCCTGCTTAACACGGTCATAGTTCGCAACCAATATTTCATCATCGGTGATTGGCTTAGAGCTCAACTTTTTGGCCGGGATGTGTCCAGGGAATAATGAATAGCGTTTGGTGGCTGTCGAGAGGGTAGAAGAATCTCCAAGCGTAGATTCTGCGTGATATCGTCAGTTCTCTTTTCAGATATTGTCTAATTTTGCTCCGTGAAATATTTCATTGATAACTTTGGAAGAGCGATAATGGTTGACTCAAAAATGCAAGAGATTTCGGTAAAGCACAATGATCTCACTACTAAACATGCTCTACAACATACTCAAATCCGGCAGTTTGAGTTTTGACCGATTTCGTGGAAATTATAATTATTTTCCAAAGGCGTGCTCACTGTTTTTTTCGCCGTAGCTGACGTTTGTTGTTAGCGAAAATTGGTATCATGGCCATACTGTAATGAGCGCTATAGTGACGTGCCTGATATAATGCGGTATATGAGTCTGGCTACGGCGTACTCCAGGGGCATGGGCGCGAACAGGGGTTTTTGCCTGACAGAAAGATTGGTTATTTACTATATGACTGTACAGGAATAGAGATAGTACACCTGTAGACCTTTAAACTATATATTCTTCACTTATTCCTTTTCAAGGCTTACTATAAATACTATGTAATAGTGTAAGTCTTATTAAGGTGTTATGAAAAAGACTCCGAATATGACTATGGAAGCGTTCACCACGGGAAGCGGCTGTAGTGTATCTCGTACTAGAAGTGATTGATTTTAGTAATCTACATTTCTACAGGGTGAGAAAACTGGGGGGAATTAACCACAGCCCGCTCGGTCGCTGTACTAGCTCCTTCGCTAAGTAGCACCAACGTATATGTCTGTCTTCAGATTTCTCTAAAGGGTTAATTAATATCTATTCTCTTTGCATGAAGAATATTCCAGGTCACAATAATCCTTGTAGTCCGTGTCTTCCGTCTATTGTACAATGCCAACCAGAATGTTGCCTGCTCTCCTAATAGTTTGGGATAATATATTTTACTTTTATCAGGATCTATCTTAATCCATTCACGAAATTGCAAGTTTGCATACTTTGAAATAAACAACCCTTAAAGTCCTCCCAAGCCAGCCTATATACCCCTCTGAATTCCGAAACAAAATACTGGTCGCATTATGTGTGCACGCTCCTGAAGTGGACCATGATTTACGGCGGCCGGCTTATGGACTTTATTCAGCCAGCTTTCCAACGACACATATGCAATGATCCAACATAAATGTATTATACACCATGTTCAATACTGACCTGAGGATATGATACCATCAGACTAGAGTGATTCCCGTATAAGAACCCCCATCGTTATGGAGGACAGTCTTGTTGCTTCCATCTAGATTGACCCGATACACAGATCCTCCAAGATCGGTCAGGTAAATGTGCTGGTTGTCCCAATCGATCTTCATCCCAATCAGTTCATGGAAATGCCGGGCCAAAATCAGCACCTGAGACTTCTTCTCCCCCACAGACGCCCGGTTCAAGGTGTTGCCAATAGGATGCTCTCCGCGGTCGGTCCAGTAGAGAGTCTCCATCTGCAAATCGATCTCGAGGTCGATCGGTTCGGGTAAGCCCTCAAACAGGGTTTCGATGTCCGTCCGGTTAGACACCGTTTGCCCCACAGGCATGTCGATGTTAGCCCGGAAAATTCGACCCTGGCTTCCCTTGGACGGTCCCTTCTGGGTCCAATAGAACTTCCCGCGTTTTGGATCCACGGCGATGCCAACGCACCATCGCGTGGAATCGGCCTGGTCAGCGGTCTGAGGATCCCCCCGTGCGAATCAAGACCTCGTGGTTCTGGCCATCAAAATCGCAGCGATGAACACTCAGGCCCTCACGATCGCAGAAATACAGTTTGTGGTTGGTCTCATCAACGACCAGCTGCTTTGGAGTATGGACTGCGCCTTCGGGAAGCACGGTCTGCACATCGGCCCCATCAAGGCACGCTGACATTACGGAGCCATCGTTCGTGGATGGTTTAAGACCCATGTTGGTCCAAAACATGCGCTCTGTGGAGGGTGAGAAATCAATGCCATCGGGGCATTTCAATCCAGAGACAACTGTCATGCACCGGCCATCGCCTGTTCGGCGTAAAATTTGACCACACTGGCCGACTAGTGCAAGGTCCTGGACATTGAAGCCTAGTCCAGCATCTAGGAAATAGGCTATGGGAAGCTTTAGAGTCTGGCCATTGGTCCGAGTGGCTTTGGCGGTGGATGGAGGATATAGGCCACCTTTGTCGCTCTTGTTGCCCAATTTGCCTTGCTCGATGTAATTTTTGCGCAGCCAGTCAACAGTCACCAGGGGGTTCAGCTGGCGCTCGTTGATATAGTTGTCTTCAATATACGCCACTGTATCAAGGCCGACCTGATCCATCATTGCGCAAGGTCCAATTTCACTGTGCAACATTTCCTGCCAGATCTTGTCGATTTCTTTGGGCTCCGAGACCTCTTCAGCCAGGATTGTCATGATCTCACGCTTGACCGCGGCCCACAAGCGATTGAAAACGAATCTAAACATATAGTTAGTCTTTAGTGTCTACAAGACCCTTATGAAAATTGACAGCTACTCACCCTGTGGATTCCTTTCGTGCAGTCACCGAAACCATGCCAGCATCATCAAGAATTTTCGTCAAATACGGGAATACCTCGGGATTGGTTTCACCGTCTGTCATGAGCTCCACACAGCGAAGTTCGGGTGGCATGAAGAAGTGCATATTGCAGATCAACTGGCGACGCTGGGCGCTAACTTTCTCCAGCATGAAACGGGACTTGAAGGAGGAGGAGTTGGAGGCAAGGATGCAATCTGGTGGAGTGAACTTGTCGAGTTCACCCATTGTGTCGATTTTGATTTGTAGATTCTCCGGGACTGCCTCGATCACCAGCCATGCGTTGTGTACCGTACTCTCGAGGTCGGGGAATGCTTGGCACTGGCCGAAAACACGATTGCCCTTTGCATATTTTGAATAAGACTTGATGTTTTCCGCCACATAATCAAGGGCCGCTTGTCTTGCATCGGCTGATGGATCTCGCAGTTGAACATTGTATCCGGCCGCTGCGAAGACGCAGGCGATTCGACGACCTAGAACTCCGGCACCGAGGAGGGCCAGAGGTCGAGATCCAATATTTGGGGCAATCCAGGGCAGTTGCATTGTTGGAAGAGATAAGCAAAGAAGAATGAATTAGGCTTGGGGTTTGTAGTTTGTCGGTATACCGTGGGAGTGTCTTGGTTGATTGCAGTGAAGCAGATAACTCTCAACGAAGACGCTCATTATATAGAATCAGCGAATACCAAAAAGGCCCCTTCCGACCCGGCACAGCCGGCAGGCCGAAGTGGCCTCGAATGCCCTATCCGAACCCTGCTTCATCCCAGCCATATCGATCCGAGACGATCGGCCTTCCGAGGAAACTGTAATTCAGAATTTGGTCTCGGCGAGCCGAGACGAAACGGAGGGGGGGGGGGACGCGTTTTCCTAAAATGGTATTCCGAACCCGCCTCCGACTGAAGTGGGTCTCTGCATGTCAATCCGATCCATAGCTTTCGGCCCACACAAAATGTGAGTGGAAATTGGCTAGAAGCGAGATGAAGTGATTTGGTGATATCTAGCATGATCACGCGACACATCAAGTTTCTTGCTGAGAGATTAGGGCTGCACACGAATACGAATAAATGATGAATTTCTTGCTTATAAATATTCGTAAGACTAGTTAACTATTTCCGTTCCCTTTCAAGCCTTCTATATCGCGAATTTTCGTTGACATATATTTTTGGCGGTAGTTCTCAGCGCTTCCCACTCAGCACAGTCGGTTGGCAACGTCAAGGTCGAGCCGAGCTCAATTAATATTCAGAAAACTTAAGCCTCCTCTAGTTATGTACGAATACGAATAAGCAAAATCCTTATTCGTGCCCAGCCCTATGAGAGGCGAAATTAATATTAAATATTGTATTGTTCATCCTGCGGCTCTGTATCGAGAATCGGTCTTTGTATAGGACTTCAAATAGGGCGTTTAGCGATTAGAAAGCCAGGTCTTGCATTTTTAAGATGATGAATCGATAGAAGAGTATGAATGTAATATTGGTAAACTTCAATAACGTTGAAAATGCACCTCAAACGACCAATCTATAGGGTGGACGGCCTAGAAAGCTGCCCACAATGTGTCCCCTTCGAATCCCCCGCTCCCTAAGTCTCCATATGAAACGGGCCATACGTTCCACCTGAAAGGATATTCATCAACAGTGTTCATGTTGAAGCCCGTAGGCCCAAAGTCATAATCAATCTGATCCTGGAGTAGCTCGTCTCCAGACCTAGGAGAGTCAGGTGCTTGTATTTGCACTCTCGGAACTTGCCTCTCGTTGGCGCTAGATGATGATTTGACTTTTTCATGCAGTAAATTGAGAGTCACTCGGCATTTCTGAGCAACATTCGTACACGGTTCGCAGCTCTGGAGGATGCGATCCACCTGGTCTAGTAAATCATTCAATTTGGAGATGGGAATATGACCTTGAGTATTTGGGAAAAGTTGTTCGGCAATGAGAGCAGTCGCCGCCATGTAGATGTCTAGAAGTATGAGCTGATTCCTGGGTGCTTTCTGGCCAGGTTCTGGCCAGCGAGAGCGACTTGGCTTACATGAGATGATGTACCAATGTGATGGGAGGATACTCGGACCAGATATGAGAGACTGGTTGCTTAGATAATTGAAGAACTCGATGATATCTCGCTCGGCACTAATGCAATTTAGCCGACAACCATTCACGACTGATTCGACAATTTGCTCCCCGAGACGACTACCGCTGGTAGCTTGTAGTATGTTTCCTGGCTTCCAGCTTTGGAAAAATAACGGCCGGAATAGGAGTAATCGTACAGAGAGATACCTGAAGAAATATTAGTCCTACATATACAAATTTCGAAAATGAGGACTCACCGAGCATGAAGAACGTTGGCCGGTCGCGTGTTCTCACGGTTCATGTTCACCTGGAGGTAGGGTTTTAGGGTAGAATGCCAAGTGCAGAGATCCGACTCGAGTCGAAATAAGTTTGCCAGCGTTTCAGGAGAAAGAAGGTCATTGTTCCTGGCTGCGGTAGATGACTTCAGTTCCGGTGACGTTGAATGAGTGCTATTCGGGGCATAAAATGACTCTAGTATATCCCCAAGCACAACGTGTAAGTGGCAAAATGCGCTGTAAAAGTCGGCCTTGGTCGCTTCGAGTGACTGATGGGACGCTTGTGGTTGCTGCGCGGCTGACAGTGGAATTGAGGCGTGGTTGGCCACATCTTGTGATATTTTGGGCTTGGACCCGAAGGTCATGGCGGCAATTCTGCGAACGTCAGCATATGTTACCGAATTCCGTCGCACAGTCTTCAGACCTGTCCAAAATAATGCATCCAAACCACAATCGCCTGGCGAGCTCTCGATCATTTGAATCTGCGAGAAGCTCCGTGAACTCCCGGGAGTGTAAATCTAGAGTCTGAGCAATGTGAATAGCCAAGCTAATATTTTGCAAGAACGCCTCGGAGAAGTTCGTATGCTGAAGATACACTGCAGACAGCAAAAGTATCTGAATGATTTCTAGGTGGCGCATTTCCATCAGATTGAAGGACATGAGCAGTTTTGCTCTCCCATAGAAGAGACTGGCGGACTGGGTATGGGCGTTCGCTTCATCAGGGGACCCAATTTTGCAAGCAGTAGCAAAGATCAAATTTAGAAGACAGTGGAGAGCCTTCTCGTTCATCGTCATGTCGGTTCCTGTAGACCAAAGGCTATAATAGCCAGCGGTGATTGTTTCCCGATCCAACCATGGGAAGATGGGATCCACGTGTTCCCAATAATCTTGAAATAAATCATCGGCCACTTTCCTGGTGGGGAGAACAAAAAGGGCCTCGTAGAACTCTTTGTTTTCGGTCAGCGGAGGCAGCCTGGGTAGCGTCCCATGCCCATTTCCCGTTGACCATCTCCTAGTCTCTTGGCGGGTCGGCGGTGTGCCTGCTGCTGCGCTCTGAATTTGACGCACGAACTGGGCACCAGTCGATGCGTCAATGAGGTTCTCACTTGGCATGAGATGACATGCTTCGGTTGTTGTTGTATCTGTATCCGCAGCTGTAGCGGATCTACTTCCCGTGGGAGTCCCATGAGTCAAAATTGGCTGCGCAACTGCCGAAGGCCTTACAGAGGCGGTCACTTGAGGTCCGGTGCGGCCAAAGGAGCTGGACGGACGATCTCTTGCTAGCTGGATAATCGGATGAGAAAGGACTCAAGTGCGATGTAAGAACTGAGCAACCTACTCCCCTATCATTTTCTAATTCGGTATTCCTAATGTGCGAGTCAGCACTAGGGTCCCGATTGGTCTCCGTGAACACCTGGGATACATACGCTTCTCGATGAGCGGTTGTAGAGCTCGGCTCAAGTCGATAAACACATTCATTCGATACATTCCCCCTTTTGGAGCAAGGTCCGCAGACTGAGCGAGTTGTAGTCATTCAGTCAGCCATGGTGAATCGTAGAGTGTAAAGACAAGACAGAAGTTCACCTGGCTTGGCCCCATCACACTTCGTTTTCCTTCGTTTGCAGAAATTACAAGCAACTCCGACCTTCTGCCGCTTCGCCTTGGGTTCCATGATAAAATTGTATCCGAGTGGATTGTCGCTGCTCGCCATAACGGTCGGATGCACAGTGATGCGAGACGGAGACGGAAGAGAGGAAAGTTGGAATGTGCCGAGTGACGGACTGAATTGTCCAATCACAACGGTCTGGCATCGGCATCGGTTCTCGCCACAAAAGGTCTATGTTGGAACTTATGTTCAACCTCAAATTACCTATTTACCACAACAACCATGTTGTCTACTATCATTTAAAGGAGAAGAATACTAGAGAAGAAAACTGAACACCCCCCTTAGCATCGCGCACCCAAGCGAGCCGCGCACCCCAAACCCCATGATAAAAGCGATATTTGTCAACCTCAAATCTCAACGAAAACGAAATTCCTATTTATTTTTTCAAATATGTGAATTGACAGTATAAATAGCAATATATATCATATTTACTCTGGGTTTTCGGGTGCGCAGCTCGCTTGGAAAATACGTTATGTCATCCCGGCAAGGAGGCAATTGATCGTCTTCCCGGGCGCCATTTCGCAGCCTCCTGCATTCCAACAGCGCGACCTCACCTTCTCACTTCTCACAGTCTTGATAAAACACTTTTCCTTCCTATATGTCCTTGTTTCTTGCTCGTCGTCTAGTACAATGTACATTGGGTTTTCTGGTAGCTAAACACCCTATTTGGAGTCCCAGGCAAAGACCGATTCTCTATGCAGAGCGGCAGGATGAATACTACACTATTTACTAATAACTGCATCTCTCAGGAAGAGACTTATCCTGTAATCATGCTAGATATCACTAAATCACTTTATCCTGCTTCCAGCCAATTTCCACTCACATTTCGTTTGGGCTAAAAGATATGGGTCGACTTGACATACAGAGATCCACTTTAGTCGGAGGCGGATTCGGAATACCCTTTTAGGAAAACACTACCTTTCGTTCCGTCTAGGTCCGAGAGATTTCAGAACACGTACCGTTTTCGGAAAGCTTCGGCAATTAACGTCATTGGAAGTACTCAGGAGATTCTGCGAGGAACATTCAAGTCATACTGTATGTGGCAGTTTTTACAAAAGGTCCACTTTTGCACCTGCGTGTAATGATCATATTGTGGAGTGCGTCATTGACTACTAAAGTACGAGAGCATCAAGGAGACCCAGCTGCCATCTATTCTAGTTCTGCTTTTCACCTCCGGTCGGGTATAAAATAGTCCCTCTATCCCAACTAATTAACTGGTCTTTAAGCCAGCCTATATTGTAACCGACACCAGCCTCCACGTTTACAACTTCATAAAAATGGCCACTCTTCCAATTAAGACCGTCGGCGTCATCGGAACTGGTGTTATTGGCGCCAGTTGGACCGCCCTGTTCCTGGCCAAGGGCCTTCAGGTAATTGTATCGGACCCAGCTCCGAGAGCGGAAGAAAGGCTTCGCAGCTATCTGGAGAAAGAATGGCCAACGATGTCCAAAGTCGGGCTCAGCCCTGGTGCATCTTTGAAGAATTATGAATTCGTCGATGATATCAGTGATCATCTCGGGCGCCTTGATTTCATACAAGAGGTGAGTAATTATAACGAAGTTCTAATTAATTTGCCCAGCTGTCCGTTTCTAAGAGCACACTAACAACGTTGAATATATAGAATGGACCTGAGAGGCTGGACTTTAAGCGCAGTCTATTCGCTCACTTGGACGCAAATACCCGCGAGCATATCATTCTCGCATCGTCTTCTTCTGGTCTTCCCTCCTCAGAATTCATAACCGATTGCCAGAAAAATCCAGCCCGTATTCTGATCGGTCATCCATTCAACCCACCTCACCTGGTCCCATTGGTAGAGGTGGTTCCACACCCTAGAACTGGTGCTCAGTATGTGACGGGTGCCATGGGATTTTATCAGAGCATGGGCAAGGACACAGTGCTCGTCAAACAGGAAGTTCCGGGCTTTATCGCCAATAGGCTCCAAGCTGCCGTTTGTGGTGAAGCATATAGTCTTATTTCAAGGGGAATTATCTCGGCTCAAGACCTTGGTAGGTGGCCCTTTCCCTTTCAAGTATATCAGCTGACTGACTGGGGATCCATACAGACAAAACTGTGACTTCAGGCATTGGCCTCCGCTGGGCATTTACTGGGCCTATTATGACAAACGTTCTAGGCGGGGGCGGCGACTTTAGGCATCTCCTTGAACACCTAGGGCCAGCGTCGAGAGCTTGGACAGAAGACATGCGCAACCATGAATTCGACTTTAATTCTGAAAGTCTCGATGCACTGAATGGGAGCGTGCAGGAATGGGTGTCGAAAGTTGACGTGGAGACTGAGGAGAGAAAACGAGACAACTCCATGCTAGCCTTGATTAAAGACAAGTCTAATGATTCCGTATAAAGTATGACGAACCTCTTGGCGAGAGAGGTTTGAAATAGCGTACGGATTTGACAAATAGGCTTCCTGTCTGGAAACTGGCGATTGATATTGTTTTTTCAGATCGTTTCCCAGATATGAATCTCAAGGTCATTTCGACACCACTACCCAAAAATCGAGTTTCCTTCTCTCCTAATTTGAATTCCAGTTTGCGGAGCCACTGATGTGACTTCTTGACGATAACATTTCCTGTAGCCTGGTTGTGGTCAATTTGGCATCCAGTTTCGGAGAGGGTCGTCGATTCAACGTAATGGTGTACAGGTCCTTTGAGAATGGTTTTACTTCCAGAAGTATTTATTTAGCGATTCCACCATCATGCATAGTGAGCGAGTAAGGTACATTACCGTATTTTGCAATAAACATGAATTAATTTTCGCCAAGACGAAAAGAGAAGGGGTTTTCGTTGACCTTTATGGAATGCTGCAACATACCAACAGATCCAGGAGACGATGTTCAAGAGGTCAGTGTGCAAAACACCCATCGCCACCCGACCAGCGTTTTTTTAAGACCGGTTGGCCCGACCGTGGTGAATATCCAAGAACATTAATGTCTTTACTTGGATAGAAATAACGGTTTTCTGTCAATCGGCAGTAATAAACTCCAGTTGCGCCAATTATTCAGACGTTTTATTTCGGTCCTCTAATTATAGTCGTAACATGCAATTTTATTGCAAAAACATCACAAAGTATGTTTATAACCAACCTGTGAATATTTTACGTTTCCTTGGGGACTGAAAAGTCTCCAACACTGGGCGAGGGTTGTTAAAATTGAGGGAAGGGGAGATATCCTATGGCCTCATTGAGGCCAATATATTTGTTGATGAACTCCTAATTTGCCATATATGATCCTGCTCGAGCATGGTTAAATTCAAACCAACTCTCAGAATGAAGTGTGCTGATAACCCTGAATTGCCATTTACCCGGCCCGTGAAGGTTGTTTATTTGTACTGAACCAATAACTAGTTACAGTAGCTGACATAACTCAAGACAAGGGGATGGAAATCAAAAATGAAAATGGTGGGACAATAATTGAGTCTTTTTTAATGACGGATACGCTGTTTTATCAGCTTGCAAGGCCTGGCCACATTTGATTCCAGCAAATGGGTCAATCGTTTTGACCTGGGGAACGCCTAGGTATTAGAAATTACACGTGACCTAAACATATACCAGGAACCCATGGTACACATGGGATCAACTAACTGCTGGCCAAAAATATGCTACTAGTCGCATCTCGGCGTAAGGGTAGACAAACATTGCCATCGTGATGACTAGTCCCGGCATTGATCGGGGTTGCGCCCTGTTCCTTCTCCACCTGCTCTCTTTCTTTCAGAGGACAATTTTGTTTCTACAAAACCGGGCTTTCAAAAGTTAAGGTATCCTTTCAACTCCACATCGCGTCACCGGTTTCCCGTACCGTCGACCCCCATGCAGGAAGATGAGACAAGCATGGTCCCAGGCGTCACGAGTTGACGCAAGTCGGTCCAAATTTTGATGCGTTGGTAGTTGTTGATGCCCAAAACTCGGGGCCGAGGTATCATCCATGTGGTACAGGTAACAGAATGCAACTCAGATACCAGCGATCTGTTGCGTTAACTTCCCGAAGACAGAAACATCGGAGTCACGTCGATTGGTGGTCCGATTGGTTGAATGCCATTACCCAATTAGGCTTTGCACGAACCTCGTGTTCATCCGGACCCATACCCGTGGACCCTCATCATAATGGCTTGGCCCTAAAAGCTTTTGTGATATCAGACTAAGACCCCGCTGTAAACTTCCATTAAGACTTTTTCGGTCGGGTATGTACACGGGAATCGAACGAAATTAAAATATCTGAAATATCCCGCCAAAACTTTAATTATTTTATCCTTGATAGACGAATTGCTGGTCGACCTGGGCAAGTTTAGTTCGGCATAAGTTCGGTTAGTCTTATTTTTATGGCACAATTGACGCGGTTTCTAACGTAGCTTACCAGTTTAGTCAAATTCCCTCTCTGTAAATGATCAATCCCAAAACGGTAATAGCAGCGATCGAATCTGATGACTCCAAAGGAACAAACTCAATCAGTCAGGTCTTTTGGCTTCGGCTTGTTGTATTTTCCCGCACCAGCCGCAAACGGCGGAATCGAATACGTACCCTATTAAACTGATAAGCACACTCACCCCCTAACTCTACTGCGTTCGGTGCTTTATAATTCCGGCAAAGAGCTGATCACATCGAACCAAAAAGCCAGAGCAAATCAAATTATTTCGTTTCTAGAAGTTCGGCAACGTCCATCTTCATGGATTCTCCGTATATTAACGCATATGGGATTTTTTTCTTTTTCTCTTTTTGCGAAGGAAACTTATTTTACAACTTCCCAAAATCCCCCCCTTATGCTAAAAACACACAAAAGCACTCAGTACTTTGTATGTAAATGTTTGTGATCATAGATGACCTTGCTTAAAAACGAGCCATCTCCCGTCCATCGACCCAATCCATGATCCAAGCCAAAGTCATCATAAACTTCCGCTTCCAGGAACGAGTCCAGAAGAAATTACCCGATCGCCAGCTCAACCAGGCTCCATACCCGGTATATTCGTGGCCGCGCCTTCCCATGATCACACCATCACCGGCACCAGTGTACGTGACCAGGGCACGCTGCTGGTACTTAAAGGGCTCAATTGTTCTGCCGACAGCGGCGGCATTGATCGAATGAGCCAGATAGGCCGCTTTCTGGACGGCGACTTCAGCGGTGGTTGGTAGACTGGCGCCGTCGATGTCAGCAGCATCGCCCATGGCATAGGAACCGGGGATAATGGTGCCGTCAAGGGCGAGAACCTGGAGACGGTCGTCGGTGAGGATGCGCTTAAGGCCGTGGTTGGATTTCATAACGTTGAGCTGGTCGACGATGGGTCGCTGTTTGTTCCCCGTGGCCCAGATCAGGATGCCGTAGGCGATCTTGCCGTCTTCTCGGGTCTCAATAGTATCATTCGTGACGTTGATGATATGCGAGTTGACTTTTATCTCGACCTTGTGCTTCTCCAGGGACTTCTGGGCGTATTCGGAGAGCTTTTGGTCAAATGGTGCAAGGATATTCGGCGCCACGTCGTGGACCGTCACGGACGCCTTCCCCCGTAGATGTGGGTATAGCTTCATTAGATCGCCCGCAAACAGGTCAGTCAATTCGGCGGCGATTTCGATACCTGTTGGTCCGCCGCCGACGATGGCAATATGCAGGAGCTGCCTCTGCTGGTTCTCCGTGGTGCAGGGCAGCGAGGCAATCTCGAGGTTTTCATTGATCTTGTCGCGGATGGCGTTGGCGTCGTTGACGTTTTTCACCATGAAGGCGTGTTCGTCCACCCCAGGGGTATTGAAAGTGTTGGTCGAGCAGCCAGGAGCGACCACCACCTTGTCGTAGGAAATCTTGAATTGCTCGTCTTTGAGTGAATGAAATGCAGGCTGACAGATCAGGGTCTTCTCCTTGAACTGAATGTCCTGAACGCAGGCCTTGACGTATTGCACATCGAGGTGCTTGCGTCGGATAGGCTCCTGAGCTAGTTGCGAGTAAAACAGACCGCAGGCTGCACTGGCCAGAAGCGGGGTGATGGCTGAGGTTGCCTCTGGCGAAATCACCACCACGTTATATTTGCTGGTATCCAGCGTATGCGCCAGGTTATATCCTCCCCAGCCACTGCCGATGATCGCGATCGTCTGTTTGGGGGTCATGTCTCTGATCACGGGCAGATAATAAGAATAAATGTAAAATGTAACCGAAAAGGGGGTAAATTGGTGTAGAATTAGTAAATTTGTAGGTGAAGTAGGGAAGGATTTTGCTGTCCCCGGGGAAGTCTGCCTTTTATGCTACTTGCCCTGGGAGGAAGTGTCGCTAACCAGACCAGTGACCGGTCTGGAACAAGACTCTGCTTCATTATGAGAATACAATCTCCGGATAAGGGAAAACCCTGAGAGAAACTTACGTCGTGGACTCGATTGACATGCCTTGAGAATCAATTCATGGTTAAAAATGGAACGGTCGCATTCGAAGAGGTCAAGACACAGAGCCATAAAAGAATGCCAGATTCAATGATGTCAATTTGTAAGGCGACCGACCTCCACAGTGAAGTTTGGCATCGAGAAAGTTCTCCGTCGACTATATACGTTTCACCTCGATTAGGTTGGATCCGTGGATGGAGCACGTAGGTAGATTAAACCGAATGCCAGCATCGATCTCTTCTGAGGCCCTCGGCAACAAATTGGTTTCCGGAAACAGATCACTTACGTCATCATCGCCCTCGCTTAGTATTTATAGACCCAACCCAGCTACAGCCAATCAGAGGAGTATTATCTTCTCTGAGTTCGAGTTCGATGCGATAGGTTAGTGTTGGAGCACCTGAATAGTCCTGCACTTCATACCTCTGTTTGACCGTGTCCATGACACGGGGCGCCCCCCTTTTTGTTCAACAGTCAAAGCCCTTGGCGGTTCTCGCTGTTCGTGTTAGTGATGGTATCACATTTTTGAGAAGGTGGTATCTATTAAACTTCAAACAAATGGGGCCTTAAGATGTCGGGTGTTGACGTAACCACCAGATGCAGGACTCGCAAGCTGTCAACTGTTTTGGGACTTAGTTCATCCGGTTTGAGCCATTATTTTATGTCGTGGTTAGGAACATATAAATAGGACATCCAAGTACACTCTTAAATCTAACGTTGTCCCTCCACACCTCTTCCCATTTCCTTCTCTTCCACCAACGAAGCTTGTGAATCTTTCCAGATATACTCTATTAGGAAGACAAAGATGCCCTGGAAACCACCTACGATCGGCAATCGCACGGTGGCCATTCTGGGCGCCGGTGTACTTGGTACGAATCCCGTCCCCTTTGAAAACCAGTCAATCCCGCTCATAATATATATAGGTCGTCGAATTGCCTGCGTGTGGGCTGCAGGAGGATACAATGTCGCGATTCGGGACCCGAGTGCGGACCAACGGACCTCAGCCCTTAATTTCATCGACAACAACATCGCCAACTTTTACAAGACCTTTGGGAACACTAATACCAAAATGGGCCAGTATGCCGCGTACGAAGACATGGATTCGGCCGTCAAAGATGCCTGGTTTGTCGTCGAGGCCGTTCCTGAAAAACTCGACCTCAAGATCAGCACCTTTGCTGAACTGGCCGTGAAAGCCCCCAAGGACTGTATCCTGGGTTCCAACTCCTCCTCGTTCAAGTCGCGGTTTATGGTGGAAAAACTGAATGACGAGGACAAGAAGCGCGTCCTGAACGTCCACTATACCATGCCCCCCGTCCGAGTCACCGAATTTATGACCAGCACATTTACCGATCCTGCCATTTTTCCCTTCCTTGAGGAGAAACATCGGGAAGTGGGATTACTTCCTGCTACAGCACGCAAGGAATCGACTGGGTATGTCTATTTTCCCGTCTAATATATACATAGGTAGGATTATGTTCGATACTGACCATGTTGCAGTTTCATTATTAACCGTCTGTGGGCGGCCATGAAGCGAGAGACTTTGATGATTCTGGCGGAGGGAGTCACTGATCCGAAGAAAATTGACGAACTCTTTGTATAGCGTCCTCATCCATCTCACAGAACCAGAGCAGAGTGCTAACTGAAAATGATTTTAGGTTGAGATGTTTGGTGCCAAAACTGGCCCCTGCGCTGCGATGGATGGAGTGGGTCTTGACACTGTTGCTTTGATTGAAGAAAACTACATCAAGGAGCGAGGCCTGCCCAGCTACCCCGTCGAGTGGCTGCGAAAGAATTATGTTAGCCAAGGCAAACTTGGAGCCAAGAGTGGAAACGGCGGTCTCTATCCTGCGGGTTACACCACGAAGAAGGGTGCTGCCAGCCAGCATGACAATCTGGCTGCTCCAACCCTATACCTGCTAGATGTAGGGATTGGCGAAAACGTGACCAGCAACTTCTTCTCGTCTGGAAAGATTTACGCTGCGTCCGCCAATGGCGAGAACGTGCGGAAGCTGGCCGATAACCTACCCTTTCCAGATGGCATCGATATCAGTGTGTCCCAGGGTCGCATGTTCTGGAGCAACATGGGCAATCCGGCTGCAAACGATGGAACCATCGAGTCTGCAGGCCTCGATGGCTCGGACCGTAAGGTTATTGTCCCAGCGGGTGTTGTGCACACCCCTAAGCAACTGACCATCGATCATGTTTATGAGAAGGTCTACTTCTCTGATCGGGAAGGCATGCGCGTACACCGCGTCAACTTTGATGGAAGTGGCCATGAAGTTCTGGTTCAGACTGGGAACTTTAATAGCCCTGCCCAGAAGAGTGATCAGACAAACCATGTATGTCTCAGCCTATGCGCCTTTTATGAAGTGTTCTTTTATTTAACTCAAGTTACAGTGCGTCGGAATCGCCGTCGACCCCAAGCACGGCAAGTTCTACTGGACGCAAAAGGGCGCCAGCAAAGCAGGCCAAGGAAGAATCTTCCGCGCCAATATTAATACCCCTGCCGGAGCAACCGCTGCCACCCGATCGGACATCGAATTGCTCCTTGAGAACTTGCCCGAACCCATCGATCTGGAAATCGACCCGGTCACTGAACTCCTCTACTGGACGGACCGCGGTGAATATCCGGTCGGCAACTCGGTTAACCGAGCCTACGTCGGTAGCGGCAACGATAGCAAGTTGCCCGCTAATCCTAAATTCGAGGTTTTGACCCGGCATCTGCATGAGGTATGTCCCAAATTGCCATCACCTTGAACGTGATATATATTATTATATGTATTATGGATCTATGGATCATTAACGTGCTGTGCTGTAGGCTATTGGTATCTCCTTGGATAACGTGAACAAGCACATCTACTTTGTCGATATGGGCGGATCGGTCTACCGCTCCGATCTCGACGGCCATAACAAGACCGCCATCTACAGTGGCAAGAATGCTTTCACCGGCCTCGCTTTGACTCATAATTCGCTTTAACTAACAATAAGTCTCTCGCCTTATCCCAACGGCATTTTAATTATGGCAATTTGAAGTGACCAGAAAAGGTAGAAATCCAAAAAAGGGGGAATTTTGAATTACGTTAATTGTCATATTGACGAATATGTTCAAGAAGTATAGCAGGCGATAACTAGGGCTATTGGAAATCTGACTCCTCTAGGTTTGTACCTTGGACTTTGGAGGTGCTATATGTTTCTGAGTGGGGGTTGTTATGTTGATACGTTTAAATGATTCGTAGTTCGTGGCTCTATAGCAGGCAAATAATATCCGTGTGTCGGCTTCTCTCGCCATTTTCTAAAAAACCCTTTGCCCTCAACTTTTTCTATTAGCGAAACTCCCCTCTTCGGCTACTGCTTTATCCTAGGGTGGACTTCGGTAAGCATTAATGGGCAACTGTCCGTCTGCCGAGATCGCTCGGTAAAGAAGATACCGGACACCGAACATGGAACATCGTCTTGATAATCCTCAGGATGATTCAAGGTATAGTGTGTAAAAGATGATTGAATATTTTGTGATTTCGATTCCCATCAGCAATTTGAATGCAACATTTCTTCATCTCTTCTTACCGCAAGCTAACATTTTACTAGCAAGTCAAAACAATATGGCCGGCTCGTCACCTCTTAGCTCGGAAAACCAAAGTGCGTTGAACTTTGCGTACATGCTCGGACGGATTCAAATTCTCACATTTTATACAGTATATTATGAATTACTGACAAGCTTTTTTAAAGTACTGTACAGTTATCCTTTGCTTGAGTATGGCAAATTTGTTTCTCAACTGCCTCTACTATGACCGGCGGCTTTAAGCGATCTGCAAGTAATTCGGCCCAACTCTGACACATTGTATTCGACCATATTCATGGATCTCTCATTAAATTATTTGCAAGTTGAAATACCCACTATTGAAGACAGTTACTGGCTTTTCCCGTTCTATGATCTGTACGTAGCCGACAAGTTTCTCCAAGCCTCACTCGGCTAAGGGCTTATCTTCCACCAGTTATGGCAATGATATCGACAATACTAGCAGCCCTCAGGGTCATCGGACAGGGAAATACTTGAGCCAGTTCGCCAGTACGGATTTTGACATTCACAACGTTTCATCATTAGAGATTGACTATGTGGGATACGTCAATCTTCCTACATCCTATGGCATGTGCGTCGTACGTTTTGCGACGAATCAATCAATCCCAGATCAAACCTTGTGAATAAATATCAGAATAGGGTCGGCATTACGTGCATCCTCCATTCCAGTTATCCGTGTTTACAGTCCCTGAGCATCAAGCTTCAGAAAGGGTCCTTACCGCAGAAGCGTCCTGCACTTAACTGTGGCACTCGCACCTTAAAAATATTTATCTGTATTGCAAGACAGACATTGTATTTACCTCATGTTCAAGCAAGTGGCATTGGAAATTGCCTCTTTAATTATTCCGAGGAACTGATATTTAACGTGTGTATGAAGCTGGAGAGAAGGAAGCACGAGCTCTTCTTGAGTCCCCCAATGGTAGACTCGATCATGGGAATGACTAGAGCTCTGCATGCCCAAATTGTCTCGGAAATTATATGCGGGGAGATATTCCATCTCTAAACGGGGCTACTTGGCCTTGACGAGCCACCATGCAATCTACGCATCTCTCTCCAGTGCTCTCAGAATCGGACCCAATGGGGCAGTTCTGCTACGCTTCTCCCGTCAGCCGGTTCTAGTCCAAACCGGGTTCTGGAGCCTGACTTCTCACAATGCATTGCAGTATCTCATTCCAAATCAAATCAACCGGTACTGCCTCGGAAACCGCGATAATATGACCTTTCCAGACCCCGCTCAACGATGGAACCAAAGGCGACGAGTTTTACATCTTGTTGCAGCCTGCGGACCTTGCACAGCCAAAAGAATGGAGAAGTAATAGCAGTACCGGTGAGCATTAGCTCTGGCCACGGTTCAAGGGCGGCGATATTATTTGGCTGGTTTCGAAGCGTGGAAAGGATCAAACCAAAGGTTCCCAATATTCACCAGTCGGGATGGGACATACGTAGCATAGTGGACCAGCTGTTTGTTATGTTTGCTATTTGGCCGTTCAACGAACGGTTTGGATGAGGATCATGTCATCCAATGTGACACTCGCACGGCCGAACCTGACGGGCCGTGTTTCAAAAAGATATGACTTGCTCGATATGAATCGAAGTCGGATACACAAGAAGTTGACCCGTCAGGAGGTTGCAATATGCGTTGAATAGAACACCCCTCTCAACACAAATCCGTGTTGTAATTCAGAGGAAGGTTCATTGTTGTCATTTCCGAGGGAGAACAGAATGCTATATATACAAGACAGACTCCAAATTGATTTTCAATCAACTTGGTTCTTCGTATAGACACTTCAGGAATTATTTCCGATGGTGCGATTTTGTTCCTGATCTGCACCAGCCTTATATCTCAACAATCCGTTCAAGTGTTTCGGACATTGTCGTGCTTGTGTGACTTGGATTACCGCTACAATGAAAGATAGACGTTGAACAGGTAATAGTCACTTCATACAATGTCAACCTGCTTCGCAATTCACTGGGCCGCTGAATTACTGGCTTGCTTCCCATATTCTCATGATTTAATCCTACAGACGAGCCTGGAAAAAGTCAAGCACATTGGCATTGTCGGAGCGAGCGCGTTGAAGTCTCTGTTTCAGAGCCGCTATCGCCGCGGAAGTTCCCGGAAGACTCGTAGTGAGTGCATCGACCGCCAGTGCCAGTTCGTGCAAAGCAATGGCGGACTGATTCAGTTCAGTGGCGAAGGTAGCGTAGCATTTTTCGTGTCTCGGTCGGCTACCAAATGCTGGTTTCCCTTATACTCGATCCGGGAGCCCGCCACGGCGCAGGCTCGTCAAGGATCACAGAAGGGTGGTTAATCTCGAGTTAGCGTCGAAAAAGAAAGGCACACGAGCATTCTTCTTCCTCTCGCAATGCGTGTCCAATAATCCAGGGTCCAACAATAAGCCTCGGTATCATGTTTGACACTGGAGATTTTAAAACTTGGTCATTTCCTCTTAGCGATAGAAAACTTCACAGTTGCGTGCTGGACGAATTCCAAACAGATTGGAAAGCATCATCAAAAATCTGCAGTCTCAATTGGCCCCCAAATCAAAAAAGCTAATGGCTCTTCATGTGGGTAACTTATTGCTCGGCTAGTGAATGCCACAGACCGCGTTCGCGCCGGAACAATTGGACTTGGAGCTGATCTGGCATTTGTTCCCGAGAAATGAACGGATCACTGGGCGGGAGAAGCCCCAATGGCGGCAGAACACCGAGAAATTGCGCCTTGTTGAACAATTGATGTTGCGAACCCATATCGAACTAGTGGCGATTACGGCAATATCGTCTGCTTCGAAGCGCTTTCGATCGATTGGTTTCTGTTTGGCGAAGCTAAATTCGCTTAGTAGGCATTCGATGAACTGGTAGACCCAGTTTTTGTTGATAACCGGCGGTACTGTAGCATGGTGCTCGTGTGCCGCCGGATAATCTGTGTTGTTATTCAGAGGAAGGGTTGGTTGTTTTTATTTCAGATGGGATACATGTGGCTATGTATACAACATAAAATCCAAGTTGAATCTAAATCAACTTGGTTCTTCGTATAGATAGTGCAGGAATTATTTCTGACGGTGCGACTTTGTTCCTGATCTGCACACGCCTCATATCACAAGAATCTGGATTGTAGCCTTCCAATCATGCCTACGGTTGGCGGACAGTATAGCGAATCAAGATTCCGAGTCCACTGAATAAGCGCTGCTTCCTGGGCTTCGGTAAGACACTTAGTGGTGATCGTACGATCTGATCTTGATCGGTGATCTTGAACACGCGCCCGAAGCCGCAATGCTGGGGCGTCAAATTCACGCGCAAAACGTGTGATATTTGGATATTTGGAGTCTTGGTAGAAGGTAAAACGGTGAAATATATTCAAATTTACGTTGGGCTGTGGAGCACCCACACGCTGAAAGCCAGTGATAGCACGAGTAGCACTCACCTAATCATTAACGTCTGCAATTGAAATGGGGCAAAAGCTGTGTAATAACGTTGCCGGTAGAGAGGCAGCCCAATATTTCACCTCTCAATGCTGAATACTGCCCATTCACTGATACCAAATAATACGACTTGGCCTCTCTAGACTGAGATGATAGTTGTCAGGCGTCCAGTTCGGATGCGTGAAATCTCTTAACTCTATTGCACTATCCAGGTAGAAAGGAACGAAGAAACCAAAGAAAGAAAAGAAAGCAAAGGGGAAGACACGGGCCTCTGTGCAACTATAGTAGGTGACACCTGGATAGTATCACAAATTAATGTTTTGACGTGGAGTGTCACAATAGTAAGGACTATTTCACCAAAACGAGGTTTAATCAGTTGGCCTTGTGGTGTTTGAACTGGATATGACTCAGGTTTCCCATCGGCAGAGAGACAGGAAATTCAACACCCATTAGGACCTCGGCCAAGATTAGATACCAACCAGCTAGACTTGACACAAATGCAAAGGCACCCCCGGCCTAGTCGAACTATTAGTCACATACCCTTTGTACAACAAGGGTGATTATCATTGATAATCCTGTTGAGAAGAATATAATCAACTTACAATCTGTAATCGATGCGCAAGTTGTGGCTGTCCATTTGCAAGCTGCCAATAAGCGCCAGCTAGTAGCTCCAAGGCAACTGAGAGGCAGAGAAAAAGCGACATAAATACCACATTAATTCGGACACTTGCGAGAAGAAAATAGAAACTGATTATTCCCACAAACAGCAAGTAAAACGCTAATATCATAGGGTCAATCAGTTTTTAAATGCTGCAGGAAAGCTAGGGCAGGTCTCGTACCGAAGGATGCATGAAACCCCGGATTTAGCGGATTTTGAGGGTCATAAGCCGTGGCTGTATTATAAAATGGTGTTAAAGTCGCACCATATGATAGGAAAAACGCTCCTAGCCGTTAGTTAGAATTGGGTCAGCATTCTGGAGAGGCCGAGCAACCAACCATAAGTGCCAAACACCACATATTTGAATGTATTTGACTGGATGAATTCAAAGACCGCTGTGATGATCAGAAGAAGGCCGCCAGCGAAGAAAAAGACTCCCCTTGGCTTTGAATTAGCATTATCACACTCCAATCACGTAGGAGGATGCACAAACGTGGTTGCGGCACCCATTCCCCCCGCTCCACGCCACCCCATGAGTTGTATTGAAAGGGGGCTCAGGCTTAAACAGTAACCAATAAATCCCCTATTAAGTTAGGAAAGGATATAGATTGTGGAAGCTTCAGCTGAACTCACAAAGGAGTGGGAGAGGCGGACATAGGTGGGACAATTTTATTTGGCGTTTGCTCAGGATGGAATTGACCAGCCCTTTTTGACTGTTCCAGAGTTTGTCCTTCAGTACTTGCTTCTGGGTTGGAATTTCCTTGGGTACCGTTAGCACCAATTCCCTCGTAATCAAAGGACAAGCTTCGCGGTTCGAAATCGCAAGCTCGCGGTTCTGAACAGCCAAAACTGATTTAGGCAGGATTGACAAAGCGTACTGACGCCACTTACGTATGCCTCGGAAGGAGCAAGAGCTGATCCGCGCCAACTCTCATAATGAACAAACAATATTTTCATCTTTTCCTACTTGATGTTGCTCATTCTGTTTCTGTTTTTCTGTAGTTACGGCGATCGCATTCCACGATAAGTCAATTGGCCCCACCGCAGGGTCGACGTGGAACAATGTCGTTTCACACACAGCGTAGGTGCCAGCTGATTAGATAGGAGATCGGCCATCGTGGCTGCAACCAATTGTCCCCCATCTTGCTTCCCCTACCCGACCATGCTAGATTCCAAACCTCGTACCTACGCCTGAACTGTGATTCTCAGCTGCATCGTACTTCAGTTAACGCAGAGAGCGATAATTTATCATGTGTCTCATCTGACGTTGAGGTTTGACAGGCAATCGATCCCAAGGCTCAGCAGCAATCTGGGGTCGCAGTACTTGACCGTCCTAAACTGCGGCACGAGGTGGGAGCTCCCGCAGCTCCTAGACACGAAGATGCTTGCTCCCAGGAGCTCTATCCTGGGCTCCTAGGGTACTCGTAGCTCCCAGGAATAGAGAGCGTGATCCTAGAGACGGTACTTGCGATCCTGGAGCTATCAAAAATGTGGCTGGGCACCCAACGCTTTCTGAGATCTTATGGCCTCTTCCCTTTTATGGCTGGTAGCTCGAGCCTTGGACCAGAAAGAGCATCCAGCGGGAAACGGGAATTATTTCTATATACTCGTTAGTTGAGGGGGAATGGTACTTACTGTACTGGAGGTAGGATACACAAATTCTTTTGCCTGCTTCTTTGCTGCACCGAATAAGGAAGCTGGGGCCGAAGTAGTACACACACCACCACCAATACTCACCGATTTTCTTTTCATTGTGGAATGATTTGTGAAGTTTTCTTTTATCGACCGGCGTCAGGCCGCTCGAGTTGCATAGCGTGCTAACGACATTTTGTTTCAAAGCAGTCTCTGCTGTACCCCGTTGACGTTCACACTCGATTTCTCTGACAAAAAAACAGAAACAAAGAGTATCGAGCAACACGTAGCTTGACATAATGTACGTCATTCTCATTATGCAGGCTCATTAGATAGGTCATAAGACTGGCACGGTTGGGCCTTGGAGCGGTATTCGAGGAGCCTGAGTCATTCCAGGAAGGGCCGCTCCAGAAACCAGAGACCTTCCAGGTACAGGAGTACTTTTCTAAAAAGGCAGCGAGGTTATGTGAATGAAGGCGTTCGCCGGTGCGCTGGACTTCAGTCAGCTGTTGCGAAGTCAGTCGGGAATATACCGATTCCAAAAAAACTGACTGCTCAGATCCCTCGGATTGCCCAGGTCTTTTTGATTGCTCAGGAGAAGAGCTTGTCAGCCTGGAAGTGCAGAAACGGCTCAACGAAGAGCTCAATCTGCTTCATCATCGGCCTCCGCCCGAGGAATTGTATCGACCAGAAAATTTGAAAATTTGGTCACTGCCAGCCTCTGGTGACCAGCCAGCGCAAGCAATACACAGAGACACCGACCACATACCAACACAGAGTGGTCGAACCAATAATCCCCAGCCTCCAATACAGGGTGTGCCAGACCAACCACTCGAACAGTGTGTTGAAGTCAAGTTCTGGTCACTCGAATAAGGTGAGTGGAATCTATCAGACTGTCTCCTCATAGACCGGTCGGATCCATCACCCGTCGAGCGAGTCGCACTGAGGTACTCATGCAAAACCTGTGCACTCTACGATGTGAACCTATACAGCCTCCGTCTAGACCACTGTTACCGTGCAGCCACAGCCGATGGCAGCAATGCCAATTTCTTCATTTCCGCGCAAGAAGAGAACCAGATCGCGGCCGAAGGAAGACTTGGTAAGGAGAAGCAGCTGATTTCAATGGCTTCTCGAGTTTTAGCTGGGGCAGTGAAAAGATGAAGAAAACTTAACAGTCGTGCATGCAGAACAATGATCAGTCTTCACATGAATGGCCCGTACCTGGGAGAAGGACTGGAATGAGAGACTTGTTTTGAGAGAGTTCTCGTTCTGAGATGACCGTCCTGAGATGCTCTAAATCTTGAGAAACCCCGGTCATAACAAGGCACACATTATACCATGACAGATTACCCACATTTCTTCGACGATGGGGAGGCGCTAAGTGTAGAAGAATATCGGTTAGCACTTTGCAATAGGTCTTGTCTCAAATACCGAACTCAGTGTTTTCGATTGAACACTATTCAGCACTAGTCAGCACTTCAAACTCGAGCTGAGATCCCGACATGATTAACTTGCGGGAAACGAGCACATCTTCGCGTCCAAAATGGCCCCGAAACGGGTTACGGGATCGTGAGATATTCCCTCCGGCCATGGCTCGCCCAGTCTGACAAAGTGCTACCTAGAACATCATCCTCGGATAGTAATAAAATTGGGCCCCTCCTCTATCGCTCAGAAATATAACTGAGCGAAGCAGGTATTTTGCGGGTCTTGAAGAAACAGATAGCAACATCAAAAAGGAATGCGGATAGCAGCAAGCTTTGCTCAGTAGCGATAGCGATAGCAGAAGCCAGAGGGGAAAAAAAAAGAAAAAGAAAAGAAAAGAAAAGAAATCTGTCAAAATGGGCGGATACGTCACTGCGCATAGTCACTCACATAAATGCAACTCAGACCTCGATCTCGCGCGGAGGCCCAAAAAAAAAGACGACGACGTAAACACCCTTCAACGTTTGATCAGCGAAACAAATATCTCATGATCAGTGAATATAATTGAATGAGGTGACCGCTGTTGTGCCACCTCCTGTAGCGATAAATTAGAGACCCAAGTTGATGAATGTTGAAACGTGTCGTCGGCGCTTTTCTGCGGACCGCCGGGAGTGTTGAAACGGTGCCAACAGTGAGGAAGGGTTTTTGATATATTCAATCATCAAAAAGCTGCGATGCCTCCGAATACTGCGTCAGATCAATAGATAAATGTTGAACCAGCTGCAACTGGAGGATCGACTGTGTTGGCGCCCTCACAATTCGCAACGATCAACGCAAGTAGAATGGCTGGCTGCAATGCTATAAATACCCGAACTCTCGCCAGCAGAACGGTCGTTCTCAAGCATTCCCTTGTCATCCTGGAGCAAAGAATATCGAACACTTCTCGACTTCGCCAGCTGCTCTCCTCCAGTATGGACTGACCCGACCCCGAACTGTCATGCACTTGTGATCGAACTGACCTGTTGTATCGCCCCTAGTCTGTCTATGCTCGACACTGGAATCTGTTAACGGTACGTAGGTAAGTTTAGTTACCCGATCATTTGAGACCATGCTAACGTGGAAGATGTTTAATATCAGTTCCGTCTCGGCTGTTCCTCTGGTAATTCAATCAACGCAACTGGAATGGCCTCGATAATAAACTCAGGTTGCGGAGACAGTGAGTTATGAAGAGCCCCCATAAGCTACCTACTGATGGTTTATCATAGATTGACATCATCGACTACCAGGCTGACTTGACCGAACTAAAATGCCGCGCGCAGCAGTAGCTGGCAAAGTAAGTTTCGATCACTATGGCAGCTTCGAGAGTAGTTAACAGCCTGTGCTGACGACTCTCTGTAAAGGAAGCCGATTGTTTTACCATGAGCCAGCCCATGTCTTGTAAGTTGCCCCATGCGTTGCCACTGCCTATTCCCAACGCCAGGGACTACATTTTGAATCTCAGTGCGATGTCTATCTGTTTGTGGCTCTCTGTTCTTCAGAAAATATTGCTGAAGTCTCTTTCTCGTCATAGGGCGAATGTCAAAATTGCACTCGACACGACCGAGCTATATTCCCCCATCGTCCTTGAAACTAAGCCAGGTGCACCAGCCTGATGGGCCAGCCACTGACTCCCAGTATGCTTGCGCCTTTGTTGTTTCTGAAGACGTGGTTGACACGGCCACTTCGCCTGGCGTTATTAGCGGGCCCAATTCAGGAAGGCTTAATGCCCTCCGGTTAGCCATACGGTAACATTCCAAAGTGTTTTCATCTCTTCAGCATTGCCCTGTCCGATCGAAGGTTAACTGTCACTGTGATAGGAGGTTTCCGTGTTCCGACGGCTCTGCACCTCTTGTCCCATGTATGATTCGAAGCCTCGAGGACGGCATGATCCAGTCCCATACTAGACTGAGTGAGCCATCGCAGCATCCGACGACAACGAAGAGAAGTCTAGCATCGACAACAACGGGGGAAACCACGGTGCCCCCGAAAGCATCATCAACCAGTAATGGGTCAACTTACCGGCCACATTCTGAGGAATAGCTCTGTCAGGGTGCGGTTGCAGCTGAGCAAGTGACAAGGCAGGCCGCAGCCCTGTATCTACCCTAGAGCTCTCGCTGCGAGAGCAGTCGCTACCAGCTGAAATCCTAGCCTGCCCTGGACGAAACATCAAAAATTTCTGTTCACTAGCCACTAAGTGGTTCTTTGTCCTGGCATGATTGAACATCTGCTTGGCCACTGCCTGTGTCCACGCAAACAGCAAAAGCATACAGCTATACATTGAAGAATATGAGCCTGTGCCCACATCTATTTCCTCTGGTACGGACTAATCCTGGACCCTCGGGTACGTGATCGAGCTGACGCCTGCTGTCTTGTCACTAGTTTTGCCCGTGCTCGAAGTCAAGCTACACTCATAGCAAGTAAGTGTAGCCCTTGGTTAGAGGAAATCATGCTGACGTGAGATGAATTGAACTTCAGCCTGTTCTGGCCGTTCCCACCAATCCAATTGAGATACTGTATGATGGCTGGCATGGGGATCTCATTGAGACCGCTAGCACGGTGAGTTGCAAACGAACATATTGAGCCATCTGCTCTGATCATTAGTGATAGTTCGAGTATGACCGGCAAAGAACTGCCTTGGCAGTTTCCCAATGCAGACGACGATCGAAAGCTGCCACTATAACCTACTTCGTGAAACAAAGCTGACAAATTATGTTCTCATCCCTCAGACATTTTGGAAGCAAACTAACCATGTTGTCAAATCGCTGATATGAAAATGACCGTTTCCCTCCGAACTATGCTATGCACAATGCACCCGAAAGCCGACCGAACACTCACTTTTCATCAATGTCACCACCGAGGGGCACGGACTCGCCGGCAGAAGTAGACTTGCGATGCTCAAGGTCAGTCAGTTGCCGCGAAGGTCATAATTATCCGTTGCTAATCCCAAAGAAGCAAGGTTGTTTTTGATACATACCAGATGGAGGAGACGTTTTGTTGACTTCTGCCGATGCGTCCAACGCGACTAAGGGAACGACACGTTACACCGCGTAAATTCACCGCCTTATCCTCCCCGCGGGTCGCGACACGCTCGGCGGAGTTCCCTGATGACTCCCAATTTCAAGACCTGCGGATGCTAACTCCGCCTGACATGCTCCCTTTCTCCTTCTCCCTAGATTCTCACCTTACTTCCTTCATTCACCTCTGGACCACGTATGCTGGAAATATATTTCCTTTCCTAGCGCATTGTCAAGAATAAGTGACCTCGATTCGTTTCCTTTCCACTCTTAGAGGCTGGTTGGTTTGGTCCCAATGTCTTTACTCATCTGAACTTGTGCTGAGGCTTTCTGTTAGCATCGCTCTATTTGGCACCATGACGGAAAGCAATATCAGCTTTTCTAGTAACACGCGGCAGACCTCGATGACTTCCGCCTTTGTCGTGGACACTGAGCATGCCACATCTATCCAGACAACTGCAATATCTATCCCCTCGACCGCCGTTTGTACTGTGGCCGCCACTGCGGCTGTCAATGGCACGTCCACAGATACGTTTCGTGAACTGCCCTGCCAATGGGTTGGATGCAGTGAAACTTTTTTCACTGCAGAGGCCTTATATGTAAGCTCGTCGACAGATCAGTGGTCCCCGAAATTTCTGACAGTTGTTGCGACACAGGAACACATCTGCGAGTGGCATATTGGCCGAAAGGCTACTAACAACCTCAGCTTGGCATGCCAATGGGACAGCTGCAATGCTATTGCCGCCAAGCGGTACCACATTACCTCCCATGTTCGAATCCATGTGCCCTTCAAGCCTCACAAATGCCATGTCTGTGATGACTCTTACAAGCGCCCCCAGGATTTAAAGAAACATGTCAAGACTCATGTGAACGACTCGGAGATTCAATCTCCCGAAATGGACATGAAGCATCCAGTTATGATATTCCCTAGGAATCAGAAAGTTTAGTCTCCTGATTCCTCCGCCCTATCTCTGGAACCTTTAGCCGTGTGGCATTGCGTTGCTCTCTTGGGGTTGGAGGCTGTGCACCAAGTATTTGATCTTATGAAGAATCGTACTTCCCGCATGATTGGATCACTATAAACTCGGTCGTTGACTGAATTGGAGGTTTAGGCTATGCTGCCTCAGCCGATTACTTCCAGGGTTCGATTGGTGTTGTTAATGGCAACAGTAAGCATAGAGCGCCTCAGAACTACGAACCACACCCTCCCCGTCAGCCAGCAAATCCGCCTTCCTATGGCAATGTGTACTATGCCGTGAGCCAGTATCAAGATGGGACTCACGCGTATGATCATAATCCTGGCGACAATGCGCCGAGCGGCTTCTCCAGCGACCGAACGTGATGTCCATTCGATCTCAACTCTTATGTCACGGTCGGGTAGCGCCTACTGTATCGCTATTGCGGTGTAACCTGCCCTTGCGCGTTTAATCCTCCGCACAAATTTTCGATTAAGCGAAAGCATTCTCACCGTCGCCACCTCATCGATTTTCAGCACCTGTGCAGCTTACCGCAACGTCCCAAAACTCACAGAAATTACGGAATTTACTGCCTTCCGCTACTAGAGTTCACACATATAACGTCGATATTAATTACGCCGTTTCTCAAAAAGACAACGACTTATTGACAGCGATAATCCACCCATTGACAGTAAAGAGGCGTTTTTGGTCTCAATCTGTCGGGCGGCACCGAACCTTCCGCATCCTCTATCGGCTTGGAGATGGCCAATGTCGACCCACCCTTGACGAATCGTCAACCTTATGAAGCGTTCGCCTTGTCAGTCAGACATTGAATTATCTCTTCTAGATGAGGAGGAAAAAAAAAGACAGCGAAACCGGCCTCTGGTCGCGCTTAACTTGGGTGAGCGGACATTTAGTGGTTCGAGTCTCCACATCTGCAGTCTCATTCGTCTGCTGGGATGCGCCCGAGCCATGGCGGGTTGGTCCGGGATCAGATAATGAAATTTGCACTGGAATCGTGGTTAGTTCAGCCGAAACCTGCCAATCAACGATGACTCCGACCGGGATGACCTTTTTCATGGGCCCATCCGATCTCGGGTCGAGATATCACAAAGTCTGTCAAGTTTCCACGGGTACTTTGCTTCTCTGAGATTAGCTCATTTTTAATGAAACTGTGCGATAAAAAAAGGGTATATTGAGAATACCCTCGGATCATCGAGGTGCTATATTTTAGAGCGCAAAGTCGTCAGATTTATGATCTCCTTTATTCTGCGGTTGATGCCGGAGATTATCGGTACTTTATTCTACTTAACGCGTTGGTTCTCGGTGGGTGACAGATCGTACGCTATGAGCCGTACACAGAGGTCTGCTTGCTCGGTAGGCTCTCCTGAGTCTAATTGGTTTCAATAACTTGATGGTATAAAAGATCCAGCAGTAAAGAAAATCACACGGAATCTCTAACATTCAAGGGAAATTAGAGTGTGAGGAAAGGCCCTTAGGCGCAAGGTGCGCCAAACAATTTGCTTTGAAGGGAAAGGTCGATTGATCTTTGCGTTGCTTCTCGATGAAGTGTGCGCATAATATGTGATCGAAAAGGCCCACTTCTCTCCACTCCCTTCCAATTTGAACTCCTATTTGGTATAACCCAGTAAAACAAGTCGTTGGTGTTTTTCTTAAAAGTCTTGAGCCAGATTAACGCCTGTAATTGGCTGTTCCGTAGAGCTTGCTTACAATCTCTGCGGCAACACAATCACCATTCATGCCATGTTGTGTTCAGTTTCGTCGTACTCTCGGGGTGTCGCTTCAAAAAAAAAAAGCCCCGCTGGGGTGCACCGGGCGTTTTCCCCAGGCAGCATAGGGCGTGACGAACTCACCAGGGATAAGCAATCATGATGCGGACGACCAGAGGCTCCGCCGTTCATGGAGTGAAGGCGGTGAGAACGAAGACGCGATGGAGCACGCACGCGCGTCGTAGTGCCTTGGTCTTTTATCTCCGATCAGGCGATACTTGGTCACTCGTCACAAGATTTTCCACGGGTGTCGATGGGTTGCTCCTACAATTGCATGACAATCAGTAACGATATTTGTGTTTTGGGGCACAAGACTTGGCACAAACAATCGGATCCAGCGCATCAGACGGCGCGATAACTCACTCACCCCGAAACGAATTTCACAATTGCACGTCCGCACCGTGTTGTTCGCCTACTACCCTGACTCGCAATATTCCACCTATGGTATGCTACATTATTTGAACCAATGGGGCCAGGAATATTGTGTAAGCCATGGCTTTGCGCGGAGCTCTGACGGGGGTCCTGAGATCCTCGGGGGCTCACTCTGATGCGCTGTCACCGGTTCACTGCCCATAATTAGCTAGTAGATCGGCGAGAACTTTCATGACTTACATGTTCTGGTGGTCAAGACCAGGAACGAAGAGACAGCAAAGAGCTGTGGTCCTTGCCCTGGTGCATTGTCGTCGAATATCCACGGATCTGGTTGTCCCGCGTCTTTCAGGTCACTGCAGTTTCAAACAGAATTGGGCAGACTTTCACATACCTACAGAATGAGCAGTCGCGCTTCAACTTTGAGGGTACATCCAGAGGCGGGACAGTAGATCAGCTCAGTCGGCTGCTATAGCGGAGAGATCTTCGCATAGACACTTTGACCAGCTAACCCAAATCTCGTATCTTTGATCGGCTGGCGTGAATGGCACAGTGGATCTGCTGGGAATCACATCTCTCACAGGGACTGTCTGACTTGCTGCTCCATCATGTATCCTATGAATGCATCTAACAAGCGGATTGTACTCGGTGTATTTGAATTCATGTGTCTCATTTCAAAGATATCTCTAATAATATACTGGAACCAAATAAATTATACCTGCGGAAACTAGGATTGAACGTGAGGAACTAAATACATGTTGCTAAATGAGTGTCCTTACATATCTTGTCCCTTCTCATTGTCCGATACATTCAAGTTCTGAACTTATTGCATGATGCGTTCCACGTATCAGTCCTTCATCATGTAAGCTCCTCTAACTTGAACTATCCAGGTACCCCTGTCGATTTGATTTATCCTGTTTGCTTCGTCTGCGGCTCCTTGGAGACTATAACGCCACCTATGGGGTAGAACCGCTAAGCTTAGGGGCATGAAGCGCCCGGGTTCTGGCTATTCAAATCGCAGCCTTGAGCACAGTGACCATCATCTGTAATGTAAGAGACCTGATAATATGGAGCTGCCCAGTTCATCTCAAGTGTACCCCCACAACCACCCTCACCGGTAATATCATCAAATTTGTCAATCCCGGAAGCCTGTGTGCAACTCTTGTCCGTTATAGTGACCTGAGCGTTACAACCGCAAACGTCTGTGACCCCAACATTACACCCCCCCCAAAACATCATTCGCCAAATCAAATTTAAAAGCGGAACCAATACCGATATTCGAAACCAAAATAATAAGGCCAGTAGAGAGTGCGCGGATAGAAGGCATGGTTTCAACTTCCATTCAAGGTTAGTGTTTGTCATCGGACAGAATATTATAGAAAGACATACCGAAAAGATGGCCTCTCAATATGCGGATGGTTTTTGTAAGAAAAGGGTATTCTGGAGAACGTGAGGAATCATAAGGGATGAATAACACATTTTATAGTTAATTTTTACTAGGCCACCCAGCACATCACTTTATAGGAGGTCCCTATAGGCTTCCATGGTTGGTTGGTGTTCGTCGCCAATTAGAATTAAGTTCCACGTTCAGGCCCCCAATCTATCAGGCCCCCGATCTATCAGGCCCCCGATCTACCAATAATCAAGAGTCTAAGACCAAGGATTACAAACCAAAAGCGTTCGAGACAAGATCATAGTATCAATGTGTAACTAATTTCGTGCTAAATACCTAAAAATTACGAGCAAAACTGCATAATCTGTTTGTCGATAAAGCGAATCATCTTCATCGTCCCGATGGTGCAACCATCTCAAACATACCACCCACATGACTTAACGAATGAAACCGACAGGGACAAACAAGTGCAAGAGCAAACGCGTAGTCAAGTAACAATATCTCGCAGCCCGTCGTTTCTGGACAAGGAGAAACGACATTCTCGCCCACACGGAGTGACGATTAGGCTGCGGCAAGAACCACAAAGACCTTAGAAAACCAAAACCAAAACCGCAAATGACTGACCCAGTCAACGGAGAAAACATGGCGACATGTTGGCAAAGATGCACCCGCCAAGTCAGCCTCGCTCAAGCTATTTCATTTTCGGTAGCTACTCGTGCCCTGCCGACAGCAAAAGGTGTCGCGGATTATGAGGTAAATTGTCCCAGGACTCAGAATCAGCCTTATCGATTGCCTCTTCTTTCCTGTACCAAATGTCCCAGAATTATCATGGCGATAAAAGGGACAGTGTACTGAATGTATCAACGATTCGAATTTGTAGTTTCTATAATAGAATAGTGGACAAAAAATATAGAGAATGGAAGGTCTGATTCCCGCTCCTTCCTTGTCCTCTTGACTTTGGCTTTACTCTAATGCATGGAGAAAACTTAAAGAAACCCAGACTGGCCGTGGATTATAAAGTTTCCTTCTAAAAAGTTTCATCAACCTACCGCGACGACGGCAGAATGATCTCCAGCGTAGAAGCGTCAATGACAAATCTCCACTGTTGCGGGGCTGATCCCCGAGCCGACCTCCGCCTGACCTGGCCATTCATGGATTGGCTGGTTCGAGTATTCATCCCGCCCTTCATCCGCGGTAAATGGTGATTAGTACCGTTGATCTAAACTGAAATGCAACGTTGGGTCCTCGTAGGCCTAAGGCGACCCGGGAAACACAAATTGTGTCCTATGATGGATGGATATGAGCATTTCAATGGAGCTGACGGGCTCTGACAGAAGAAAGGATATACTTTAAGGCTACCAGAGATTATTTTGGGTGATGATTCACTCTTGCTGGTTTTTATATAAACTCTGACGTCTCTACCCACCACCTGTCTTCACAACCGCTCATCAGCTAGAACTAAACGACAAGAAAGATCATTTTTCAACAATTTCAAGATGAAATTAACATCACCAACGTCGCTCCTACCAATAGCCATATATGGCATATTGACTGCTCCAGGGGTAGCAGCAAAGTGCTCAGCGGGACTTGTCAATATTGTTTTCAATGGGCCTGGCGATAAAATTGGGCCTGGATCGCACCCCGACTCTCAGTTATTTTCTTGGTTTTCCAAGATGCCAGCCGCCAAGAATTGGATAACTTTTAATGAGCATGAATACGAGAAGAAAATCCCCGTGCTGGGTGACAACAAAGATGCTGTTCAGGACGCCATTAAAATGGTCACCGGGGCAAACCCGCCAGAATTTCTGCTCACATTCAATGAGCCCGACTGGGATTATAAAACAGAAAAGACGAAATTGACTCCTCAAGCTGCTGCTGAACTTATTGAACCATTGTTGAACGCGACTGCAAAGCATACCAAGTTCATCGCGCCAGTGTCAGCCTTTCAAATGAGTAACTGGCTTCCTGAGTTCTATGAAAAATGCAAATGCAGAGACCGTTTCTATGCACACAGCGTCCATATCTATAACCACACCATCGATGACGCCAAAACTGCTATCAACACCTTTCACAACAAGTACAACGACAAGCCTTTATGGATCACCGAAATTGCACCGAGGCAGCTGAACTGTGACGCTCCGACGAGTAGCTCGTGGGCCAATTCGACAGAATTTATGAACGAACTCTTCGCCTGGGGACAACCGATCGAATGGATCGAAAAGATCTTTTGGAACTCGGGTAACGAAATTGTCACGCATTGTGATACAAACGTGGGTGCCTCTTATTTGCTCGACGGCAACGGCAACCCGACGCCACTGCTGACTCCTTTCAACAATTTGACCTGTTCGCAAACTTGACTTGTTTATGGAGTTACGCTCGTCTATCTTGAGAATGGAGAAGCTGGAGCCGGAAGAGAGCAATAATGGTGATGGTGATGAAGCCATGTGTCCGATGTAGCTTGCCCTATGTACAGATAGAGAGACTATGATAACGAAGAGGATGTTCCGAGAAGATATTCTGTCAAGGCATTGCAATTCATTCCAAACTTTCCAACCCGTCTATATACATTAATGCATTCCCAACCACCTAAATTAAATCTATCACAGCTCAACAAACTCACTACGAAGATGCTCGTCAGCCTTGAGTTGATCTAGGTAGCCTGCTACCTTAGTCGCCAAGGGCTCCGCCTCGTAACCGAAATGCTTGTATGCAGCCTTGCCAGGCAAACTGTGACCGAATTGTGTCATACAGAAACCAGCTTCAGCATAGCGCTCCCAGCCATTCGGACTGAAGGGCTCAATAACAACAGCAGGAATGCCACGGTGACGACACAGAGTGTCGCGCTTGTACTCGAGCGACCGCTTCTCGAACAGACGCTGGGAGGGGAAACTGACCATACGAGCAGTAATGCCCTTGTCGGCCTTCAGCTTGGCAGCGATCTCCAGCGCAAGTGACAACTCGGCGTCGACACAGATGATTTTGAGCACTCCATTTTGAACATTCTTCATTCTGAGAACTTCCCTCCAGTTCTGGTCTCAATGTCACGAACAAAATTACGATCTATTATTCACTTTGGATGTTGCTAAACTTGAACAGGCCTCACCACCCTTAATTGAAGCTCTGAACCATCTCAGGAGGTGTAGGTTTGCGATCAAATGCGGAGATTACCCCATCTCTTGACGAGCGTTGAGATGGAAAAGAACGTTCAAGCCTTCATTATCAGATACGTGATAAATATCGACACACGCCTTATATAGAACCGACCTCGAGAACCAATCTCGAGTTCCAGAACCAGCCTTGAGTTCCAGAACTGGCCTCGAGTCCCAGAATCGTAAACACTACAGCGCACCGGAACCGCACTCTTTTTATGCCGTCTGTGCTCTTCAATGGGCCATACTGGGACTGGTTTACCACGAACATTCTCCCAGGGGAGGACCTCTCATAGGACTATTCACCCAAGGTTATGCTTTTATTATGGCATTCACACGACTTCACTCATCTTACAGTATCCCCATTTCCAGTTCCCACCCACGAATCCACTCCCATTTCTATGCATATCCCAAGATGGCTGTCACCGAACGACATAGCTCCTGTTTCCCATAAACTCCCATGCTATGCTACGCAGTTTCGCATTTGCTTTAGGAACGCTCTCTCGCGATTCATGACGACCTAGGCTATACTGACTGTAGTGCAGCTTCTGTCTGGTCCAAAGCTCGGGCAGGCATCAAGTTCTCTGTCCTTGACCATTTGGCCTTCGGCGATTAATTTCTGTTCCTTGGATCGGGATATCATGAAGATTGCACTTCTCCTTCCATTCGTGACTGCCTGATAGCACTGGGCAGGTCTGAGATTTTGGAAATTGAGATCATACAGCCTCCTTATACTGATCATTCATCAGGAGCTAGATATTTACATCTACGGATATGTGAGACCCTCTAACCCCTAACCCCTAAGCCATAAGGAATATTTCCTCGTAAGAATCGCTTTTCCGAGGACTTGAGTGTCATCCCAGGTCCAGTCGAAAATCTGTGGCTCGATTACTCACAACTCACCGGCACTATGAACCAAATGCTGTTCGCAGAACCTGATGGTTCCGCAAACGTGCGCCTTCAATGGGAAACCATCGATGATGAAATTGGGACAGAGAGTTGCACTTCTTGGAAAGTATTTGTGGGAAGTCATTGCGCCTATAAAACCTTTTGAATCTCTTGTTCGCGTCGTAGCTCACTATTGGTGCCCATTTAAAAAGTCAATATATTGGGTTGTTTCGGAATCTCATAACTAAACTTATTTATAAATGAAATACCTAGTCGTCTATATTCGAGAAGTCCATGCTTTACAAAGATACTACTCCAAACCCTTGCCACGTATCTCCTCAAAGACGCTCGCGTATACTTGGAGTTGACGGGTTACCTGAATAATTATCACTTAGAATATCCACGAACAGTAAGTGACTGAGTAGGGGCGTATAATATCTTGATACTGGATTCATACCTTCACGTAATGTCCGGTGTGAACTCCCTATGGGCAGGGCGTGCACAAGATCTGTCGAATGAATAGATCTACCCGACGCCATCTCTGAATGGAGGTCGTTTCTCCACTCTTTTCCCGCAGGAATGATCGCGATTTAATTGCCAAGCCACGCCGATTTAACCAGTTTCTTCTGCCTGGAGGTGAGAAAAAACTTACTCTCCTAATATGGGGCTGCTAGGTGTTAGGGAACGCACGGGCCCTAGTGGAGAGTGGCTGCTCGTGCAACACTAAAGTTCTAAATTTGAACCTGTTCACTAATTGACGAGCACCTTTTAGTATTCCGTTGCCCGTCTCGCTGAACGAATCCACTTACACGGAATTTGACACCTTGATTGAACACAACTGGTCATCCGTTTGAGCAACGTCCCTAGACCCAAATTTAATTCAATTCAAAATGAGTCCACGAATGTGTTCAAATTCACAGAAAACATGCTGAATTCTTAGAGTTCGACTTCGCCTTGAATGGAGTCGCGAGAAGGCTCTGATCGTTCAACACCAACAATTATGCGGAGAAGGATCAAAAGAGAATTCGATTCAAAGGGCAAGCGAAGTTTCTGCTTGAATTTGTCAACCATGAGTCGTAGAACGGGCAATACGTTGTAGTTGCCCCACACACCTTAAACCCTGTAGGGAAAGCAATTTTTGGCATTGCTTGTGTTTTTGATGGCTGTCCACGAGGCCAAAACAGCCAGTGATATTCCAATCCAAGTGATCAATTAGACGCTCGATTTGGACATCTTGACTAGCACGCAGGACATCAGACTTTCCCGCTATAAAGGCAGCTTGTCCGAATCGCAAATAAGGCACACTCTAAACATACGACAGCGGCTGTCAATGGCTCCAACAAAGGACTCCTCAGCCAAGTATGATTCGGACAGAAAATTGCAACGCCAAAAACAATACCGTCGCAGAGCAAATATGATGAAAAGGGCATGGGAGTATAGTAAAATGTGCAATGCAGATGTGTGTGTGGGCATTCGCATGCACGAAACTTTCATATGAGCTTCGGGGTATGATCGGGGTTTAAGGTTATTTAATGTCGCGACAAAGTCACTGGTACTAGTCGGATACATTGCCTATTACTTGGCAATTAGTCATTAGCCTGCTTACCAAAGCAGTAACCTTTGTTAAATAGCTATTGGCCCTATTATTGAATAAACAAGACTTTCATGCAACTGCAGTACTATTACCAAAATGACAACTAGCGGCCTATCGTGGTCGTGAAATTTAATGATATACTTAGCCGGGACAGAAGTTGCTGATGGTATAACATTCCTATTGTCCCGGTGCTTGAGTCCAGATATATTTCGAGGATATACTGGTGAGTCACTAGATGTATATGGCGAATAACTGGCAAGTTGCATTATCTTACTATCAAGAGGGTGTCTCTTACAGAGGAACGTGTGATCTAGCCTTTTCCATGAAATATCGGAGAAGTCCATCTTTACGACGATTGGGGAAACGTAGGGATCCGAAAGGAATATGATTATTCATGAATATTTGCGAATATGAATAATATGAATTGAATAATGTTGAGTATCGCGGTGGTCAAAGCTTATGGCGGGACTAGCGATGGAGATTTAAATAGATGGGATTCCCACTTTTGATGCTAACCTCAACAAGAACATTACAACTACCTATCTCAACAAATAATAGGAATAGGAATAAGCCCTTCATTCATATTCGCAATTGTTGAGATAGGTATGTTGGATTGGTTAAGTTCACTATCTTGTTGGAGGTGGGGCTCCTCATCTATTTATCTGTCTCTTGATGATCCCCACTACATGCTTTGACCACCGTGATATTCAACAATTTACAACTACCTATCTCAACACGAATATACGACATATTCATATTCGCGCGAATAAACGCCTTATTCATGTTGAGATAGGTAGTTGTAATGTTCTTGTTGAGGTTACTATCAAAAGTGGGAATCCCATCTATTTAACTCTCCATCGCTAGTCCCGCCATAAGCTTTGACCACCGCGATACTCAACAATTCGCATTCCATTATTCCTTTCGGAGCCCTAATTCTAAGGTCCTAGATTAGACCCATTTTGTGTTATATATAGTTAACAGTGACATATACCACTTCAAATGATTCATCCTTAGTTCGGTAAATTTTTGCAGTATTAATTGTTTGATTGTCTACGATTCCTGTATACTTGGTGATTGGACCAATAACAGAAGAAACAACCTGCTCTCTTTGGCATACTGGGAATCATTTCCCCCTAAAAACTTTGGTCTTCTCGAAAAAGGATAATCTACCATTTTGAACATCATGCAATGGGAATGGCCGAGTACCACTTGGTTGGAGACACAAAGAGGCATGTCGCCGTTGTGGGCTTGCGTTGAAAAAAGCAGCCAATGATCTAATCTATTTTTATCAATGCTCCGTTTATATTGACAAACCATCAGAGAGAATCTGAGCTCACTTTTATTAGAAATGGACATGACTTTGTATGGGCGGTGAGTAAGCGCGTGTCGCCGATTTAACTAATTTATTAATTTCCAAATAATCATCCCGAGGTAGGTCACAAAGCTAGAACTCATTGAATCCACGTGGATTCATCGGTGTGGCCCCTGATAATGTAGGATGTAGAAGTGTTCGTGTTGAAGAGGGTGGTCCCTTTGCTGGCGATATATATCTCCAAGCTGACAGCATGCATTGTTTCGACGTAACATACACCTAAAAGATAAATTACCAAAATTTCACTAGGTGACTAATTAGATTTATCCACAATTTATGCATATTTATGGGTAATTTAGGCAACCCGCGACCCGCGGACGCTTTTCGTAGACCTTTTCTGGTCTATTAGGATTTATACCGAGGAGTCGCTCGATTGTTGTGCATTGGTAGGATTGCCACCACCCTGCGAGGGCAAGATGCCCCCAGGGGCGGAGATAGCGGAGCGGGCGGCAACACCCGAACCGATAGGAATGTTGATCGTTCCTCCAGCACCACCCAACCCAGCACGCACGTCGGGCCGAAGCACGAAAGCGCCAACGACATACGCTCAAGAACAGAATAAGGAAGCAGTTGGGAAGCTCGAGAAACGTCACCGAAGGAACTCCCCCGAAACAAGCCTCCGAGGCAGCTCGACAACGGGAGACGTGGCAACCTATCCAAGGGAACAGCCGACACAGGCAGGCGATTCTAGACACGGTCATTAAGAGCGAGAATCTCAACAAATACCTCCAACAGGAGATTGAAGCTAAGCATGTCGAAACTTTGAGGTTGCGGCAGGAAATCAAGGGACTTCGCAATAAACTACGGGTGAATAATGATCAACACACGGAAGACATCACGCGGATGGAAAGGGAGCACCAAGGAGCCCTGATAGAGATACGGAGAGAACTGACCGAAGTAAAACAATCCGTGGCGACTGTGATAAGCGACCCGCCCCGAGGCGCGTGTGAGGACCAACAGGAGAGGATCACTCGATCACATTAGTTAGGCAGATATTTAATCAAAATAATACTGAGCTTCCTCCACATCTCAATATCAGTACTATATAACTAGTCTAGGAAAAAAAAATAAGATGTACAGTGTAGGTAATCTTGTATGTCGGTGATTTCCCGGGGGATCTTCGGTTCATCCATAGATCATCGGTACGGATTGAGAACCGGACTCCTTTTTCCGATTTATCCAGCTCCAATTCACTGGATGATAAGCGAAAATATCAATCGCTTTTGCCACCCAGTTGGGCGTCCACGGTTGAAACTATTCGTGGAGATGCTAGTTCTGTTTTGGTACTTGTGCCACTGTTTACAGGATGAAGTTAGAATGGCATAGTTGAAATGGGCTGCGCCACACTATTTGCGACATTTTTCTATTTCGGAGCTCTACGATCAAGGTATTACGATATTCGACTCTTTCTTCTCTATATTCTCACCCTATTTTCTGTATCTCCGATGGGACCTGAGCGGTAAGCTAACTAGGCGTGGCTTATCATCTGCTAAGATAAATGTATGGCTTAGCGGGGCTGCTCAGCTGCTATCGAATTGAAAACATCCGGAAAACTCTCTCCTAGTGAACAAGCATCCGTGCGCAGGAACGTCGGTCGGCGGTGACACGTCACGGCCAAGCCGAACAAGCCTCGTCATTTCCAGCGCAATCAACTTCCGGTGCACAAACATACATTCCTTTTTTTCCCCCAACCGCTGAATGAGCAGTTTACTTGACAGAATCAAATTGAAGGACCCCGTCCAGAACCCTTTATCTGCAGTACTATACCACGTTCTCGTTTGGACACCATGACACAGTCACGCTACATCCCTAATGTATATCCCGTCCTGATGTCGGTCTCGCAACCTAGGGAGCAACTGATCCACTGTGTCATGAAAATTGTCTCTGAATGTCCACCCGGAAAGCCTTGGACGAGTAAGTTCAAAGATCAGCTTCAGGGTCTCTGGACGGGCTCTACGTCAATTGCCTATCTTTTCTTGTGGCTGGCGGAGACACATCCTAATCTCAGTATCAACGACCGTCTCCCAATTGATTGGTGCCATGGATACCTTGACTGCGGATCTGATGTACTCTCTAGTGCGCAAGGGCTGAACGGCTGGGGCATTAAAAACGAGTATCTTGCCTACAACACTGTGAAGGCTGCCGTGACTCAAGACGACCGCTATGTTTCAAAGGTCATTAAAGCCATTAAAAAAGACTTTGACTGTCCAGTCGTGGACAATGAACACCTATCTGGCCGAGCAGGTACATTGAGTCTGCTGCGCATTATTAAATGATGGTGCCCTTCAGCCTCCGAGCAAGTCGAAGACTGTACCAGCATCCTGGTGGAGCAGTTAGTTAATGCCGTACCTTGGAAATTTCATGGGCACAATTATATCGGAGCTGCACACGGCGTCATTGGGATATTGACACAGATCATTCTTTCTAGACCAGCTATGGGTCGAGATGCAGCCATTGAGTACCTGATTTCTGAACAGTTAGATCTACAGATGGATGATGGACATTGGTTCATTACAGATGATCCCAATTTGGGTGAGCCGGACCTGGTACATTACTGTCATGGATCGCCAGGATTCGTCATCTCTCTGGATGCAGTATGTCCTTTCGTCAGCGAAGTACTGAAAGCTCGGATCTGTGTCGCCATTGAACGAGGAAGAAAAGAAATCTGGGAGAAAGGGATACTGAGGAAAGAACCGAACTTATGCCATGGCATTGTAGGAAACATGCTTGCACTTCAAGATTGGGAACAGAAAGAGCATTTTATGGCTCATGCAACGGCTCAGAAAATTCGAAAGGGTATCGAACACGGGGGTTTCGTTGCAGGCGAAGACCCATACGGCTTGCTCTGGGGCGAGGCAGGTAGGGCTTGGGGATGGGCAATGATAGATAAAAAGCTGGATATGGGATACCCTAGCTAAACTGATATCTGAATCTCCAAGGCACTTGCACTTCCATATGTTCATTATATCTAGACGTAAGATTGCCAGACCAGCTTGTACTAAGCGAGTTTTTACCTGGAAACGAATGAGGCCTGACAGTATTGTTGCGATAGGTAGTTGTAATGTTCTTGTTGAGGTTACTATCAAAAGTGGGAACGCCGTCTATTTAAATGTCCATCGCTAGTCCTACGATAAGCTTTGACCACCGTGATACTCAACAATTTAATTCATATTATTCATATTCGCAAATATTCAAGAATATTCCCGAATAATGATATTTCTTTTCGGAGCCCTACCCACCAATATAGTTTTTGAATTGGTAACCAATGTTGATTGCACCATCACGCAACTCCAAGCCCAGAGTCGAGTTTTTTTCAGAAAAGATTATCCGCAGATAACTACATTGCGATCTGCTGTAATGACAGGGTCTACTTAATGAACTGCATCCTTTTTCACCGTCTATCATCTTTTACATCATTGGTGAGCTAACGAAGATCCCACTATAAGGGCGATGAGTAGTCACCGTTGGCAGCCACTTCACCGCTCGGCAGTTACGCCGCGCCGCACATCAACATGTTGACTCACTGGTTCCCATCGATCATGATCATCGCCAATCCTCAACCGTTACTCATCTGTCCCTCATATCTGGCCCTCACCATCAACGCGTCCTCACCATTAACACGCCTTCACCATCAGCACGCCAGCACAATACCTACTCACTGTCGAAAACCCGCATCTCACCACGTCGACACAACTTCTGCCACCCCTGGTAGCCAGCAGAGACAAGCATTCACACAAATGGAGACTACTTCAGATTGCACCCATCGCCCAGATCGGCCACTAAGCTATCATACACTGAGATCCCCACTGGCCCGATGACTCAGTGCTCTACTTCGCAGTATGGTGAAGAAAATGCCCATTATCGAAAGACAGGGCGTGATTCAAGGCCGCATAAAACTTTACGCGAACACGGAACATGGATATTGAAATCTACAAACAGGCTGAATGGCATAACACACAAAGTATCCCGAAGGATTCTTGATTCTATCGATTATTTGAGGCAGGTCTTGGCTTCTTCGAGTACCCTCGAATACTAGTCTCTGACACCACGAAGTGGTGCCTGCAATCGCTAGAGGATCAGGACGAGGACCGCGGCGCCACGGGTCGCCTAACAAGCACAAATTTGATAACGCAGGGCTCAAGGCTGCATGGAAGCTCAAGATTATACAATCACGGGGCTCAAGGCTGTGAGGGAGAACTTGGTGTCGCAGCGGTCTCCTGCGGGGGTTCTTGGTAACGCAGGCGTCCCTGCGGAGCACACTCTTACAACGCAGGGCTCATTGCTGCGAGGGAGCACGTTTCTACAACACAGGGCTCATTGGCTGTGAGGGAGCGGACTTATACAACACAGGGCTCATTGGCTGTGAGGGAGCGCATTTATACAACACAGGGCTCATTGGCTATGAGGGAGCGCACTCTTACAATCGCAGGGCTCATTGCTGCGAGGGAGAACTTGTTGACGCAGCACTCTCCTGCGGGTCTCCCTTGGTAACGCAGCGTCCCCCTGCGAGGCAAACTTGTTGACGCGGGGCCTTTCCCGTGAAGAATTTTTGGTAACGCAGAGCTTATCCTGCGAAGAACACTTGATATCGCAGAGCTTATCCTGCGAAGCACACTTGGTAACGCAGAGCTTATCCTGCGAAGCACACTTGGTAACGCAGAGCTTATCCTGCGAAGCACACTTGATATCGCAGAGCTTATCCTGCGAAGCACACTTGATATCGCAGAGCTTATCCTGCGAAGCACACTTGGTAACGCAGAGCTTATCCTGCGAAGAACACTTGATATCGCAGAGCTTATCCTGCGAAGCACACTTGGTAACGCAGAGCTTATCCTGCGAAGAACACTTGATATCGCAGAGCTTATCCTGCGAAGCACACTTGGTAACGCAGAGCTTATCCTGCGAAGAACACTTGATAACGCAGAGCTTATCCTGCGAAGAACACTTGATATCGCAGAGCTTATCCTGCGAAGAACACTTGGTAACGCAGAGCTTATCCTGCGAAGCACACTTGGTAACGCAGAGCTTATCCTGCGAAGAACACTTGATATCGCAGAGCTTATCCTGCGAAGCACACTTGGTAACGCAGAGCTTATCCTGCGAAGAACACTTGATATCGCAGAGCTTATCCTGCGAAGCACACTTGGTAACGCAGAGCTTATCCTGCGAAGAACACTTGATAACGCAGAGCTTATCCTGCGAAGAACACTTGGTGACGTAGAGCTTATCCTGCGAAGAAAACCCGACTGCCCGGGAGTGTGAGGAGGAAAGTCCTGCTTTTCTTTTCGACGGGAAAAGAGCGTCTTTTATGTCATTTCGGATACGTCCTTCGGCAGCGACCACTTGCGTACATTTTGCCGGACCCAGAGATTTCCACTCGACATTCGCACAGGGCGGTCGCATTTTCGCTGGCCGTTGAGGCTGTTTATCAACGTTGAAATAAGAAATTTCAAGAGTTAGGGGTGGAGAGCGGGTCGAGTGGCACGCCCCACCTGGACCCTTGGCTCTCCTGGGTCTAGGCCTGACAAATAAAATGCCTCAACGTTGTTGACAAAGGTCAAATGACTTTCAACTTGGCTGGTAAGTTCGAAAGAATGGGCTGGCTCTGGCAAATCGACTGACCATACCCTCGAACTTGTGTTTGTAGACTTTGCCATCGTAGCTGCTTCGATGCATGCTCCTAATTTTGGACACATCTACCCTTCCTCACTACATTGATCTGATATAGGCACTGAATGAACGAATCTTTAATTAAATTATCAGTTCGATTGACCCCTGCTAGGAATGTTACAAGATTATCCAGCACGATGTGCATGCAGATGAATGTTTTTCTAGCAGGACACGTTGAAAGTGACAGCTTAGCTGCACCGATCGCTGGGCGCTGACTTGCAAGTCCAACCGCGAAGCCAACTTTCTGCGAGCCGCGGATTGAGACGTTCAATTCGTGCAGATAGCTTGTTAGTCAACGTTTGTCCTGTTGAAAATCCGTTGAAGTGTTGCCAAATGCTTATTGGGCCCCGCTTCTCTAAATTTTCACAATGTGAGACCAGTTGTGGCTGGCCGGGGCTCAGGGCGATGGCCTCTTCCACTGCGGGCATTTGCTCGCCGGATCTATTTTCATACATATAGAGTGTCACACCCGTCACGAATCATATAAGAGCCACTCCCGTCATAATTTTCAAACAGGTCTATTTGTCGGCAACACCCCGCTTGATCCGATACGCGACTATGGGAGCCATTCGAAAAATTCCACGCACCCGGCAGATGCCAGACTTCCGACGTCGATTGCAGCGCGCACTGTCCTTGTCATCCTCGGAGTCCGAATACAGCCGAAGCCCATCTCAATCTCTGTCTGGAGACATCACCGAGGAAGAGCCATCGACCCCCCTCGAACAAGAACGACAAAGCTGTTCCACAACAGGGCGATCCTCCCAGTACCCACGATCACGGGGTGCTACCGAGTCCTCAATACGGCGGACACTTATCTCAGCCCAGAGATAGCAACGTGCTTACCCTCACATGCCTCGCAGAGTTAGTCCGAGTCATCCCTTATCGTGAAAGCAAAGTGTTTACTAACAGATGATACTTCAAGACTAGACGTGCGAGTGAAGTGAGTTTTACATTCCCTCCAAGCAATGAACAAAGGGTTAACCTAAGGCCAGATCCCTAGATTGTAAATTGACGGACCAAAATAAGTGTATCGAGGATCTCCGCAATGACCTGGCAGACCTTCTCCACCGGCTGGAGGCTGTCGAGGCGGAAGCAGAGGAGCGGATGAAGAGCGATATGGCTGATACGCCAGATGGGCCCGAGCAGAAGACGGTGCGGACCCGGCAGTCGTAGCGGGGATGAAATTCGACGGGCTCGGGGGCCTCTGAGGACATTATCTATGCATAAATTCATCAAGCATTCGTCATATGGGCTCTCTCACGCTGAGTACACTCTTGCCTTACGATTAGCAGCTGTTGAATTTTTGGACTAGGACCACTCTTGTGCTTTCTCTACGTGGTACACACTACATCTGTCTTCTGCGAATACAGCTAAGGCTTTTCAAATGTACCTTTTATGAATATACCTACCCACCGAGTCAGTCGATGTTACGTATTACACGGAGGTAAATCTTTGCTCAGTGGCCGAGTCTATATACCAATTCGTCCCTTCGGTAAGCCTTTCCGATACGGCGGCAACGGGACGTGAATGACGTAATTATTGGAAGATGATGGAATTTGAGAAGATAGTTTGACACAAATAGCATGGCCCAGGCGAAAGGTATGGCACCTGGCTCTGAAACACACCCTACTGATGAGTAATTGGTTTATGAGTAGAAGTGACGCGAACTTGAGAAACTCCCAAAACCTGAACCGAGATAGCGGCTTTCACCCTGCTGGACCTCTCGAGCTTGATCGCTAGCTTTGCCTGAACCAACCACGACCTCTCTCCCATCTGTTGTAGCATGTAATCAACGCGATCGCAAGATGGATCGATAGAGGTGTCAAGCTCTATCTTGAAGTTCTTCGGATCTATCGACGCATGAATCCAAATGAACCCCATCTAATACTCAAAGCAGGCTGGGTCTGCATTCCCCGAGGTCACAAGCGTGTTGAAAAGAGGTCCTATCGTGGTTGATGGAAGGCCAGCGCGAAGGTACCTCAAATCTTGACTCTTTGCCGTCCGTTTCCCCTGACTGATCATCTCAGTTTCATCAGTTGACCGTGGATCGAGAATGACCGAATCTGAGATCCAGTACTCGGTTGACCAATTATAGAAGAGTGAAAAACTTTTCCCGGCCAGCAAATTCTCAAAACGAAGCATGCTTTTCCGGACTTTGGAAGGTCTTTTCCATTCGGGTAGCCCAAGGAGAATGATCTTCATATCTGTCAGGTTTTCTGTATGCAGAAATCCCACCTGATAATCCTCC